GCAGCAGTCTCATATTTTTTTTTGAAGAAAAATGATTGTCTTTTCCATTGTGTTTATCATCATTTTGATTGTTTTTTGTTTTATCCTAAATCCTTGACTGATGAATTCATAGCGAATAGTTGATCACACTGACACATACACACATTATTCATGGGAAAGCAATGCAAAGCCAGCCAGCAAAAAAAAAAAAAAAAAACAAAACAAACAAGCAATCCATCCACTTGGCCAGTTTGTGTGTGCGTGTATGTCTGTGACAGTTGACAGTTGGTAGCGAAAAGGCAAAGACCAAAATAAAAAAAAACCAATCATCATTCATTCATTCATTCATTTTTGTAATAAAATTGACAAATTAAAAAAAAGTTGACCATTTCTTTTGCTTCTTCTTCTTCTTCTTATTCTACTGTTGTTGTTGTTGTTTTTTTCAATTAACAAAATTGTATGAAAAATTCCGGTTTTTTTTACGATTTTATGTCTCTGTCTCATTTTGGTTTCGGTTTTGAAAAATTTTATTATTATTATTATTATTATCATTTGCATTTTTAAATTGCTGAATTTATTTATATGATGATTAAATCATGAAAAAGACACATGAATACATGCACACACACAGACATTTTATTTTCTTGTCTCATTGGCCATTGGTCATTGGTCATCATCATCATCATCATCATCATTTTGGAATTTGGAATTTGATTAAAACTGAATTGTCATTTCAAGTGTCTGTCTTGTGGATTTGTCAATGTGAAAGATAATATATAACCCTTTTTTTGTTTGTTTGTTTGTTTGTTGCTCATTTCTTTTTTTTTATTATCATTTCCTTTTTTTTCTGGTTGTAATCCAATTTCATTACAACAGTAAAAAAAACAACAAACACGGCAATCGTTTCAGTGTGCGTGTACAAATACGTCATTTACGCACAAGCCAAGTGGTTTTTTTTTATTTTTCATATTAGATAATGTATATATATAGTGTATGTGGATATATGCCATTATAATTTGACATAATTTATGGTTGTTGTTGTTTTCGTTTTTTTTTTGTTGTTTTTTACTTTTATTTTTTGTTGTTGTTGTTGTTGTTTTTTTAGTTATAAAATGTCGTTTTCATATTCAGGTTTGTTTGTTTGCTTATTTCATGGATGAATGGGAGATTCACAATTCAATGGAAATAATAAGAAAACCATGACGCCAATGACACACAGGGAGAGAGATGATATATAATCGAATCGGCTATGTGTATGTGGAGGTCAAATCTTGTTGTTGTTGTTGTATTACATACATTGACCTTGTATGTCTTGTAACATCGTTATTGTTGTTTGAATGATGATGATGATGATGATGATGATGGTCAAATGAACAAAAAAAACGACAGAGAGAGAGAGAGAGAGAGGTGAAAAAAGGTGGTGGCTTGAAAAATTTCGAAAAATGAAAATAAACATTCACAATAAATCTCCAACGATTCTAGCATTAATATACACCGTTGTCAATTGTCAAATGGTCAATGTTAATGTTAAAACCAAACCAACCACCCCATGACTATTGCTGGCTACTGCTGGACATGTTTAAAATGAATAATTGAATTCTTTTCACTGTGTGTGTGTGTGTATGTTTCGTGGAAAAATAAAGAAATGGAAAAAGTTGAAATAAATTAAAATAAAATGAAATGAAATGAAAATAAAAATTAATTTGCATGGAAACCAATTTAATTTTAATTTATTATCATCATCATCATCTCTCTCTCTCTTTCTCTCCGTCATTTTTTTTCTGCTCCTACCGTGTTTCGGTGTGTTTCGATGTGTTTCGGTGTGTGAGAATGAAAAAAATGACTATATTTCACTATAGATGGAAAAAAAACTGGCCGCGTAATTCATGTCACCAAAAATTTGAAAAAAAAAATTTATTATTATTGTCCAAATATATGTTCTGTTTGCATCATTTACTTTTTTTTCACGTTTGGTCGGTTAGTTTGATCATCATCATCATCATCATCATCAGCTATATGGTTTTTTTAATTGGCCAATTCATTTTCAATATTGAATATCAAAGGTTCGTTTGTTCGTTCGTTTTTGCATTTACTCGGTGAAAGGAGAAGGGAGAAATTTTGTCATCCACCATTGATGTTGTCCATAAACAAATATTCTGATATTTGGATTCATTCATTTCTGTCGATTTTGGATTTTTTTTGCCATTGTGTGTTTTCAATGTTTTCTTGGTTTGACATCTTTTATATATTTGATGATTAGATTTTTTTTTTGAGAAAATCCAAACGGAAGTATATATTGATGATGGTGGAATCAAACAAAAATATATAGCCTTTATCGTTCCGGTCAACAATCGTTTAAAATGAATGAATGAATGTTGATATACGATAGTCGATGCCGGAAATATTGGCGGCGATGATGCAAAAATCATTTACTCACACACACACACACAATCACTCACATTACATATCATTAAATGTCATTTTATTGACATTTACTTTTTCTTCTTCTTCTTAAATTCATCCATTATGGTCAAATCAAATAATCGAATTCTGGTTTTTTTCCCGTGTGCAAAACCCGAAAATTCATCCGATAACCGAAAACAAACGATTAGAATTTTTTTTTTTCGTAAAGTTTGTTTTCTTCGACCAAAAAAAAATGGAAAGTTTCTTGTTATCGAACCCTTTTCTTTTTCGTTTTTTTTTATACTTCATCAACACAAGAAATAAAAAGACATTGATTTCCTGATGATGATGATGATGGTTTCAACCAAACGAAAAAAAAAAGAATGAAATAATTTCACTGAAAAAAAATGTAACATTAAAATTATGTATCTATGTATTATGTGAAAGTGGTGGTCCCTAGATAGATAGCATCAAAGAAGGAAAAAAAATGTATATCAACAACCACCAACTAGTAAAAGTAACGTGAAAATTAATTTCGTTATAACTAGCATCGTCATTTTTTTGCATTTGGCATCCACACATCCAATTTCCAAGATCTAGGTTGCTGCCGAAACGGATGCATCCTGATGATGATGCGAATAGAATTAATTTGAAATCAACAACAACAAAAACAACAGCCACAACGACATTTGGTTTAAAATTCAATAACGAAACAGAATTTTTTACCATTTCTATTTCTTTCTGGATAAATTTTTGTTGTTTTTTTTCACTTTTTTTTTGGTTCCGAATCTCTTTTTTTTGATTGGAAATGTGCCCTCATATGTTTATTATTATCCGATTGAATGCACGCGATCTGTTCCTGGAACCATAGGCAGACAAACAGAGCTAGAGCGAGAAAGAAACAATATTGTTGTTTTAAATCACAAGAAAAAAACCCATAAACGGAAAAGAAAACGAAAAACGTAGAGATTCATGTTTCTAGGAACTTTTCTTCTTTTTTCTTTATTGAAAAAAAAATCGAAAATCGTCTCTTTTGATGATGATGATCATGATGATCATCATTTCTTCTTCTTTGGTTCCTTATTATTATTATTGTCAAAAACCCAAGAAGAATCATTTGTCGTCATAGTCGTCGTCGTTTACATCGTCTTATTTTGGGTTTATGGTCAGGTTGTGTGTGTGTGTGTGTGTGTGTGATGGCATCTAAATGGTATCATTATCATTTTTTTTCATTCATTCATTCATTCTCCATAGTTCCTGCTCGAATAAATTCCCTTTATTATTATTTTTTTTTTTTTTATTCTGTGCAACTTGAATCTTATTTCAGTTTTGATTTTCATTTCATTTTTTGGATTTTTTCTAACAACAAATCACTATCACCATCACCACCACCACCACCACCACCATCATTATCGCCATATATACTACTGCAGTATCGTGCTCGGATAATAATAATAGTCATAAAACGCTGGATAGAATCATCATCATCATTTTGTTGTGGAAAAAAAAAGTTTTTTTTCTGTATGAAAAATGATAACCAATTTTTATTTTTTTTTTGGTTCGTTTCATTCACATTTTTTTTGTCACACTAGACGAATGATGATGACGATGATGATAATATTGAGGGCAATAATTATTGAGTGAGTGAGGGAGAGAGAGAGAGAGTGAAAAGGCCAAATATCGATCCAGAAGATTGATTTTTTTTTGGTTTGATAATCGGTTTTTTTCCATATCCAGTCAATACTTTTTTTTGTAATACATGCATGATGGATTGATTTTTTTTTTTGGATCCGGATGAAAAAATTGAAATTCATTCATCATGCATGATGATGATTTTCGTGTTCTAGGTGACAGTAGTGGTTAATGGGTTAGATTAGCAACAAGTTTTATAGTCATAGTTTAAATATATCATCATTTTCAATCATTTGTTTGTAATTGCACGTTGACATTGTTGAGACTAATGGTCGAATGATGCTACTATTGAAAAATTAAAGAAAATTTTTTTTCTCAAATGATGATAAAATGTTGACCAAAGACTCATTTTTTCAATTTTTTTTCTGTCCAAATCTTATAGAAAAATGCATCAATCATCATAAAAATTGTTTATTTATTTATGTTACAAGAAAAAAAATTGAGAAAAAAAAATTTAAATTAAAAATTAATAAATAAATAAAAATACAAACATGGGCGACCATAAAACGATTGATGATTCAGATCACAATCATTGGCCGCCTATGATGCTGCCACTGATATATGATACAATAATAATAACGAAACGATGCCAATCGATTAAATCAAAACAAAATTGTGATCATCATCATCATCATCATCGTCATCATCATCATCATAATCAAAATCATCGACAACAACAACAACAACAACAACATCGACAATATAGACATCGATGGAAAAAACATAAATGCCATTGGTCATCAACGTTTTCATCGTGCCTTTCATCATCGATTATGTTTATATTATTTATTTGTATATTGATGATTCCAATGACAATATTGTCATTGGATCATCATGGACCATCTTCATCATCATCATCATCATCTTCGTCGTCGTCGGTTACAACATCCACATCATCATCGTCCTCATCATCATCATCATCGACAGGCCTATCAAATCATTCATCAATCAGTAGTCAAGGTAAATATTGTGTATAATGAAATAAATCAATATAGTCAAATAATTAATTGTTCAATATGTATTTATTTACTCCATATAGATCTCCATACTAGCCAATCACAAATTATATCAATCTATACAACCGGTAATCATTCAATAAATATTACACATTTAGCTATTGATCATGCAGCTAATCTATATGCTGGTGGTTCAAATTGGCTATTTCAATTAAATTCATCATCATTATCGGTTATTGAATCGGTTCGTACTGGACCAATACCTGATTCACCATTGTGTTCACCAACTGATTGTTCTGGTGTTGATGAATCAAGTATACAATTACGAAATAATATCAATAAAGTTCTAGTCGTTGATGAACATAGTAATACATTATTAGTATGTGGTACAGTACATCAAGGGGCTTGCCGTAAACATCGTCTTGGTGCGATCATACAATCGGATGAGCTTATACCATTGCCTGTAGCTGCTAATGATGAAAATTCTTCTACACTTGCCTTTGTTGGACCATCACGTTATAATGGAAATATTATTCAACCAGTGCTTTATGTGGCTGTTACTGATTCACGTTTAGGACCATATCGTGATATGGTACCGGCTATTTCTTCACGTTCATTAGAATCTGGTCAAAGATATTTATCAATAATTGAAAAATCATTCACCGATACAGCTAAAGTTGATATTGAGATTCATATGAAAGATTATTTTCTTGTCAATTATATATATGGCTTTTCTACACCAGATTTCGTTTATTTTGCTACCGTACAGAAACGTTCACATCTTCGTGCACTAGAAGAATGGGGCTATCATTCACGTTTAGCACGTGTTTGTCAATCAGATCCAACATATAATACATATGCTGAAGTTACTGTTGAATGTATTGACAGTGATGGTGAACAATATTCATTATTACAAGATGCAACACTTATTGAAGCTGGTGATGAATTGGCACAATCATTACGAGTGAAACCAAGATCAAAATTATTTGTTGGTACATTTTCTAAAGCCATCGAACATACCAGTACACCGGATACACGTTCAGCTATCTGTATATATACATTGCAAGAAATTGAACAAAAATTTGCACAAAACATACACATGTGTTATAATGGTTCCATCACGACACGTAATATGGATTATATTGCCGGTAATATACCAAATTGTCCGGCCAAGGTAAGTTGTTTACGAGAATAATAAAAACTTTTATAATTATAATTTCATGGAATGGAATTTTTGTTTTTCGTTTTCGTTAACAAAACTGAACAACAACGACAAAGTTTCATGAAATGAAATTTAATATGAAATTCATCATTATTCTTCATTTTCATGAATGTTTCAGTGTGTGTGCGTGTGTGTGTGTGTGGAAACCATTTTTCATTGAAATTTTAGCCACTTCTTTTTTGTTACTATAGTCACCAGACAAAGTGTTAATGAATGAATGAAAGAATCTGCAGAATAAGAATAATTAATCAATTGTAAATCACCAAGGCAATGCAAGAAAATTTTACTTTTCACTTTTTTTTTAAATTTTATTTCATTTTGTGCACGCGTTCAAGTTGTTGAAATGCAATTGTTTCGTATCGTCATCATCAATAAATAATCACAAGTGAGAAAAATTTAAAAAAAAACAGAGAGAGAGAGTCTATTATTACATCATCATGAAACGATATATATGTACCACACACAGTAACGGAAAATTCTTTCTGAATCTGTTTTTTTTTTTTTGGCACGCGTTATATATTCAAATAATCGAATATTATGAAAGTTTTTTCCACTTTCTCTCTCTCTCCATCTCTTTTGATTAATTGTCATTTTATGATGTTGATAATGGTTGAATTTCAGCAACAAAAAAAAAATATGAAAATTGAAATCTAAAACCGATGAAAAACGAATTCTGAAACAAACAAACGAAAAAAAAAAATTATTCTCGGTTGGAATCTATTATTGTTTCAATTGGAACAACAACAACAACAACAACAACAAGGAAAACAACAGCAATATCTCCCTTGAGAACTTTATGTTTCCAGTTTGTGTGTGGATAATGATGATGATGATGATGATGATAGTGTGTATAGTGATATTGCATCCAAGAAAATAAAACAACAACAACAACAACAAACAATTTTATGTGGCTGATTTTATTATTTCTTCGGAGGAAAAAATAGATAGATTCCGTTTATAATCTCTTTACTAGTTATATATAAAAAAACACTACTATACACAGCAACTACAATTAATTATTGATATATGTCACGATTTGTATAGTTGTAGTAGCATAGCATAGTAGTAGATTATATTACATATAACATGTCATATATGAATGATGATTAATTATATCTTTGCATAGAGAGAAAGTGAGAAAAAACAATAGATTAGTAATACCGTAAATGATCATCAAAAAAAAAAAAAAAAACGAATATTACACTATGGAATTTACATTATTAATCATTTCATTTCATTTTGTTTTTTTTTCTCATTTTTTTTTATAAAAGCGCATCAACAATATCATTTCGTTTTGTTCGGAAACATTGAAAATCAATGGTAGTTTACCTATTGTACGTAAAGCTGCAGCCATTTTTCCACATCATACACTTACATCGATTTTGGGCCAGGTAACATCTGGTTCTGTTTATAATGTATTGTTTGCCGGTACACATGATGGCCTTTTGAAAAAGGTAATAATCATCATTCATATTCATATTCAATGAATTTTTTTGTTGACCTTATATTTGAACTTATTAGCTATTGATTTCTGGACCGGATTTAGCCGAAGAATTTGATCAGGTTAGCATTGATGCTGGCCATCGTATTCTAGCCGATATGATTATGGATAATGGTGGAAAATATCTATTTGTTGCCTCTCCATATGTGGTATGTTTATCTATTTTGAACCAAAAAAAAATCCAATCCATTAATTCAATCTCAATGATTGTAGATTGCCAAAGTTGCCATTGAACATTGTCCACATTATGGAAATTGTCGTTCATGTTTAAACTCAAGAAATCCATATTGTGGTTGGTGTTCATTACAGAAAAGTTGTACATTACGTTCTGATTGTATGGATACACGAACATCGGTATCATCACGTTGGTTATCAGTGGATTCATCCAAATGTATTGAATTTCAATCAATTTATCCAGAATTTTTGCCAATAAATTCATTGGAAAAAGTTAAATTGATCATCAATCAATTGCCACGTTTACCAGCAAATGTTAGTTATCAATGTGTTTTCGGTCCGAATGAACCAATTCAAGCTGAACCAATGCCCAATGGACTTATTTGTCAATCGCCACCGGTATCATTGAGGCCACGATTTCCTGAACAGCAAGATTTTGTTTCCATCGACTTGGCCATACGACCTTCAGATACGCGTACAGATTTTCTTCAACGAAAATTTATTTTCTATGATTGTAATTTTTATAAAACGTAAGTAACCAGTAGTTTGCCATTATTATCATGTTGATTGATTATACGATCAAATTTTTCTCAATAAAATAGTTGTACTGGCTGTGTTCAAAGTCGTTGGTCATGTCAATGGTGTTTCAAAGAAAATCGTTGTGTATCATCCGGTTATCTATGCGGAAAAAATTTTCAATCCACTGGTAATTATTCAAGCCGTGTGCCTAAATCTACTTATCGATTACAACAACAACAACAACATCTACAACAATCAAATCAACCAAATGTTGTTCGTCATCGTAATGAATGTCCAAGTTTTAATTTTACAACCAAACAAATGATGGATATTATATTGCCTAATGGTGTTGCACGTGAAATATCATTACCAGTGCAGAATTTAGCATTCGAAAATGTCATGTTTGGCTGTTTGATTAATATTGAAAACATTCAAACCTATGTTTCAGCTCGTATTAGCGATGGTAATATTGTCTGTGCATCGACAAAATTTTCATATGATAATGAAAACGCTACATCTATTGCAACGGTAACAGCCGTTTGGAATAAAATTCATTCAATTGATCGTATTAACAGTGAGTAATCATTTTCATTGTATAGAATTTCATTTTTAATTTATAATTTCTGTTTACCACACAACACAGTTACATTGTATAAATGTCAATATCTTGGTAGCCACAATGATCGTGCTGATTGTTCAATTTGTTTGAATCTGGATCGATTATATGATTGTGCTTGGTGTGGTTCACAATGTTCTCATGCAGAACAATGTAATGATCAACGTTCAATGATTTGTCCACCACCACGTATTGATCTGATTCATCCATTATCTGGACCAATTCAAGGTGGTACAATGGTAACGGTTGAAGGCAGTAATCTTGGTGTTAATATTGATGAAATTCGTGATAAAGTTCTTATTGGTGGTTATCCTTGTCAAGTACAAAATTTTACCATATCGGTTCAATTTACCTGCATTACAAAACCTGTACAGAATCATTTTTGGGCCGATGTTGTTGTCGGTAATCGTGCTGGTTTCACTACGGCTCGTGATAAATTTCTTTATGCCGTACCGGAAATATTGGCTGCATCACCAAATAGTGGACCACAATCCGGTGGTACTCGTATCTATATAACTGGAAATAATCTCAGCATTGGAACATCGTTAGAAGTTTATCTAGATGAATATCCATGTATTGTCGATAAAATGCTCGTATCATCCACACAGATTAGTTGCCGTACAACGGCAAGTAAATATGCTAGTTATGAAGTGGATAAATTACATATCAAAATTGATAATGCAACACTTACATTACCTAGCCGTTTTCGTTATGTTCCGGATCCTACTATTATGCGTATCTATCCACTTAAAAGCTATGTATCAGGTGGACGTTCGGTTACAGTGATTGGCACAAATTTCGACGTAATTCAACAACCACGTTTGGCTATATTCAGCATAGATGGATCATTTATCAATGATACTGTATGTGATGTTGTGTCGACATCACAAATGATTTGTCCATCACCACCAGTGAATGCTGAACTTGTTGATATTATATATCGAGAACAGATTGATTCACAATCATTACGATCGGCTATTTCAGCGCCATCTTCATCTTCTTTCACCGGTAGCAACAATGATCATTCATCAACATTTGAAAAAATTAGTTTTCGTATCGGTTTCATCATGGATTGGGTGATGAGTGTTCGTGATCTATCCGTTAATTATTCTACCATCCATTCGGATCTAATCTATGTACCGGATCCAAAAGCATTTTCATTCGAAGAAGGCATCAAAGATTATAAAGGCGATTCTTTGGTTATTGAAGGTGAAAATCTACGATTAGCAACAAGTGAATCAGAAATCAATGTTACAATTGGTAATCGACCATGTAACCTGACATCATTGGCACCGAATCAAATTGTTTGTATACCACCGGAACAACAACCTGAACCAACAGATGAATTTGGCCGTCGTACAGCTATTTATCTACCATTGGTTGTAGTGAGAATTGGTAATAATTTACGTTATGAAATCGGTTATCTACGTTATGATTCGGTGAAAGGTTATGAGCTATCATTGGTCACTATTGGTTTGATCATCATATTTTCATTGATTTTGATCGTATTCGTATTGGTATCGTTTGTATTTATGCGACATAAATCATTGTTAGCTGAACGTGAATATAAACGTATACAGATGCAAATGGATACATTGGAAAATAGTGTTCGATCTGAATGTAAACAAGCATTCGCTGAATTGCAAACCGATATGACCGATTTGAGTAATGATCTGGAGAATTGTGGTGTACCAATACTTGAACATCGTAATTATGTTATGAAAGTATTTTTCCCAGGCGTGGATGATCATCCATTATTTCAGCCACGACCACGTACAACGAATGGTGCAAATATCACCTGTGCATATAACATCTATGAATTGGCAATGGCTCAATTTGAACAATTGATTTATAATAAATCATTTTTAATTTGTTTCTTGAATACATTGGAAAATTCACCATCATTCAATATTCGTGATCGGTATGTATAAATTTCATTTCATTCATGCATGCTGATTATTCATTTTCTCTGTTCAATATTGTTATATATAGTGTAAATGTTGCCTCATTATTAATGGTCATCCTAATGGAACGTATGGAATATGCAACCGATATTCTACGTACATTATTACTACAATTAGTGGAAAAATCCGTTACAACTAAATATCCACAATTAATGTTACGTCGTACTGAATCGGTGGTGGAAAAAATGCTTACCAATTGGTTAGCATTGACCATGTATGATTATATGAAAAATTATGCTGGTTCACAATTATTTTTACTATTCTCGGCCATCAAACATCAAATTGAGAAAGGACCAATCGATGTGATTACACACGATGCTCGATATTCATTATCCGAAGAACGTTTATTACGTGAACATTATAGTAATTATGAACAATTAATTCTACAAGTATTTCAGGTAAATGTCATATTCGTTTTTCCCTAATTTATTGCTAATTTTACAAATTTTTTTTTCATCTAAAAATAAAATTAAATTAGCCTGAAAAACCATTAGATAAATATCATATACGTGTTAATGACTGTGATACAATAAATCAAGTGAAATCAAAAATATTGGACATCATCTACAAGAATACACCATTCTCAATGCGTCTTTCTATACATGAATTTGATTTGGAATGGCGTGATCCATCTGGAAATCATATCTTGTTGCATGATATTGATCATACTTCGAAACGTGAACATCATGGCGCATGTTGGCAACGATTGAATACGTTGAAACATTATAATGTAAAGAACATGTCGTTAGTAATGTTAATAACAAAAAATTCAATGCTCAGACATCAACAACAACAACAACAACATCAACATCAACATCAACAGAATCAAACATTTTATATGACGAATAAAAAATCAGCAATTTATCCATTGTTGGCAAATTCACCAATAAATTGTCAAACAACAACAATGAATGGTTTCACAACCGATGTTGATAATGATCGTTTCTGGCATCTGATGAAACCAACATTTGATGATATGAGTAAAGAATCATCTAGTTCATCATCCGGTTCAGTATTGATGCATAAAGCGATACCAGAAATATTTCTTACAAGACTTTTATCAACCAAAGGAACTGTACAAAAATTTATTGATGATTTTTTTCACACAATTCTTGTTGTTAATGATGCATTACCTGGTAAGTTTTGTTTGAATTTCATTGGAAAAGCATGCTAATTATTCTCTGCCCAAATAAAAACATTTTTAGTATCAATCAAATGGATATTTGATCTATTGGATGAAGCTGCCATTATGTATAATATTATCGATCCAGATGTTGTTCATGCATGGAAATCTAATTGTCTGCCATTGAGATTTTGGGTGAATTTTATTAAAAATCCAAATTTTATTGTCGATGTAAATAAAACGCCAACAATTGATTCAAATCTAAGTGTTGTTGCACAAACATTGATGGATTCATGTTCATCATCTGATCACCGGTTAGGAAAGGTTAGTATATAACAGAAACAACTAGAAAGAAGCAAAAAAAAAAAATAATTCAATGCTAACACTCAATTTACATGATTAGGATTCACCATCAAGTAAATTATTATTTGCCAAAGACATTATCAGCTATCGTCGATTGGTGATGCAATTCTATCAGGATGTATATCATTCGCCACCAGTAAGTGAACAGACATTATTTTCACATATGCAAAGTTTGAATATGGTAAGTGTATGATAAATTCATTCATTCATTCATTCATTTAACTTTGGTTTTTTTCCCCAAAATCAAGGCTCATGCTGGCCAATTCGATACTGTTTGTGCATTAAAAGAATTATTCGTTTATGCTGTTAAATATCATGCCGATATAATGAATAATTTACAACAAAGTGATTACATAACTAAACAACAATCGTTGGATAAATTTATTAATCTAATTAATTATAAATTTTAATTGATGATGATGATGATGATTCCTTTCTTTCTTTTTTTTTTTTTTTGTATCTTACAATCAATCAATCAATCAATCATCATTCGTTTGTATTATTTTTTACACACACACATTCAAATCCAAAACTGCTTGCTAATCATTATTATTATTGTAAATATTATGATATTATCATTGATTGATTCATTTCTCACTTTTACTTTTACTTTGAAAATTTTTTTTTTTTTTAAATAAAATTTTATCGAAAAATAAACACAACACACCAGATGTGGATTTTTTTGATGTTTTGTTTGTTTGGATGAGATTTTTCAAAAAAAAAAAATTAATCAAAGTGCTGCCATCTGTTGACAGATATTTTTCAATTCAATTCAATCAATCAAACTAATACAAGTCAATATGTGTTTGTTGAGCAAATGTGAAAATAAAATTTTATTTCATTGTATTGTATGATGGATTGAAAAATCCAAAAAAAAGCATAAAAATCAAAAAGTACAAAAAAAAAAAAAAATAAAATAAAATAAGAAGAATTTGTATACCAAGTTTGAACTTTTTCATTCTTGAAGTTGTTGCTGTAGTTTTGTTGTTTTGGCCAAGTGATGAAAGAGAAGAGAATTATTATCAGAATGATGATGATGATGATGAAAGAATTATTGTCATGATCAATTGATTGATTCAAGGATCAGATGCAAATGGTTTCTTAGTTAATTTCAAAACAAAAACAAAAAAAACAAACAAACAAACAGAGTAATTGAGAATTAAGCAGTGTCTGATTTGTATAATTTATTTGTTTTTTTTTTGGTAAGGCATTGGTATTGAAATGAAATATTATCGATATACTATTTACACACTGTATACCAGTGGAATATTATGATCGATGATCGATGATGATGATGATGATGATAATAAATAAATAAAAAAAGGATTCAATCGAATGGTCAAGTGTATGTGTGTGCGTGTGTCCGATATCAGATGTTTTGATCAAAATTTTTTGAAAAAAAAATGAAATGAAGAAGCGAAAGATTTTTTGATTCTGTTTTTGCCCAGGTGACGACGAAATTATTTGATTGGCTTGTATTTCCATGAATGAGAATCATTTTTGACAACGAGATCGATAATGATGATGATGAATGCGTTTCATTTTCATTTTGTTTGTATCAAACAAATACAGGATTATTACCCTGTTCATCGTTTGCATTTGTACTATTATTATTATTATTATGATGATGAAGTTTTTCACGATCTTTACCACCCACCAAATCATGATTATTATTTGGTGATGATTGTTGCTGTTGTTGTTGCTTTTGCTGCGGTTCGGCTACATTAGATATAGGAGATGATGCGGCCGATGATGAGATATTTGTTTCATTATTATTTACAGTATTATTATTACTACTATTAATCATCATAACATCTTCATAATCACCATTTGATGTAAGGCTAGCCGTTTCGCTTGTATTTGAATCAATGGTCGAACCACCACAACCAGTTGCTGCATTATAGATAGCATTAGCACCATTTCTTGGTGATGAATGATTCGATTGAACACCATCGATTTGATGATGATGATGATGATGATGATGGTGGTGGTGGTGGTGATGGGGATGGTGATTGTAATGACCACTATCATTATTACTCAAACGAAATGGTTCATTTGCATCGAAAAATCTTCGAAATGTAAATTCAAAAAATGCATGATCAGGATGTGATGATTTTGTTTTGTTATTGTTGTTGTTGTTGTTGCCATTGTTGTTATTACGTTGTTCCATATTGTTAGCTTGTGGTGTATTGGCTGCTATTTTATCACCAAATTCATTATAACAATTCATTGTGATAACATCATCGGATTCTATTGATGGTAAACGATCTGGACTAACTGGATCAAAATTCGATGTATCAAGATCATTTAGTATTGTTGGCACATGTGGTGCTGGTTGTTCACGAAGATTTTCATTGAAATTAATTTCACGAAAAAATGGATGTCTTTTTATTTCTTCGGCACCATTACGTCCAAGACGTTCACTTTGATCACAGCATAATTCACGTATCAATTTGATTACTTCATCTGAAAGTTTTTTATTCAATATATGTGTCGGTATATGAAGATATTTACGCCATTGTATCACCTGTATTTGTTTGTATAAATTAATTACAATCTGATTGACTGATTGATTGATTGATTGAATACTTACCCTTAATTGAGTATCTTCAGGTGTACTATCATAGAATGGTGGCCTACCGATAACCATTTCATATAGAATCACTCCGACACTCCACCAATCACATAATTGTGTGTAACCATTTTTTGCCAATACTTCTGGCGCAATATAATTTGGTGTACCAACCAATGAATGTGCTAAACAACGTTGATGTTCACGACGTTTTCTACGTTCCAATGGTTTGTTTGTCTGTTTACAATTACAATCATATGAACTAATTTGTCTTGCTTCATTCAGATCCATTGAATCAACACGATCATGATAATAACGGGAATTATGTGTCCAACGAAATCCAGTACAGAGACCAAAATCTGTTAATTTAATATGACCATCTTTATCGATAAGAACATTATCTGGTTTAATATCACGATGAATGAAACCCATTTTATGTACACTTTCTACGGCCAATACTAATTCAGCAATGTAAAACCTAAACAAAAAAAAAACAATAATGAAAATCAAAATGTTTTGCAAATAAAAATGCAATATGCAATTTACCTGGCTAATGGTTCATCAAAGATATTCAATTTAATGAGCAATGACATAAGATCACCACCAGGAATGTAATCCATAACAAAATAGAGATGTTTTTCATCTTGAAATGAATAATACAGTTTTACAACCCATTCACAATCAGCTTCAGCCAATATATCACGTTCAGCTTTCACGTGTGCCACTTGATTACGTTTCAGTACATCATCTTTACGTAATGTTTTCATTGCATAAAGAACGTTGGCATCCAATTTACGAACAAGTGCCACTTCGCCGAATGCACCGACACCGATTGTTTTGATTTTCGAAAACATTGAACGATCCATTTTTGCACGCCTTAATCGGATATAATTGGATTCTTTCTGATACAACATCTGACGTAGGCCAAGTTGATCTTCTTCCGATAGACATGCTTTTTTCATTTCTGATTCCAATTGTTCACGACGTTTTTCACGTTGTTGTTGGGATTTTATCACATTTTCCACATGTTGTTCCATATAAAACTTGAATGCAGCAGGTGAATAATTACGTACTTTAAATTCACGTCGTTCTTTCTCTTTGGCTTTGGATAAATTTTTACGTGTTGGAATCGGTGATTGATGTGTACGTTTTTTCGTACCATCTTCTGTTTCTTCAAATACATCACGACTACCATCATTACTACCAATGTCATAACTATCAGCATTGTGGTCATCATTACATTGTTTATAAAGGTCACAAATGTTACCACCGTCAACATCAGCACCACTTGATTGCTGTTGACAGGTTTCACAATTATTATTCATAATGGTCGTCGAATTGGCATTGTTCTCTCTGATTGATGGTGGTGGTGGTGGTGGTATTGGTGGTGGCGGTATTGGAGGCAATGATGGCTGTGAATGATTAGCATGAGTATTAATACTATTTGGTTTCGGTGGTAATGGTGGTCCAGGCACATTGGATTCATGATTGGATGGTGGCGGAAGAATCAAACCAATACGTCGATTGGTAGCTGAAACGGATGATGCCGATGATGCTGTAGTAGGTAATGATGATGATGATGGAGATGATGATGATGATGATAATGTAATACCGCCCTGTAATGCACTAATCTGTGATGTACAAATACTTTCAACCGTATTGACAAGATCACAGTTTTGAGATGAATTATTATGAAGATTGTCACTTGTTGTGGTTGTAGCCACATTATTGGCAGTTATTGATTGAACATAAGTGGAAGATGAATTTGCACCATTGATAGTGGTGGCATTACTATTAGCATTATTATAGCCAACACTTGGTGAGATGACAATGGCACGTTGAGCAGCTAATGCTGCCATTGATGATGCATAGCTTGGTGGATCGGTTGTTGGAACTTGTATAGTGGAAACATTATTACCACCATTAGCACTACCAGTACTGGCTACTGGAACAGGAGTATTACTAAGACCGGATATTATTTGTGCAATTGAATCATTCTGGCTAACCGATAATGTCATCGAATATGGTGGAGGTGGTGGTGGTGGCGGTGCCGTAACAGCAGCAGCTGATGTTGTCGCGGACGCTGTTGATGAAAGTGTTGGTGGTGGGGGTGGTGGTGGCGGTGTAGGCGATTTGCATGACATATCTGAACTTTGTGTTTGTGAATCTAAACTTTGTGTGGATAGCATTAATTTAGTGTTAGAAAATGATATGGCAGCCATTCGATTCTGATTCTGTTGTTGTACTGCTGAAGAATATGGTGGTGGTGGAGCCGCATGATATCCTGTTTCTGATTTGTTTGCCACCGTTAATGATTGTGGATGATGACCAGATGACGAGGAAGATGATGATGATGGTGGTGGTGGTGGTGGTGGTGGTGGCAGTAGGGGTGGGTTTACATTAGACATCGGACCAGAAGAAATTGATCCACTTGGATAGGGAGGTGGATTCTTGCTTGTCGATAATGATGACATTGATGCTGGTGATACTGAAGAACAGGATGCTGTATAGGCAGGTGTAGCATGAGCCGAACCACATGATGAAGGTGATGGTGGTGATGTTAATGGAGCTTTTGGTTGTGTCGCTATACCTGTTGGTGCTGTTTTCTGATTCATACACATTACAGTCGATATTGCCATCGATGGTGATTGTGATGATGCTATCGATAATTTAACATTGATTGGTGGTAATGTAGGTGCCACAGCTGTTTGTAATATCGGTTTCTGAACCTGTTGTGATTTAACCGATTGCATTATGATTGGTGATTGAGAGATTGCTTGTCTAGCTGACCATGGCTGCAACGAATGTTTAGGTGTCGAAATTGATGTTTCCGATGGCATATTACAACCACTACCACCAGCCAACGGAAGTTGTTGTGATTGTGGAGGTAATGGCTGTACTCTTCGCAAATTCGTCGTCGTCGTCGTCGATGATGATGTCGACGATTGTGTATGCAGACTTATCGATGATGTTGATGATATTGGTGATGATAATTTACGATGATTGTTATAATTGGATTGATTTTGTTGTTGCAATTGTTGTGATGATTGATGAAGGCCTTGTCGATGCATTTTTGGTGGCAGTAATACAACCGGTATTGATGCATAATCAGAACTTGAACTAATTGTTGGTGTTGGTGATTGCCGACCGGAACTACTTGATGCTGCATACGATGGTGGTGGACTATGTGCAAAGCTTTGACCAGAATAAGCCGATAATAAACTATTCGTACTGCCCGTGGCTATTTGATTCATATTTAGATTATGTAATTTTTGTGTCACTTGAGAAACAAGACCGGTTGTTGAATTGTTCAAGTTTGCTTGAGCTGACGATGATGATGATGTAGCGGATGAATTGATGGTTCCACCCAGAATCGAATTGAATGTTACATTTGCTGGTGCAGCTGTAAATCGAGAATTAGAAAATGAAATAGGACTTGCACCACGTTGTGGCGATGATGATGTTGCCGATGATGCATAACTGAATGCATTCGGTCGACATTGTACCATGTATGGTGTTGTACTATTGGTTGTCGTTGTCGTTGTCGTCGTCGTCGTTGAAGATGTCGTTGAGGCTATAATTTGATTCTTCGGTGACATTACAATGTTCGAACCTGATGATGATCCGGCCATCTGATTTGTGATATAATTTTTTATCTGCATCAAATTATTTTCATTCACTTTTGATGATGGAATCGGTTCCGATGTATTCATTGTTGTCGGTCGATGTGGCGGCAATGGTGGTGGCGGCAACGGATCTGTAGGCCTAAACGAAGACGAAGTAGACGACAATTGCGATAAAGATGATGGTGGTGTTGCAGATGATAAATTAGTTGGTGATAATACACGATGTGTATAGGTGGTTCCTGCTGTATTTGTCATCATACCATTGGCTAATGATTGCGTTTTACTGGATGAATTTGTACGATTCGTTGAAAATTGTTGTTGTTGTTGTTGTAGCCTATGATATTGTGTTGCCGATGTAGCAACAGAATTAGACAATGTCTGTTGTTCTTGTTTCTTGTTCGTTGATTGTATTGTTGATAATGGAGGAGCTAGTAGTGGCGGCAGTGATTGTAGAGGTGGTGGTGGTGGTGGCGGTGGTCCAGGACCAGTTGTTCCACAAATACCGGATGATGATGATCCACCAGATGAATGACAGATAGAATCAAGTGACATTTGATTTATGCTACCATTACTGTTGCTTCGTTGTTGATGGGAATTATGATGATGATGATTACTGAAAATTGGATGATGACCACCACCAGTAGCATTTAAGGCATTATTACAACCACCATTAACCATAACGATCGGACTATCAGAACGTACGGAACTTGATGCACTTTTTTCACTTGTGGCACCACTATATAAACTTTGTACATCTGAACATTTAAACATTGATGTCGTTGTCATCATCATCATCATTGTTGATGCTGATGCTGCTGCTGCTGCTGCGGATGATGATGATGTTGTTGATGATGATGATGATATCGATTTTTTATTAATCACTTTATGCGAATATTGCTGTTGCTGTTGTTGTTGTTGTATACGTTGTTGATCAATCACAATTGGATGATGAGAATGTTGTTGTTGTTGTTGTTGTACTTTATTATTATTATGATGATGATGAGTATAATGAGATGATGATGTTTCCATTTCTGTTCCAGTTTTTAATTTATCCTTAATTATTGTAATTGAAGCCTATACAATACAATAGATAATTAAAATTAGAAAATTAATATAAACCAGAATATTGATCTTTACCTCTGAACCACTACCACCACCACCACCAGCACCAGTTTCAAGTACACGTTTTATTAACTGTTGACGATTTACAGCATTCAATAATGTTGTTGTTGTCGATGATGATGATGATGATGATGATTGATGATCATTATTCATCAACATTGTTGATACGGATTTTCCTGTATTTATTCCATGATTTGTTGATTGTTGTTGATATAGAATATTGTTTGACGAATGTGTTGGTGGTAGTGGCGGTTGTGGCCCTATCGATTGATGAATATTATGATGGTGTTGTTGTTGTTGTGGTAGTTGTTGTTGTTGTTGCTGCTGTTGATGATGATGATAGCCATGATTTGAATGATGAAGATGGCTATGATTATGATGATGATAATTATTATGATTTATATTTGATCCAATCATTGGTGGTGGTACCAATGGTACCGGTGATGATGATGATGATGACTGTTGTTGTTGTTGTCCACCACCACCACCACCACTATTACTACGATGGCCACAATCGGATGCATTAGCAAATGGTTTCAGGGAATTACGAATCTGTTCCAATACATTACGTTTATATTTTCCTTGACCAATTGTAATCTGCTGTTGTTGTTGTTGTTGTTGCTGCTGCTGCTGCTGGCTTTGTTGTTGTTGTTGTTGTTGCTGGTGTTGTGGTATTTGACCGGTATGTTGTTGTTGTTGTGGATGTACCAAATGATGTTGATGCTGCTGGTGATGGTGATAATGTGGATATTGTTGTTGTTGTTGCTGCTGCTGTTGTTGTTGTTGTGGTTGATGATGTACCAGATGATAATGATTATGATTACCGGTTCCACTGCTACTACTACTACTACTACAACCACCATTTCCGCCATTATTCTGATTATTCAAATTAGAATCCAGCATTGAATTTATTGTTGGATTGGTATCCGAATGAGGACCACCACCACCCGTTTGTAAACTTCGTATCATCCAAAATGTTATAAAATTAAAATTAATTTGATGATGATTCTATTTATAATAATGTGTGAATGATTTGAATGTTTTTTTTTCAAAAACAATTTGAGTGCATTTGTTGAGTGAGCGTATTGTACTTTGAATTTGTCTTTTGAACATAGTATACGTTTTGTCATAGTTAATAGTTAATTAGTTAATTTGAATCTTCATTTTTCGTTCGTTCGTTAGTTTGTTTGTACTGATTGGACATTGAATTCATCAATCAATCAATCAAAGATATCGCAGTGTGTGTGTGTGCATTCTACTTTTTCTCTTGTTTTGTATACTGGAAGAAATTTTTTTTTTGTACTTTTAATTCGTCTGATTGCTTGTGATGACGATGATGATGATGATCATTGTTCAATATGGCACCATTTTAAAGAATGAATTAGAAAAAAAATCTGTAAAAAAAACAAAACAGATTAATATTGGTGATTAAAAACAAACCAAAACAAAACAAAACAAAACAAACTAGATGTATCAATTCATTGAATTAAATTCATTTGAAAAATAATGACGTATATTATATTGAAAAATTACAAATTCAATGTTTTTGTGTTTATTCAACGTTAAAATAAACACGTAGACACACACACACCCACTATAAATATCGAATTTCGTAAATCGTTGTTTTTTCATGTTGTTCTGGTATTTGATGTCAGCATTTAGGCACAAGAAAAATATTTATTTTCATCATTCTTGTGTGTATGATGATTCTTTGTATCTTTGAATAAAATATTTCCACCCACACAATCTAAATTTGATTTCGGTATTTTTTTTTTCGTTCGATTCTGATCTGGTTGTTGTTGTTGTCGTATTTTTTTTTTCATCAATATTTTTTTTTGTTTTTGGTTTTGGTTTTCTGCTGCTGCTGCTGGCAGTGGTTGTGCTATTTTTATAAAATTAACCGCACATTTTTTTTAAATTCATTCGATTTGATTCTGTGTGTGTGTGTGTGTGTGTATGGGAAAACGAAAGGAATTTGTTTTTTTTCTGCATCTGTGATTTGATGATTGTGAATGGAATTTTTCTTTTCATTCATTCATTCTCTCCCTCTCCCTCTCTACACTGACATTGTAATTGTTTGTTGTTTGCTGATATGGAAGAAGAAGAAGAAACATGCACAGACAATGAAAAACAATTAACACAATTTAACGATAAATTGAAAAACAACCGGGAAAAAAAATGGATAGATCAAATCAAATGATCCATATATATCTATTAATCTAATGATTTGACATTTAAAAATAAAAGCTCACCTTTTCCATTTGTGATTGAAAAGAAAAAAATGATGCACAATCAATGATGGCTTCTTACCCATCGTTGTTGATTGATGAGTATTTCGATGTTGTCATTGTCGTTGTTATTAATTATAATTAATTAATTAATTAAATATTATTATTGTCCAAAATGGATGGATTTTGATATTTATCATTATCGTCATCTGTTTGACATTTTTTCTTGCTTTTTTTTAATTTATTAGTGCATATCCTTTTTATCTATGGCATTAAATTCGATTTATCAAAGAAAAAGAAAATGTGATGATCGTAAATGTTGTCGTTGTTGTTGTTTTAGGAAAAAAATGTCAAAATCCAGATTATTTTGTTTGATGGTTGATGATGATTTTTCACTAATCGTTACCGTTGTTGTCGTTATATATTGATTTGATAATTTTAAAACAAAAAAATAAAGCTAATTGATCACAGGATTTTTCATGAATTTTGGCACACACACACACACATGCACATAAAAATGTAAAAAAAAGTTTTTTGCAAAGCAAAAAAAAATTGAACTTTGAAATTCTTTGAGCGCGTTATGGTCAAATGTTGATGATTATAATGATGATGATGATGATGAGTAAATTCTTTTTTTTTGAACTTTAATTTGATTTTTTTTCAATTATATTCAATGATGATGATCATGTGGTCATTTTTCTATTTTTCTTTCATGTTTTAATTATTGCTTGTCCCCAACAACAACAACAACAACATCAACATCAACAACAACAAAAAAAACAAAAACAAAATGTCCAAAACGATACGATATTATCATCATTTTCTTATTTTTTTTTATTTTTCATCATCATCATCAACATCATTATCATAGTTGTCGTTATTATCGCCATCATCATCATCATCATCGTCGTCGTCGTTGTTGTTGTCGTTGTTTTCGTTGAAAAGATGAGGCTCACCAAATCAGCCAATCAAATAAAAAAACATAGAAGCATCACTATCAAATAGCATCATCATCGATATATTAGATAGTAAACAACACAAACGAATGATGATGATGTTGATGATGAGACAACATCGAACAACAACGAACAAATCGACTAAATAGTCGTCCATCACACATATCATACAAACAAGAATGCAAAAGAAAACAAAAATGAAGAATATAAAAGACTGATGATGATGATGATGATGATGATGTTGAGAATGTTTGATGCTCATACGTATATATACGAATATATATGTTTATAATGGGCAACAAGAAGCATAAATAAACCTCGAGAGAAGAATTGTTGTGGCTAAAAAAAAAAAAAAAGCACCAAATTCATTCCATCATTGTATTGTATTCACATCACATTATACATACATAGAATAAGAGTAGTATAGTATATATGTAAGCCAACAATAAATAAATCGTGGTCGTCAGGGTTCGCTAGTTGTTTTTTCTTTCTTTCATTTGTTTGTTATATGTGGTTCAATGCAATTAGAGCATTATATGTGTGTGTGTATTGAGCATCCATCCATCTATCCATTCTCATTCATCCATATTTAACAATATTTCTTTTTTGGTTGCTTGGCTGGTTTTTTTTTCTACTTTTTTTTTCTGTTGTTGCTTGGCCTAGCTCTCATACAAAAACATACACACACACACACGGTTACATTATTGAACGAATGGAGGTAAGCAACAGCCACCACCATCACCACCACCACAACCACCAATCAATTCATTCGGCCTTCATTTTTCTCACATATTTTTGCCTGTTGCTTCGTTGTATTTATTTTTTTTTTATATTTGGCTGCTCGTTTTGTTGTTGTTGTTTCCATTTCTTGTTGTTGTTGCTTGCTTGTTGTTGTTGTTGTTGTTGTTGTTCATGACACACACACACACACACACACACACATATACTTTTTTTTAAGGATTCCATTCTTGAATTTTGACCCCCTACCAAAATTTTTTTTTTTTTTTTTTTTTTTTGGTCAATTTTCCCTCTCTCTCTCTCTCTTTTATGCTTGTGTTCCAATCACAAATCCTGAGTAAGTAGAAGTAGTGGTTGCATTTCATAGTTTTAATTTTTTTTTTTTTTTTACATTCCAATGAACACAAGCAACAAGCAGCTTTTTGGACCGATCAAAAATAAATGAATGTGACCACACTTGTTGCTTATAAAATAATGGTGTTGGCGGTGGTGTGGAAATTTCATTTTTTTTTAATTTTTATTCTACATAAAAAAATTAATTTAAACATGACATAATTCAAGTCAGATTATAGTATAATATGATTATTGGGAAACCATTTACTCTGGAATGTCGTCAATGGTTCCGTTTGTGTGACCAGAAATCAATGTGGTATCAGTGAAAAAAAAACCATCTGGACCCAGAAAACATTATTATCCATTGCTGCTGCTGCTGCTACAAAGAAAATCATTTTGGTCTTTGACGAAACAAAAAAAAAATTCATAAACAATGTTACTGATCAGATATTTTCATAATAAAAACATAAGCGCCGTCTGTACGAAATTTTTTTATTTTTTTTATTGTCAAAATAGAAAACAAAAAAAAATTGATTGAGATCAGTGAACAAATAAAACGTGAAAGTAAACGAAAAAAAAAATCAAATCAATCGATAACCAACAGCAATAGAATGATCGATGCCTAAACTTAATTTGATCACATGTGTTGGTATTGATATCTAAATGAAAAATTGGAATTGAAAAATTGAAATGAAAAAAAATATCCGTATACATCACGTAAATATGTAACGTACCCGAAATGGAAACATCATATCATGTTTGGTACCGATTCCTAGATTGGCACGATTATTTTTACCCCACATAAATAATTCACCTCTATCTATGTGAACAAATGTCGACGATTATGAACAAGTAAACAGGCAATTTACCAACTTACTATTGATGGCACCAAAATGATGTAAACCGGCAATGATTTTCGTAATTTTTGTATCCATATTCAATACATTACGACCAAATAGATTTGCATGCAATTCGGTTGGCCATAATTTTTCACGTATATTCGGTCCTAATCCAAGTATTCCATAACCCCAAACAAATATTGAACCGGAATCTAAATCAGTAAATAAATAGTCAATTTGAATTTGTAATGAAAATTAAAAAAATAAATTCACCATTAATTAATGCACACATTGAACCAGCAGCAGCTACATCGGAAATTTTTCCTATCGAATTGTTGTCCACTTTAAGATGTCTAGATGTATGAATTTGTGTCTGATTCACATTATTGGCCATAGCTAATTGTCCATATTCATTATTACCCCAGCCAAACATTTGTCCTTTTTCTGTGATTCCAGTGAAAAAAAATTAAAGGCTGAAAATTATCGAACCAATAAAAAAACTTACCATTAATGGCTAATACACAATCACCGGCAGATGAAATTTTGATAATTTTTTCACCTTGAATATCACCGATAACTTTGGATAATTTCCATGATGAACGACATACACCATGACCCAATTGGCCATCATCACCCCAACCAAATGAGTAAACAATACCAGATCGGGTTAACGCTAATGTATGATCAAGACCACAACAAATATCGACTATTGGATCGTTTTGATCATAATCAATTTGATGAACACGTTTAGAGGCAAAATATTTTTCATCCTCCACAATTGGACGGCCACATTGACCAAATGAATTGTTACCCAATGTGAACACTGTACACATTGACATTTAAGATCAAAACATAGCCAAAAAAAAAAAATCAAAAACTCACCGTTATTATGATTGGTCAGACATACAGTATGTGCCCGACCACATGCTACTTTGACCACTTTCTCCATATTTTTTTTATTGCTGTTGTTCAATGGTAAATCGATAGGCACCGGTTCAGCCACACAGATTAACGGTTCATTTGATTGATTGGATTGAAAACCAATCTGTGAATCAGTATTCAGACCACAGCCAAACAATACATGTGTGGAACCATCATAGGTAGCTGCAATCACAGTGAAACCAGAACCTGCTGCTACATCATATACATGACAACGAGGATTCACGAATCGAAGTCGTTGTGGCGAACGTATCACTGTTCGTTTGGGTATTTCAATTTGACCGGTTGCTTTTTCATATCGACCAAGATGACTTTGACGACCCAAAGCACCGGTTGACGAGAATCCCCAACAAAATATCGATTTCGAACGTTTTGTTGAATGTTTCTCATCGGCGAATTGATATTCATCCATGTTCGCTACTTCTTCAGGATCTTGTGGACGCATTCGTGTTTGTCGTGATTGATTAATGGAAGTCATTGTGTAGGGTCGATGTTTGGTAGTCATCATCATCGTCATTTTTGAAAATGATGACCATCGATATGATTTAATTAACATGATGATCGAAATTCAAAATCAATTTCTTTGTATCACAAAACCATGTGGTATAAACAAAATAAAATAAAAAAATAAACATCTTATATTGTGCCATCTATCGCTAGATAATAAAATCATGCAACAGCAATAAATATGAATAACTTTTCGTCTATAAACTTGGCTCTTGGTCTGATATTCGGCTGATATTGATGATTGAAATTCATAAAATAACTGAAAATGATGAAACCATTTAGAATTCTTATGATTGGTAATCATTGTCAATGGATGATTGGCCATAGAATTTCGTCATTTAATCCATCAAAGAATATCGTTAGATTTGGCTTTCAGCCTGGGCGATATTATGGTTCTAAGCGACCAAATGATTTCATATTTGATGGTGGCTATTCGAAACATCTTTATCCATTGATTTTCTCAGGTGTTTGTTTGTCCTGGTTTTCATTGCATACAGTGTTCAAAGAAAAAATTGTCACATTAATGGAAGTACGTGATACTATTCAGTAAGTAACAGTAATAACATTTTTTGTTGATGAATAAATCATCTTTTTTCAAAAAAAAAAAAGAAACAATCGAAGCTACCGATGAAAGTGGAAGAATTTGTATCCGACACAATAGAAACAAGTCAACTTGATCAATCATTGAAACAAGTACTACCAGCATCATTTTATCTATCAAATCAGATTGAACCGATTACTTTAGGCACATTTCAAACTCATTTCGGTGCCTCCATTTTATTGCCATTCTATTTCCAATATGACAACATTGATCAAGTGGACGATAGTTATGTGTGCCAAGTGCTTCGTCTCAACTATTCACTATTGTCTCAAGATGAAACAGATGATGGAAAACCTGTGCTGGAACATTTGAGACAATGTTTGATCATGTCTGCTGATGCTAAACGTTTTGCTTTCACTTCATTAATTCACAATAATTCAATGCCAGCTGGATTCTATGCAGAAATTTTTGGTCTTTTTGTTTTACCATTTTTAGCTAATGAATCGGCAAATCTAATGCAGCGACGATTACGACTAAAAAATCCGTTGATAAATGTGATGGCTTCTATTCTGGGTTATTTTAGCTACTACATGATAAATCCATTGTTGAAACAAACACAAACTCGTTATGGCCATTTGTGTGTATACAAATACGAACCATCAGATGTACAAAAAGGTAGCAAAGAATATTTCGATAAATTGAAACAATTACAATGGATAATCGATAAATATGGTGATGATCATCAATCAAAATCAAATTCGACCAAATGGCTAATTCATATACTACGCAGTAGTACTTATTATTCATTCGATCAACAACAACAAGATTGTTGTCATTTTGAAAAAAATTTACAATGGTCAAATTTGTTTTTTTATACATAATTTTTATTATTATTATCAGTAAACTAAACAAGAAATACAGGATTTTTTTTTATTTCTGTAATGAAACAAACGTCAATTATAATTATGATAACAACAATAAACAACAACAACAACAACAAACAACGACAACGAAAAAAAACGAATAAAAATACAATTTCTGTCGTAGTGTGTGCTCTTTTTTTTTGTTACTGAATTTTGTTTGTCTCTGATTCATTTGTTTCTGGTTTTCCCCATTTATAAGTACCATAAAATCGGAATCCATTTGCAATACAAAAATCATCAGCCTGTTTAGGACCACGTGATCCATATGTGTATGGTAATGGAACCACTTTTTTCGTTTCAATTTCTTTGAGCAATGGAGTAAATATACGCCAGGCTTCACGTAGTTCATCGGTACGTACGAAATGCATTTGTGAACCGGAGAATACATCCAATATAAGTCTTTCATAAGCATCTGGTAATACAACATCTTTGTATCGACTACGATATGTCAAATCAAGCTCAGTCTCTTCCAAACGGAAAGTCATACCAGGTTCTTTGGTCATCATTTTAATGTAAACGGCTTCACCTGGTTGTACTCTAATCACCAATTCATTACGACGGCATTGGCCTTGAAATATGTCACCAGGGACATCACGAAATTGGATACGAACTTCAGTTTTACGTTCATTAAGTGCTTTACCGCATCGTAAAAAGAATGGTACACCATCCCAACGTTCATTGTTAATCACGCATTTAGCTAAACAAAAAGTGGCCGTCAAAGAATCATTGGGTACGGTTGGATCTTGCACATAGCTTTGACGAGAATCTTCAGTCTTGCCATTAGGATCAGAAATATATTGGCCAAGAACAACATCGTCTAGTGACAATGTTTGCATACAACGTAATACTTTCACTTTTTCATCTCGTATATCTTCGGCACTTGCTGACACTGGTTTTTCCATAGCAACAAGGGTCAAAATCTGTAACAGATGATTTTGCATTACATCACGAATGATGCCAAAATTGTCAAAATAACCACCACGACCGGCTGTACCAAATGGTTCTTTGAATGAAACCTGAATTGACGCTATGTTCTCACGATTCCAGATTGGACCAAAAATACGATTAGCGAATCGCAAACCCATCAGATTCTGTACCATTTCTTTGCCCAGATAATGATCAATACGATAGATTTGATTTTCGATGAACAGACTGGACAAATGTTTGGACAAAGCTTCGGATGAATCATAATCACGACCAAATGGCTTTTCGATAATGATACGATTCCAGCCACTGGAAACAAATCAATAGATAAACAGATGTGTTAGGAAAATAATGTTCAAAAAATGTATCGATTTTCACATTACTCACTTGTTGGACATACAATGATTATGGATGAGTTGTGTGACCGTGCCAAAAACCGTTGGTGGCAATGCCAAATAAAAAAGATAATTGCAAACCTCATTCGGATTGGCCAATTCACGGACAGATGCCTGCAATTTGATAAAATCAGCCGCATCATCATAAGATCCTTTAATGTAAAGATTTTGTTTGAGAAATTGATCAAACAATTGTTGTTCGGCATCATTCTCTATACGAATATATGGTCGCATATTGTTGCCAATGTTTTCCACTGTCAGATTGGATCGTGCATAACCAACGAATACGGTTTTGGCCGGAATTAGATCATCTCTAAATATTGACCTTGAATTTATGATGTGAAAAAAAATTGATGATTAAATTGATTTGTTTATCATTTTTTACAACCTACCAAAGTGTAGGATAAATTTTCTTTTTGGCCAAATCACCCTGTAAAACATAAACAATCAGTGAAAAAAAATTATCGAATCGAATCAATGATCATACCGAAGCACCCATGACAAAGAAAAGATGATGATCGCCAACCTGATAGTTGAGCGATTCTCGTATCAAACGTAATGCATCCAACGATATATCCATACTGTCCATTGGTGATGTCGATAAAATCAGTGATGATATTGTTGAATATTGATGATTAAATGTTTTGTTGCTTGTAGTAGCTTGATTATTATTATTAAGATTAAAGCTCTCTTCCAATTCAAATTGATCGGCCAATTCTTGTTCAATTAAATCTTTATCGTCTTCTGATGATGATCTCACTATAATTGAACGACAATCTTCATCAATTATTGATTTTGGCTTCAATGTTTGTTGTTGTTGGTGGTGGTGGTGCTGGTGGAGCGGATTATTGTCTGAAGAATCTGCAAAACGTTCAGATATAATACTCGATTGATCTGGATCAAGATCAAAATGATGATGAAATGAAGAAGAAGAAGTAGAAAATGAATAACTTAATGTTGATGATGCTGAATTATGATGTAAATCTTTGGGAATAAAATTTTTCCACTGTTGTTGATTATTATTTGTCACTGTTTCTTGTGATGTTTGTTGCAGTGTTAATAATTCATTTTGTTCCAATTTATTTTCACTACTACTTTGTGTTTGATTGTTAATGATTGACGGCTGTGACGATTGCAACAAATCGTTATTGATATTGGTGGTAGTGGTGGTGGTGGTGTTTGCCTTCGGCGAATCTATCCAAAGCTGTTTATCACCGGAAAAGCTATGATTATTGCCAACACCATTAGCAACAATCAATCCAACGGCTGAATTAGTGGCCGAGGATATTGTGGCTAATTCAGGATTCGTTTTATTATTACGATTACGATCGACAGTGGAGACACCACCTGTTTGACATAGACCCATGACGAACACCACACCAAAGACATTATTTCTATTGGCCATTCATATATTATCACACTATCACACTATTTCTCTAATTTTACTAAACAAAAATTAACAAACACACACACATGCAAACACTGAATTAATCTGACTTAATTTCCGGTTTAATTTAAAGAGCAAAAAAAACAAGTTAATCACGAAATTAACCAAGAGAATACACCAGAAAAAAAGGAGATGATTATTTTGTTGTTGTCGTTGTCGTTGTTGTTGAATTAAAATATTAATTTCCATTGAAAATCATTATTGAATTATTGATCGACAATGATGATCAAAGCAAAGCAAAACAAAACAAAACAAAATATTCATGCGTTCAAACACATGAGAGTGAATGAGGTTCCTTTTTTTGTTCATCGTTTCATTGAAAACAGGTCAATTCAAATGTAAGATTTTCAGAATTCGGAAATTTAACAACAACAACAACAACAAAAAAACTCAAACAATTATCGATCCAAAAATGATTATGATGATGATGATGATGATGATGATTCATAAATCGACAACAATCGTCTGTCGTTTGAGCTAACGATTTTCAAATGACTGACTCATCATCATCATGTGTGTGTGTGTGTATTGTATGTGTTTATGTTATTTTCTTATGAATTTAGATCGATAATTATTACATGGTTGGCAATGAAAAAAATTTTGAAAAATAAAACACACACACACTCACACAGATACACAGAGAGACATACACAAAACCAATTACTATCTCTATGACAATCTATTTTTTTTCAACATTGAAGAAAAACAAAGAAAATCGATAATCAGAGAGAGAGAGAGAAATGGAGAGAGGGTGAGCATAAGCACCAAGAAAAAAAAACCAATTCAAACAACTTATGACTCTCTTTATTTTTCTTTCGATTTTTTTTATTGCTTAAATATGACCAATCAATTTAAACAATAACCAAATAACAAAATAAAATAAAGCAACCGAAAATCATTGTTGCATCAAACGATATTACGAAAGATTGAACAAATTCAAAGACGTTTGGATTACATACACACACACACACCATATTATGATAATTGTCAATTGATTAACATACAAATCACTCACCTGATGAATGAATGAATGAATGTGATGATGATTTCACTTAATGGTTAGCCTAGTTGATGATTAAAATCATCATCTAGCTTTATATATCAGCTCAATGAATGAATGAAAATGAAAATGTTTGTTTCTGGTTGAGCGGTGTTTCCATATATATATAAATTTTATGATGATTCCTTGTTTTTTTTAAATCATATATATCCTGGGCGTCTTATTTTTTTTGAAAAAAAACAACACAAGTTTATCGGTGTTAGCGTGCAAGCCAAAAGAGTAAATGATGATGATGATGATAGTTGTATGATCAAGTCCTTGAATTTGAGAAAGTGAACAAGAGAGAGGATTGTCATCGAGATGGATTGGCCAAGTGTTGATGGCTGGTTTTCATTTTTTATTTTTATTTTTTTTTTGTAAGTGGAAAGCATTTATTTGATTCTCTTTTTTTCCAATCAATTTCCACACATATACATGTTAACGACGACCACCAAATCTTTTCTATTTTTTTTTGTTGTTGTTATTGGCTCTGCTTATTCAGTTTCTCTGCTTATTCGATGATGATGATCATTCATTCATTCATTGTTTGATTATTGTTGCTGTTGTCAACGGCATCATAGTTGATGAATATAAAACGGGGAAAAAAAATTTTTTTTTCTTTCTTTTTCTTCAAGAAACTTCAAGGGAAAATGGGCAGAATTGGTGACAAATGATGACAGTTATTATTGGTGCTTGTGTATATTGTATTGTGTACAGGTGTATTTTGCCGACTAAATTTGAAGTTTTTTTTATATATATTTGCTTGATATAAGCTAGCAACAACAACAGCAACAAGGACAAATCTGTCATATAACGAAATCATCATCTGCATCCAGTCATCACTAACACCATCATCATCATTTCATGCATACATTAACTTGGATTCTTGTTGTTGTTGTTGTTGTTGTTGTTGGCCACATAAACCTTTGGCAGCAAGAAAAATTTTAATTTTTCCTCATATAATTTTGAATTATGTTGTAAATTTATGAGATGAGATTTTTTTCTTATTTATTTTAGCTGTCAATTTTTTGTTTCGAAATGATGATTGCTATCAGAAAAAAAAACAAATAAAACAAAAATTTGATGATGAGATGAATTGAGCAAATATTTACATGGCAAATGCACACACACACACACACAAAAAACAAACTAATCGATCGATGAATCGATTAAGATTCTTGTTTCTATAGAATCTAGATTGATGATAATAACATATGATGATGACAGTATCTATATATATATATATAAAAGCGGTCTCTATTGACAGATTTTGTAAACACAACATAAATAAACAGACAGACAGACCGACAGCTCTTTTACCTACACTCATACCCCGCTTAACGCTGCCCCGTTTAGCGCTGATTCGATATAACGCTGTATAATTACCCTACATTGCATTACATTGTTACATTGTATATGAAGGGTAAAAATGCATTATGTAAAGATAGCCCCGCTTAGCGCTGTTTCGCTTAACGCTCAGAATTTTTGGAACGTAACCCCCGCGTTAAGCGGGGTATTACTGTATTTCATCAATGATGATGATGATGATGATGATTTTATTGTTGCTCATCATCAATAGACCACGCCATATATTTGTGTGTATATCTGGTGGTTAGATGAACTAAAATAGTGAAAAAAAATTTTTTTTGCCATGGATCCATTACAATGGATCAATATATTCATGTCTGATCGATTAATGGTCAACAATGTTGATCATTCAAATGATGATGGTGGTCTTTTAGTGTTTGGCCATTATGAACGTAGTATTGATGGCCATGGTCTTAATGTAAACATTACGGCTACATTACGACAACGATTCAACTCATCGATAAAACAATCGTTAATGAAAAATGATGAAATCGATAATCTAGTCTGTTTGGGACAAATAAATATACTCAACGATTGTTCCAATCTTACAGATCACATTAATAATGGTGATGATAATGAAATGCAAATGTTTGGCTCGGTTTATTTGCAATTGACTATGCGACAATCCACTAACAGCAACAACAACTATGATGATGATCAATCATTACCATATCATCTTAAATCAATCAGATTTATGGGCAAACAATTCATGAATCTGGATAAAGTGTCCATTATTCTATACGATGCATATCGATTAATGCGTTGTCAATCATTTGATCTTTATACACCGGGCAACAGGTTGGTACATTGTGACAAAACATTTCTCTAAATTAATTAACTAAATAATAAATTTCTTTAGAATAGAATTCCTAAATTTTGTTTTGAAAAGTCTGTACGATACATCAATCTTATATGAAAATGGTTATCATCCTAAATGGTCAACAAAAAACGACAATAATGATGCGTTGAATGACAATGATATCTATTATGATTATATGATTGCCAGACAATTATCCACAACATTCATCTATTATTATGGCCAAGCCAAACGATATAATAATCAAAAATCAGCCATTTGTGATGATTTTGCCACCACATTGACTTCTGAACAATCTAGATCATCATTACGATTACCATATTTTATTCTCTATTTATTCTGGTTATTGGATTTGTTGACATTCCATAAATCATTGTTTATTGCTCAGTTAAAATTTCGTTTACTACAAATTCGTTATATATTGAATTTGGCTAAACAATCTCCAAACAAACAATCATTATCATTATGTAATCTATTGTTTGCCATCATTTTTGATCATATATTAGGTGTAATGGCAATATTACTTGTGTTTCGATATACAAATCATTCACATCTGATGCAACTAGTCCATACAAATGTTGGTTTATTGTTGAACAAAATCTATAATCTATTATTATTGTTACAAAGTATGCCAGCCGGGCTAAAATTGAATCATCCATTCAATCAAGCACTATCTCAGGTTATGTTTTATCTAATTTATCTATGGCAAAATTATATGCTCATATTTCAAAAACTTTTTCCTGCAATGACAATTTTTGCCTGTTATTTTGGTATATTTGGTATCACTTTTACCATTAGGTAAGTAACCAAAATAAAAAAATTAACTAACCATAAATGGAATATATATATATTAATCAGAAAACAAATCAATCTAGTTTATTATCCGATCTATTCAAAATGATTACCGTACACATTTTCCTGTTCTATGGTTATACATCACGTGTTTATAATTTTCAAACAGCCGGCATTATATCATTATGGCGATTGTTTCGTGGTAAAAAATATAATCCATTACGTGATCGTATTGATTCATATTCATATGAAAATGTTCATCTTTTTATTGGAACAATATTATTCACTGTATTCATATTTCTATTGCCCACCGTATTGATGTACTATGTTGTTATGTTGATATTTCAATTGATTATAATTGCCATCAAACAATGTAAGTGTATATTTGATATTCATTGTCATTATGTATTCATGTTCACTCTTTCTCTCTCTCATTCATAGCTCTTTTCTTTTTCATCGATTTTCTTAGCACATTACCTCTTTACACTGGATGGTTATGGCTAATCAATTCTAACATTGTTTCTGGTCGAATCTATTTTCGTAGAATGATCACCAACAACAACACTAGCAAACGTCATGAAAGTGAAATTAGTAATCACCGTAAGCCTGCCATTTTTCGTATGGAAACATTACCTGATTCATTTATGAATCTATTCAATGGCCATAGTGATTTTGTAGCTCGACAATTGAAACAATTTTTATTGAACAATTCTTATCGTAATGTACCATTGTTTAAATGGAGCACATTTTTCGGTGATGTTATACTTGGCCGAAATGTTGGTGAAAATCTACCATATTGGTTTTCATTTTTACTCATGTCTATATCATTATTTTTGTTCTATCAATTTCTGGAACCTTGACAATGAAATAGAATCAAACATTGCCACAGCAACAGTGTGATAGATTTTCACTCGCAATCCAATTGTATTGTTGTTATTTTGATATATATTGCAATTACAATTTGTCCATTATTGTATCTGTTAAAGTACCTGTTTATAATTTATTTTTTTTTTACATTTTCAATGTCCGGAAATGAATTTGAAACAAAACAAAACAGAAAAAAATTGAAATTTCAAAATTCAATTTCATCACATCCTTGTTTTTTTTTACTATTCACTCATTAATTCGTTCACACAACGAATGTTTCAGTTGATGGTATTCTGATGAAAATTGTGCAATCCACCAGCCACACAAATATAATTAATTTGTTGGTGTGTGTGGGTGTGGGTGTGTGTGTGGTTGTTATTGTTGTGTTTTTCTGTTACTGTTTTCAACAAACAGATGGCGTCCGCGGATCAAGTTTAGCGTCAGCGGTTTTTTTTTGAAAAAAAAATCGGTGTCACCAAAAAAAAAAAAAAAAAAACAAAAATAAATAACCCGAATGGGAAACATAATGATTCTGCTTGATCGAATTTTCATACAACCAAAAGATTTTCGTATATAGATAAATTATTATATTGTCGTCGTAGAAACTTTTTAATTTTTTTTTTATTTTTTTTGGAGGGGGCGTTATTAAAAATGATGAATGATGACTACACAAACAACAAAACCATGTAATATAAGCAATGTCCACCGTTTTTTTTGTTATTGTTGTTGTTGTATTTATTTGTATAAAATGTTTGTCCATTTTCCAAACTAACGAAGCAAATCTAGAAAATAAACTAATTTCAAGCATGAAAGATTAAATCACACATATATTGGCTAGTCATGGTGGTGGTGGTGGTGGTGATGATGATGATGATGATGACACTATTTATGTATGTAATATTATCATCTGACAAAAAGGGGTTTTTTTGTACAGGTTTGCACACACTGATCGATATGGTTACTGTGTGTGTGTGTGTGTGTGTGGTCATTCAAAAAAAATGGCAAATTGTCATGTGGACCATTGTTACCTGTTACAAACACACACACTCGCACATTTTTTTTGTTGTTGTTGTTGTTACATTAATCAATTGGCCTTTTTGAAAAAAAAACACACACACATACACACACACAAAGTTGTCACACTGGAGACAATCAATTCAAGTTGATGAATAAACAATGAATGAATTTTTTCAAATATTTACATTCTATTCAATCATCATGATCATGATCATGATCATCATCATCATCAGATGCACTCCATTGGAGATGTTGAATTTTGTTTTTGTTTTTCTTTCTAAATTGCAAATGTTTGACCGCAATGTGTGATAATAATCATCATAATGTTTTGATATGATGTATTTATTATGGCCACATGTATATGTGTGGGAAATTATTTGTCAATTTTTCCATCAATATACAGATGATGATGATGATCATCATCATCATTATCATGTAAATGAGATGAGAAGATATATGAAAACAATTTTCAATCACATTCTAATCAGATGAAAAAATGAAATAAACAACAAATTATTATCGATGTTATTGATTTTATATTGGTATTTGTTATTAAAAACAAACAAAAAAAAATTAGACGATGATGATGATCATTTTAAACCTGGAAATACAAAAAAAAAATTTTTCAAATTATTGTTGCTGCTGCTGTTGCTGTTGCTGTTTGTTTCCGGATGTGAACAGAAAAAAATAAGTGATAAATAGCTTTTAAATAGTCGTTGTTGTTGCTGTTTTAATCATTTGTCGATTTGTTGGATTTGTGAATCAAGAAAATATTTTCATTTTTCGGCATGGATGATGAGCGGTGGTGGATTATTATATTATTATTAAGAAGAAAAAAAAAATCCGTTTTGGTTCATTTCGATTAGTTCGACTAAATATAAGTCAATCAAACGCAATGATGACGATGATGATTAGTTTATGTGCTTTCATCCAAAGGTGTTTAAAATGTGTGTGTGTGTGTGTGTGTGTGTGTGTGTGTACATAGCCAGATAATAATAACGATTGGAAACAAATATATCGATTTGTGATCATTATTGGTGATGATAGTCCGAAATTGTTATGAAATAAACGTTTGAAAGTTGAAAGTTATCAAACGATATACTTTGGCGGTACATTGATTATGAGCTCAAAGACCGTGTTTTCGTTTAGCTTAATTATAAAAAGATTATCGTCCATTAAATGTATTTATTATTAATTCAATTTGTCGACATACACACACACACAAAGATTATGATTTATAAAAAAAAATAAGGGCTTTTCCTATGTTTCTGTCCATGTCAATCAATCTGATGATGATGAAAAAAAAAATTTTTTCCGAAATCATAAAATGATTCAACAATATTGTAATATATTGACCATAGGGAAATACCAACAAAACGCTATTACATAATCAATCTAATCGATTGATCAATGTTTATGCACTCCAAGTATTCAATTTCATTTTATTTCAATGATGATGGTGGTGGTTTGAAATACCGATTTCGATTTTTGACTTTTTTTTTCCTATCATAATCACACGCACGCACACACACACACACAGACATAGGCCGATATTTGGGCCGGGAAAAATTTTTTTTTTGTGACCAAATATTAAGACAGGTTTTTTGTTTGTTTCTGTTGTCGTTGCTTTGTTTTACATCACTGTGTGTGTGTGTGTGTGTGTCAGTGGCCAACTTTCAGGAAATATCGATCTATCTGTCTGATGCCTTGAAGCTGACTCAAAAAAAAAAAAAAATTTTTTTCAGCTCATTTTCATGGCAATTTTTTTTTCAACGACAACAACAACAACAACAACAACAGAACAGAAAAAGTCAACCCGAAACCAAACACAACACGAAATTAACTGTGCGGCCATCTTGAATAGATTATTTTTCGTTGAGAGATATTTATCTTTGTCGTTGTTATTTATTTTGTCTGGAAAATGTTTTTGATCATCATGTGACATTTTCACACGTAGGTCAATTCTAGTTTTTGTTGTTGTTGTTGTTGTTGTTGTTATTCACTTTCAATCGATTTTTATATCTAATCAAAATAAATTTTTCATGATGATAATGATGGTGATTGACCACAAAGAAAACAATGAAAACAAAAATCATCATAACAATCTGAATCTGAATGAATAACGATGGAGAGAAAAAAAAACATGTGAATATAATTGCTAGTATTATGAGAAATGAGCACGTTTCCAAACGTCAATTCTGAACGCACACACACACACACACACACACAAACTTACACGCGACAAGAACTGAAATTGTCTTTCAAATAATAAAGTGTGATTATTGTTCCACAAATCCAATAGTTTGGTCAACTTTATTATCATTTTCTTTTATCAATGGCCATAAAATAATGGCTTGATTTTTGTTGGAAAATTTATCGATTCTCCAACGATGAATTCATCCACTTTCATTCTCTCTCTCTCTCTCTCTCTCTCTCTCTCTCTCTCTCTCTCTCTCTCTCTCTCTCTCTCTCTCTCTCTCTCTCTCTCTCTCTCTCTCTCTCACACACACACTCCGTTGTTGTCACATACGTGTGATTACCATGTGATTATGGTGATCATCAAACACGATTATGCACGTCCATTATGATGATGATCAATTTGCATTTTATTTAGAAAAAAAAAATTATATAAAAATCTTTTATATTTTAAATTTTAAATTTAAAATTTTTTTTTTTGCGTTCAAATTGTTTTTTCATCATATCATTTGTAGATATATTGTTTAAATGAGAGAAAAGAAAATAGTGAAAGAAAAGAAAATTTTTCATAAATCATCTCATCATATGTGAACAATAACAATGTGAAAACATTATCATAGCAATGATGATGATGATGACTAAAATGTCTTTGAATTATCCATTTAAATAATAAAGAAGATGATGATGATGATGATTAACGGTTACTGTAAATTTTCAGCAGCAGCAGTAGCAACAATATATATATATCGCTTGCAGCCATGCTTATTATCTATGCTGGTCATTTTTTTTTTTTTGATTTTTTGATTTTTGATATTCATCAAAAAGATTTCTATATAATTTCTTTACTTTGATAGCTTCCTGACATGTGTCGAAATTGTTGTTGACAATAGTCAACCAAAAAAAAAAAAAAAAAAAAATTTTTCGATGATGATGACGGTAAGACACGACACGCAACACGTGTTTTTATTGTTGCTGTTGTTCAAATAAACAAAAAAGACATTTATTTGGCCCTGGAGGTGTACTTTATATTTATATATATAAACAAAAGCCGGTTATCTTGAATCCAAAATACACGACTTTCTCTCTCTCTCTCTCTCTCTCTCTCTCTCTCTCTATTTCACTGTCTATTTATCAAAAAAAAAAAAAAAAACAAACAAACCCACAGAGAGTTTTTGACAATACAGCCAGCTATTATTTTTTCAAAAAAAAAAAAAAAAAAATGAATTTATCCAAATGAATAAATAGATGATCGGGTGTTTATTTTATTATATAAATAGGAAATATATCAATCAATCAATCGAAAATCATCAAATCATCAAATGTAGTAAATTATCAATTGTTTGGTTTGATTGGTTGACTATAATTTTTCTTCTGTTGTTGTTGTTATTGTCACCAAAATATACCTGTATTACAATCGATTTTGTTTTTTTTTTTTTTCAAACAAAATCTCTTTCTTAATTTTTTCATTTTTCTCATTCACCCATAATCATTTATTATTCATTTACTCTAATTCAATCGGTATTTGCTGCTGCTGCTGCTGCTGTTGTTGTTGATTAGGTCAAATTTTTGCTCATTTACGAAAAAAAAGCTACTAATTCATTTGAAAAAGAAAAAATGAAATGAAATGAAATCAAAATTTCTTTGCCTCCAATGTTTCTCTGTCTGTCTCTCTCTCTTTCTAATCAATCTGTCGATGCTGTGTTTGTGTGTGTATATCTAAATTTATTTCCTTTTCACCACCACCACCACCACCACCGCCACCATCACTCTATCAGATATTTGTAATTGTCGAATGTTGGAATTAAATTATAAGGATTTATAAATAAAATAAATTGGTTGTCATCTAGCAGTGTGTATGCGTGTGTGTGTATGCGTGGTATTTATTTTTTTTTTCGACACCCGAGGACATCTCGATTTTTTTTTTTGTTTTATTTATTACATTCGTGTGTCCGATTTAAAAGGAGAAAAAAAATTGTCGAATCACAGTTGCTACAAAGAAATAAAAAAACAAAAATGAAAATGAAAAACTCGAGCGATCCTTATCACTATATCGGTTATGAGTAAAGAAACAAAAAAAAAAATTCATCTTTTTTTTTTTAACGTCAAACGGGAAAAAAAAGACGAGAAACTCCGATTGATCGTTATCGGATGTATTACATTGGATTGGATTTTTTTTTTTTTTCACCATCCCGAAGTATGACGAAGATGTTTGAAACGAGATCGGACATTCATTTTTACATATCTCAATTCGTATGATGAAGAGATGATTAAGCCACTGGCTGGCTGACTAACTTACTGACCAATAAATATTGAGGGGCCTCCATACCGTCATATATTCAGGTGGTATTGCTGGTTTATTTATTTTTTTTTTTTACTTTTGCTCTTTATCAGATGACTTTCTCTCACACTCACTCATTAACTCACTCTCTCTCTCACTTTTACTCTTTCGATAAATAAAAAACCGTTAATTTGAATTATAAACAAAAACAAAAAGAAAACAAAAAAAAAACAGAGCTAAGATGTGGAAAACAAAACCGATTCGTCCGATATTTCGTTCATTCATTTATTCATTTTGATTGCAGCAACATTGAGATGCAAACAAAAACAAAAAAAAAGTACTGCCCCATAATGTTCTAGTTGTACGTTCTTATCATCATCATCATCATCATCGTCGTTGTCGTTGCTATCGTTTTTTTTTCGTATTTTGGCGCCTCTTTTTTTTGTTATAACTGTATACTGCATAATATCACCCATTCAGAAATTTAGTTAGAAAAAAAAGGCCTATACTTCAAGTCAAATTCAAATTGCAATCTCTTCAATCTATACACACAAACGTTTCGGTAAACTTAAGTTGATTTTTAATTTTCTGTCATATATAGAAAAATGATTCATTTTTTTTGTTTTTCTTCTTTTTCTTATATATACTTGACTTTATATATAAAATGTATGTATGTATGCATAAAAGTCGTTCACATTTTAGATTGGCTACACACACACATTATCTTCAAGTGTTCTAGTCGAATGGTCGATCACAACGATGGTGTTGTATCGGGTGTTGCCAGTTTTTTTTTCTGTGTGTTTGAAAAATTTTAATTTTTAAAAAATTTTTAAATTTTCATTTCATCTGGAAATAAAAAAAAATTGTGTTTTTGTGCATACGTCTGTGTTTGTGTGTGTGTGTGTTATGGCTGTGTAATAATTATACACCAATGTTATTCATCAAATCAAATCAAATGTTTATTTTCATTGTTTTCAATTGACCATCCATCCATCCATCCATCCATCATTGATTCATCATGCATCATTACAAATGATTCAAAACAAACGAGAAACAAAAAAAAGTCATAATATTTGCCGCCAAATATAAACATCTAAACTTACAATTTGTTGCATTTTTTTTTTGGTTTTGATTTTTGTTTCAAGACAATATTAAACAAAAAAAAAAATGAAGAGAATTACAACGACCACAACGGCAACGGCAATGGCAACTTTATCGATCATCAAGAATATTATTGTGGTTCATCATCATCATTTACTGTTAATAGTAGTGGCTATTTTATTTTATACAACAACTATTGCCAAAACAGCAACAGCTGTTTATAAGACCAATCATCCTATTATAGAATCATCACCTAGTGATACATTTTCTTATGTATCCGGTGTAGATCCATATGAACTGCATGATGCAGATCCATCAGTCACTTATCTTGAATCATTTGCCGTTGCGCCAGGTGTTTTACCTGAATATGATAATAATTATGATGGTTTTGATTATCGTAATGAATATTCGCCAAAATTATCATCATTATTTAAAAAATATCTAAAAAGACCATCATATAGTTCATCATATGATGATCATGGCTGTAGTAGCCATGATGATCATTATAGCTTATATGGACATGATTATGAATTGAAAATCGATGAAACTGAAATGAGTTATGCATTTCAAAAAGCCGGTATTAAAATTGAAGACTATGAACGTGCCAATCAAGAATATTTAGCAAGTGATCCACGTGGTCTGAATTTCAGTGCATATGTTTATGTTGCAACATTGCATTCAAAATATAATGAATTCGTGACCAAAGTGTTGAAAAACAAGTAAGTAATATCATCATCATTTTATTTCATTATCAAATTGAAACAAAAAAAAAAAATTACCAATCAAACAGGTGGTGGTAAACCACCAGATTTGCAATCACTTTTACATTGTAAAGGTAAATGCAGACAAATAAATAAAAAAAATTCAACATGATCAGCAAACATAGAAACCATATAAATGTGTCCAGACATTCAAGATTACTCTTAAAAGATAGATTGACAAAGAAAACAAAAAAAAAATTTAACCTAGTTTAACCTATTGCAAATTAGCATTTTTTTTTTTGAATTTATTTGTTTTATGTGTTTGTCTACACAATTCACACAATTTTTATATTTGTAACCAGAGGAAAAAAAATAATAACAAAAAAATTGGTTGTAAATAATCCAAAAAACAAAAAAAAAGTAATTGGTCTATATTCTATGATTAGAGTCAACATGTGTGTGCGTTTTTTTCATTTCATGAATTTTAATTTTTTGACCTTTTGTTTTTTTTTCGAATGAAATCACAAGTGATCATCGCCTGTTGTTGTTGTTTTTCTGGTTTTGGTTTTTATTTTTCTATATTGCGAAATCTGAATAAACAACAAAAAACAGGGGGTGTTGTTGAACCATTTTTTTGTTGTTGTTGTTGTTGTTCCATGTTAATAATTATTGTGAATGGGCTTGTTTCAAATGGTCATGGTGATGTTCGATAATAATTTTCGATGTTGACGATAATAATGATGATGATGATGAACAAGAAATACAAAAAAGGGATGCAGCCCTTTTTTTTCATTTTCCATTGATCATCCATCCATCCATCCATCCATCCATCTATGCAGCTACATCATCAATGGTACTGATAATGGATAAATCTTGGTAAAAAAATCTTAATCTCAATTTATATCATCAGTCATCATCATTGGGTTATATATATTTATTATGAGTACAAGTTATATTTATACGAAAAAAAATTATGTTTTTTTCCGTACAAAAAAAAAAAAAAATTTCTTTCCACCTTTATTTTCGATTTTTATTTATTTATAAAATTGTTTTCTCCCTCTCTCTCTCCCTCTGTGTGTGTGTGTGTACACCTGTATTTGGTTATTCTCATCATGAAGGAAATGATGACCATATGAGATGACCGTATGAGATGATATTCGAGGATGTTGTTGTTGTTTTTTTTCTCAATAATTGAAAGAGAAACTTGAAAATTATTTTTTTTTTCTTTCTGGATTACTTAATTTTTTTGTACTTATGTATCAATCACAACAATTTACTACCAAAAAAAAAATGATCGTGATAAATGTTTGTGCGTGTAAAAGATTTGGATGTATTTTTTTTTTACTTTGCCACCACCTGTAGATGTGGATGATGGTGAACAACAACATATGATCTGATAATGAGCTTTCAGTTATAATCGGTTTTAGTTTTTTAGTTTTTGTTTTGTTTTAAAATGCCAGAAAATTTAATTATTGCATTCAAGTAGTAGTGATGATGATGATGATGATGGTTGTTCACCATTTTTACAATTACAGATCAATGTAATTGTGATTGACAAGTTCCGGTCATTTGTTTGTGTGTGTGTGTGTTTTTTTTTGATCATTGATTGTTGTTGTTGTCGTTGTTGTTGTTGTTTTTTTTCGATCATCGGGTAGATTTGTTGATTTGTTGAATGTTTTGACTAAACAATAAATCAGGATTTGGTTTTGCCGGGAACATGTTTGTCTCTTGTTAGCTAGACATATAATAACAACTACTATTGAACGATCGATAGATAGATCGATCGATCGGTTAGATTGAGATTGACTACTGCATACATCATACATCATCATCACTAGACATTGGCTATCAACGAGGTAATTTAATGAGAAAATTAAAAAAACTTGAAATACATGAACCGTTCAAGGCATTAGATTTGAATCAGTGTGTGTGTGTGTGTGTTGGAAAATCATGAATCATTTTTTTTTTTGTTTCTATTACGTGCGGAAATGTGTAGCAAACAAAATGAGAGAAAAAAGCATCCGATTGCTTATCTAAATCTGTTAAAAAATCTGCTCGTGGTTGTAATATATTTCTAGTGGCAATGGTTGGATATATTGGTCATCTTTGATTGATGACATATGACAGATATATATGATATTTATGGCCTCAATTTTAAATTTTAAAAAAAATCGATGATGATGATGTTAATGCAATCGCTTATCATCATGAATGACATTTTGTTTTGGGTTTTACTAGCGTGGTGAAAATTCCTACATTAATGGCTCTCTCCCTCTCTCTCTCTTTTCTCATTTATAGGAAATGTTTGTCCCGTAAAATGGTGGCAACTCAATTGCCAAAAGTAAAAATACCACCAAATCCATGGAAAAAACAAAAATATTGTGAAATGCAATCACCAGTATCGTTAACTACATATTGTCATCCAGATGAACCATATAGACGTATCGATGGTAAATGTAACAATCTGATGAACACAAATCTAGGATCATCATTTCATTGTTATCGACGGCTAATGCCTCCCGATTATGCTGATGGCATCCATAAGATTCGTTTGGGCGTCGATAATCGGCCATTACCATCACCACGTTTGATTACTCAATTATTGATGCCTGATTTAGATCTAAATGATCCATCATTATCAGCATTACATTTATCATGGGGACAAGTGGTAGCTCATGACACTTTTCGTACCATACAGAATCTTGGATTGGCTATCGATTGTTGTCGATTAGTGAATCCTGCCACAAAAGCTCAAGCTGCCAGTTCACCTAGCCCAAGTCAGATATTTTTAGATCCAGCCGGAAATAAAATACCGATACCACATCCAGAATGTTTGCCAATCACTAATTTCATACCGAATAAAGCGACTGAAATGTTCAATCAGATCTGTTTGAATACGGTTCGATCAATCGCTTGCAATACCTGTAGTTTGGGACCACGAAATCAAATGAATGCTGCCACTCAATTGCTTGATCTTTCCCATGTTTATGGTGGGAATCTGATCAACAATTCTGAATCATTGCGAACTTATATCGGAGGACAATTGTTGACGGATTTTGCCAAAAATGGTGAAATACGAATGGCACCAATGAGCGGCAAACAAGATACGGATACATTGGATTTGACACCATGTAATCCACCATTGAATAAACCGAATATTGGTTGTTTTCGTACTGGTGATGGTATGCGTGGTAATCAAAATCCTTTCATTGCATCATTACAAACATTGATCATTAAACGCCATAATCATCATGCAGCCGGACTCCATTTAGTCAATAGCCATTGGTATGATGAACAGCTATTTCAAGAAGCCAGGTATGTATGATAATTCAATCTAATCAAACAAACAAAACGATAATCAAATTCAACAATTTTTTTTCTCTCTTAGACGATTGACAATTGCTGAAATAGTAAAAATTCATTTTGCCGAATATATTCCATTAGTGTTGGGAAAACGTTTGATGAAATATTTTCATTTGGATGTTCGTAGCCATGGTTATACTAAATATAATCCACATGTTGATCCATCAAGTATACAAGAATCCGGTACAAGTGCAATGCGTTTTGGTCATAGTCAAACACGATCATTGTATAAAATTATCTATGATAATCATGTACACAAAACGACTATTATGCTTAAGGATCGTTTTTTCAATATGGTTGAAGTCTGGAAAGGACAGGTATGAATTAATTTTCACTTTCAAATATAACTAATTATTATTGTTTTGTTTTTATTCATTCAACTAGATAACGCCAATTGTTCGTGGCCTATTGGCTGAATCAGCCAAAAACATTGATCCATATGGTGTTATTGATGTGAAAGATTTTCTATTCTTCAATCCAAGACGACCATCCATTGTTGATTTATTTTCCATCAATGTAAATCGTGGACGTGATCATGGCATTCCAGCCTATGTTTATCTATTACAATATTGTACTGGTTATGAAATTCATTCATGGAAAGATATGGAAAAATTTATACCGCCTAAAAAAGTGAAATCATTACGAAAAGTTTATCGGTAAAGTTCTCTCTAGTAATAATTATTATAATTTTCAAATTGAAATTTATCACCGTACAATAGACATTATCGTGACATTGATCCATTTGTTGGTGGCTTAATGGAATATCATCTGAAAGGATCACGTGTTGGACCAACATTTGCCTGTTTAATTGGTATCCAATTCTATCATTGGAAATATGGTGATCGTCATTATTTTGAACATGGTGGTGAAGTTGGATCATTTACGCCAGGTAATTCACTTGATGATTTAATAGTTAATCATTACTTATCTATTCTATTTGTAGCTCAATTGAAAGAGATACGTAAAAAAGCTACATTGGCCAATTTAATCTGTAAAACAACACATATGGATTTGATTCAAGTCAGTCCATTCGAAGAATTATCGACACATAATCCAAAAATGCCTTGTGCATCATTACCTGATTTTAATTATGAATTATGGCGTGAAGGCTATTTGCACAAATGAACGATAGAAAAAAAATAACCATTTTTCTATCGAATCGATCACGGATACATTTTGTTTACATCCACCCATTGACCTCTCTTGTTCTCTCTTTTTTTTTGCCGTCTATTTTTTTTGCACTGATACTCTCAATCTTTGTACAGCCAAACTACATAACCGATTACATGACACACCCACCACAACATCAACAACAACAAAAATTGATGCAAACAGCCACATATGAACCACGAATATATGAAGACAAAGGCAAAGTCAAATCGCATCACATTTACACAAGACATTTTTGCGCACCGTTTTTTTTTTATTATTATCATTGTTTTGGTTCAACAGAAAAGTAGATTTTTTCTGTCGACCACCATCACCACCACCACCAGCCACTCCCTCCATCATCATTGTCATTATTGTTGATCATTCACATCCAACCACACGAATAAACAAAACATCATTCTCGATTTTTTTTGCCAATTTTTTTTTATTAATTAATTATTACTTATTCAAATTCATTACAAACAAACTGAAAAAAAATTGATAATGATTAACCTTGTTGTTTTATGTTTTGCGTAAGGAATGTTGTTAATTGTTGTCGAAATAATTGCGAATCAATTGTTGATGATGATGATGATGATCCGATTCCATTTTTTACATGATATTCTACATACACATGTTTATGTAGTTGAATCATCATTTCTTTATAGAATTGACTATCACGTTTAATATCATGTGATGTGATCAATACGAATTTGATGCTTGTGGCAAATTCATAGAATACCAGATTATAATGTGATGTTTGATAGAAGAAAAAATTATTATCCATCTGCAATGAAGGTGATATACGTTGTACGAATGATTTCAATGAATATAGAAATCCATACAATATTTCGGTTGATTTATCCGATGGTGACAATGAGAATAGACAATTACCGGCGCCATCAAAGATGTGAAAATTGTAAATGGCCATTTTTTATATCGTCCCCAAAGATGATAGAAAATTCAATCAAACAAATAATAAAAAATTGCCTGGTCGTGTTTTGACAACAAAATCATCAAAACAAATGTTCACTATTTCAACACTATGCTCGAATCGTCAGTAGAAATAGTCGTTTTCCAATAATATAATAATTTTTAATTAATAAAATTTGTTCAATAAAAAATCTTTTAGTTGGTTAGCCAAACATTTGTTTTTTTCTTACAAATCAAATCAAGGAAACTAATCAGTCTGTTAGGTAATTGTATGTTTGTGTGTGTGTGAGTGAATAAATTATACACGATGTAAACAAAGAAAATTGTACCTTGGTTTTTTTTTAAAATGTCCAGTAAGTCATATTCGTAACTCGTATCACAAACATTTAATTAATGAAAGTAGGAGGGTGTTTGCATGTTTGTGTATGTGTGTGTGTGTGTGTGTGTGTATGGATGTTTTTCATCGTTGCCATGTAATGTGAACAGTATATTTATTATACAAAATTATCGAGAGTCTGTGATTTAAGCTGCATTCGTGCAATCTCATCCAATGCATTTTGAATCAATTCAAGTAACGATTCACCACGTCTAATAACAGCTTCTAGTTCGATTATACATCGGGCATTATCATTTTCTAGTTGTCGTATTGATCCGGAATGTATGTCTGATGAACCTGATTCTGTTTCAAACGTATTCGGTAATGATTCGATTAATGTATCAATATCTTTAGCTGTACGAGCAATTAGACGGGCAAAAAGCTGGCTATTCTCATGTTCATTCAATTGTTTATTATTATTCGACGATGTAGTATTGTTCGTTTTGGCCGTTAATTTTTCCATCAGGATATCTTTGCCAGTGGATTGTTGTGGTGATTGACCGATTACCGATGTTGTAGATCCATTTAGACATGACTTAGATGATGAACTTGATGTAACAACGGTGGCTGTTGACGATGTTTTGATGTGATCTTTGGCCAAACTATTATTACTATTATCGAGCATCACCGAGTTGACATTGTCACCATTATTTGTTTGATTATTATTATTATTATTATTATTGGTAGCATTACATGATTGTGATTGTTGTTGTTGATTTTGTTTGTTGATACTATTAAATTCAGCAAATGGTGATTCTTTAGCATACATTTGTAGTACACCAATACTGTTGCAAAAATTTTCCGCTTGAAGATTCACAGCATCTTGTAGCTGAGTCAAGCGATCAGAAGCCATTCTTTGCCAATTTTGCATTGATTCTCAATATCAATTAAGAATCAAGAAAAAAAGAATAAAAACAAAAAATTCTAGATTCTAGATTGAGATCAAAATCCAGATGAACAAAAACAAACAAATTTTTGAGGAAGGGGAATGTGCAAACCAAAACACCAAAAAAGAAAACAAACAAAATAAAAACAAAAAAACAGACAACACACACACACACAACTGCTGCTGCTGCTTCTGAATCAGTCTCACACCATAAATGAACCATTCATATAGGACGGTCTACATTTGCAAAAAAAATGACCAGAAATAAATTCGTAGATTCAAAATTGGATAATTTTTACCGAAAAAAAGAGATTTAATCATTATTTTTGCGGACAACTGTACAACGTATCAAGTATACAAGAATTAATGGGGGTGGGGGTCAAATTAGTTATTACAAAAACATCAATTGTAAAAAGGAGATAATTCTACAGAAAGTAACACAGCAGATGTGATTTGTTGATTTGAGCGGTCAAGCTGTATTAGTTTTCGTGCCATCAACATTATCATTACTATTTTTATCATCGTTTTTCTTATTACGTTTTTTAATGCCAGTCAAACGAAATTCTGCCCGTTGCTGGAGATAGATTTCTTTACATTCATTTACGAATGGTTCATCATTGTACCAACGATTCAGACATTGTTGATAACGACGATTCTCTTCACGACATTTGAAAACCATGGCCATTGCATTGTCCAGACAACATTGATCGAATGCTATTGAATAATTAAAATTGATTAAAAATAAACAAATATATGATGAATGTGTATAGCATACCTTTTTTAAGTTCTGAACATTTAAAAATTTTCGATCGTTCACGTACCAATTTCGGTATCATTACTTCGATTTCAACTTTTCTAAGTGTTCTATCAGATGGATCACCTGGAAAATTAAAATAAAACAAAAAAATCCATTTCCACCGACAATTGAATGCATGATCATTATTTTTTTCTATATAACACATTTACCTAGTCCGACTGGACCACGTGTTAATTTGGACGATAAAACTTGTGCACCATTATCAGCATAATCATTGGGCTGTGATTGATAATCACCGGTCATTTTATCGTCATTGTTTTTCATATCTTATTCTTTGAATACACAAACAAATCAGATTACATAAAAGCGTTATTTTTTTTGTTTAGCAAATAAAAATTTTGAACAAAAACAGACACATTGAAATCATCTGATTATATTGTGTTTATTTTTTATTCCTCATAAACTTCATCGACAGATGGCAGATGATGCAGTAGATTTCTTTTAGAAAAAAAACTGAATCTTTCCAATGTTCTACCATCATCATCCATTGATCAGTTGGTCAATACATGATGACGATGATGAGATATATCGTTGTCGTCTAAACTGTTCAATGAAAATTGATTGAGAAACTTTATGGTCATAGAAATGTTGGAATTATCCAAAAAAAAAAAAAAAAAAAAATATTGCCTGATCGAGAATAAGCATTAGGAATTAAAGTTTTTCGTTCTTTTTTTTTGTTTTGTTTTTGTTAATTAAATTAAAACACATCTAAAGTGTTTGGCTGTATGTTTGGCTCTCTTTTTTTTCCATCAAGTTAATCTCTAGAGATCCAGGGAGCAAGTGAATGTGTCCACTTTTTTTACCAGGAAAACAAAAAAAAGTTGCCATAGCTTCTTTAAATGAAGCCTCAAGGATCGAGAGAATCTATCTATCTATCTATCAGCTAACGCAAGCGCTAGTGTGGATCATCACATAATTGAAATTGTATGAATGCACCCAATGAATGTCTATGCGATATCACAGTCACACAGTAGTTATCTAATGTTGTCAATGTTTGATAATAATGTGTTTTGGGTGGAGCTTGATTCTTGGAAGAATAATAATTCGATGTTATTCGGACAATTTTTAATTTCAGCCTTTTTTTGCGTTGCTTGCTAGATCAAAATAAAAACGGATTTTTTTTTCATTCAATTCTTTTGGATGAATTTTTTTTCTTCTTTTTTTTTGTTGGGCATCTATGTCACATCATGGTAGCCTGTCTAGTCAAATTAGTATCACTTGAATTATGGTTCAGTTAGTTTGGCCGTATGAAAATTGTACTTGACACCGCCATCACTGTTGTCAGTGTATTGTGTAGAATTTTGTTTCATTCACAAAATGCCAAACAATCGACCAATCAACCAGCCAAACGAACGAACGAACGAACGAACAATTCGACCGACAAACATGAAATCGTGTTCCATTATGATTTCTTTTTTTTCTTTTCGTTCATTTTTGTTTATGAACAAAACCAGAGAACAAAAAATCAAATGGAGTAAAACAATTCTGACTATCGTCAGCATATTATTAAATATTATAGAATATTGAATGTTGAAGAGAAATAAGATGAAGATGACAATTAAGACAACAACAGTGTACACACACTGTACATACAGACACACACCAAGACAAATGGTCGAGCAAAAGTTTTAGTGTACCAAAAAAAAGAAAAAGAGAAAAAAAACGAGAATGGTCAGTCATTTTGAATCTGAGAATCATCAATTATTTTGGACAAACAAACAAAAAAAAATAGTCAAGAATCCAGAAATTCACAGAACAAAAAAAATCCTTGCCTTAATATAGGTGGGTGGTGGTCGTGGTGGTGGTGGTGGTGGCTACGCGGAAAAAAACGGATCGCTAGTTGATTTGAGTGAAATTCGCGATTTTTTTTTCTCGTTGTTCAAAAATAAATTAAATAAACACAGAATAGAAGCTTGATGCAAGATGAATTGCCCGCACACACACACACACACACACACACACGTTTGTCGTTTTTGTTTGTCGCTGGCTGTTATACATGCACATTAAACAATGATGTATGTATATAATGGTTATGTTGTTACTGGTGCTTCACTAATCGATTAATTTAATTTAATTTAATTTTCAAGACAAGACATTTACTACTTGCTTACAAATTGTAACCAGAAAGAGAGAGAGAGAGAGAAAAAAATAACGACCCAAATGACAATGGAAACCATTTGTCGTAAGGGCAAAAAAAAACCGCGGCCACCACCGCTTCTTATATATATATATATATTCGACACAATTGGCTTTCTCCCCTTCCTCCTCATACACACAAACACCCCCCACTCTCATGATGATTTCAATCCTTTGGGCAAATTCTTATTCTTTTTTTTTGTCGTCGCATTGTCGATCAATATATTTGATCGATTGTTTTTTTGAATTGAATTTAGAAAAAATATGCTGTTTGATTGATTGATTGAACGATTGATCATTGTGTATGTATGTGTTCCATGTAGTCAACCAACGAAAAAAAAAATTTCATTTTACAATTTGCATAATTCTTCTTGATTTTCTTCTCTTGAGAGTGCTAGAGAGAGAGAGAGAGAAAAAAACCAGAATAAATATATAAAAGGGTTGCAAAAACAGCCACCACCACCATCATCATCATCATCATTCAAGAACAAGCCCGAGGATGTGCTAGTGTAGAAAATCATCACCCAACTATACCGCTTAACTCGTTAGTCGTATATGTGAAAAGAATTGAGAGAGAGAAAAAAAAACGACTTGAATTGAAATGAAACGAAAAATAAAACTTAATTCAATGAGCTCATTATGGATGATTACATTGCATCATGGGGCCAGAAAAAGAGAAAAACTTTTTTTTTCCATAAAACATAGTATTTATATGTTGTTAACGATTTAGTCTACGAAAAGAAAAAAAAACGGATTTGAATATTGTAAATTTCAAACAAAAAAACACCAAGTTTTCATCTCGTTGCTAATGATGATGATGATTACGATGATGATGATTGTGGTTGGCATTGATTTGTCAATTTGCAACGAAAAAAAAATCATTCTACACACACACACACATATTTAATCACATCCAACTAATAGATTCATCGATCATAACCAACAGACAAAAAGAATATTCATATATACTCTGTATATGAATATTGATCCAAATATTCCAATTTTGAATATTAATGTTGTTGTTGTTGTTGTTTTTTATATTAAAATTTTATTTTTTATTTTTCATTTTTCATTTTCAATTCAAACATTTTATTTTTTGTGTATTGTGTCTCTGTTGATGTAAATGAATGATGGCTGTATAATGATGATGATGATCATCATTGAAGTACTAAACATATTTGGTCTATATGGCATTTTTTTCGGTGTTTTTTTCTTTTTCGTTAAATGTCAATGTCTGCGTGTGTGTGTGTGTGTGTGTGTGGCTCCCGATAAATAAGAAAAAACGATGTCGATGATGATAATGGCAAGGAATATGAAAGCAATGAATGAATTGATGGAACAATTTTCCATAGAAAACAAGAGAATAATAATGAACAGAAAAGAAATTCTACGATGAATTAAAAAAAATCATTTTTTTTTGGTATGGATGACATTTTGGCGGAGATAATAAATGGACTTACAAACACACCACAGCACATCATACGTTCATAATGATGAATGATGAACAATTTTACCAGATTAGACAGTCTGGATAATCTGATTGGAGCCATATGCTTGTGTGTGTGTGTGTGTGTGTGATCCATCATTGATCAGTTAGTCTAGAATCATAATCTGGAATTGTAGAACAAAAAAAAATGGTCATGTTTATTCACTTTTTTTCATTTTTCTCTTTTTTTTATGAAACTAGAATATTTGCGTTGATAAATTAGATGCATGATGTTTAGTGGCAGCCGAATCCAATGGACTTAGATACGTTGATTCACCATGATGGTGATGATGATGATGATGATGGTGATGTAAATGTCCAGCTGCTGTTGAAGTATTTGGACCGGCACCACCGCTTGTTACGATTGAAGATAATGATTGCGGCGGCGGTGGTGGTGGTGGTGGTGGTGGTCCAGCACCAGTTAATGGAAGAAAACCTGCCGCTGTAGCTGTACCCAAACAAGACGATGTAATCGATGTTTGATGATGGTGGTTATGATGAGAATTTGCCGCAGCCATTGATGCCATAATCAATTTAGAACTTAAAGCACTAGCATCTTCAGACATTTGATGAGCAGATACATTAATGGATAATGGTGAATGGCTATTACCACTACTGCCGATATTACCGCCGCCAACACTTCCATTAATATTTGCACCAGTAGCCACATGTCCATGATGTATCATATTGGCTGATTGAATCATTGATTGATGTTGATGTGCATGATGATGATGAGAAGAATGATGAAGATGATGTGATTGAGGATGATGACCATGTGGATGTGGATGAGGATGATGGGAATGATTACCACCACCACCACCAGTTATGAGTACAGCAGCGGCGGCCGCAGCAACTGTAGGTGATGATGAATGATGATCATGATGATGATGATGAGATAATGGAACTGTTCCATGATTGGACATCCATTTAGCAATTGTTGGAGACAAAACACCTGGAGACATTACTTGATTATGAAGATGTTGTTGTTGTTGTTGTTGTTGTTGATTATTATTATTAAGTAGCTGATGATTATTATGATGATTATGATTATGGTGACCATGATGATTATGATGATGAGTATGATGACCTTTGAGCATAGAACCATTATTTCCATTTATCGTATTCATCATATTCGATGTTGACGATGTAGGCGTATTTGATGATGATAACAGATGATTGGACGGTGAAGGCATCATCAATGTAAGTACAGATTTAGCTAAATTTACCACCATAGAAAAAAAAATGAAAAAAAAAATAATTTCGTTAATCACTTGTATATTATAGCATTTATTTTTCCTGCCATTTAATCGATATATTATTGTCTCCATTAAATTAATTAACCAAAAAAAAAAAAACACACGATCCACATTCTCATACGGGGTTCGATTCTGATTCTCAGTACTTAATGATGGCCCTGGCAACAAAAAAAAAATTGCTGTATCCATGTTCATTAAGAAACAATGCTAATTCAATGAAGAAGAAGAAGAAGAAAAAGAAGACAATAAAGTCATTATGTGATATGTGCGGCTGCTTTATCATACACACACAAACACACAGAAACACAGAACGATTGCTTATCATTAAAAAAAAAATATGAATGGATCTGGTTTAGTATTTCAAAGCAGCCCAATATCATTAATTATCTAAACCAAGAAACCAAGTTTTACAGAGATCCAGAGAAAAACCTGTGTGTGTGTGTGTGTGTGCCATATTATAATTTTACTAATTGCTTCAATGGTTGAAAAAATTTTTTTTTTTTTGGTTTTGTTTTGTTTTATTTAGCCAGACTACAGATTCAGTTTTCTGTTGTTGTTGTTTTTTTACACAAAATGATGAGAAAAAAAGATTCGATAACATTGCCGCCAATGGATCATAGAATGTGAACGAATGAACAAATAAAAAAAAGATAACTTACCATCATTACGTTGTCCATCACCATCACCATTACCATTACCATTATTATTGCATGTTGTTGTTGTTCTTGTTGTTGTTGTTGTTGAACCATTGGATAAAACAGATGCTAATGATGAACCGGACATGGATGTTGTTGATGATGATGATGATGAATCATTACTTTGTTGATCCATTGGTGATTCAGATGATGTATGTACGACAACAATACCATTATCACCAGCACCATTATTATTTTCGGTAACTATTGATCGTTCACCACCACCACCACCACCACCACCACTCGTAACGGTTACTGAAGATATTGCTTCATTATCATTAGTTGATGATGTAGATGATGATGATGTTGATGAAGCTGATGTGGTTGTACCAACCACATCTTCACCACCACATTTCTGTTGTTGTTGCTGCTGCTGCTGGTGTTGTTGTTGTTGTTGTAGATGTTTAGCTTTCGCAACAGCAACTTCAATTCTTCTTCGAAATTCATTTGAAAATGGTGACATTTGATCCATCATTGATGATGTAATGCTAACATCATCGGTTCCCATTAAACTTGTATCATTTGGCTGTTGTTGTTGTTGTTGTTGCTGCTGTTGATGCTGCTGCTGTTGTTGTTGTTGTTGTTGTTGATTAACATTCAATTCTGGACTTGATGATGAAACAGCAACCACTGTCATAGGTGATACAGGTGATACTGGATTCTTTGTCGTTGTCGATATAGAATCGGCAGCCATAATAGAATTGTTATTATTATTATTACGATTATTTCCAGTTGTTGTTCCATGTGATCCACTACTGTTCACTGTAACCGTACTTGATGCTACTAAGTAGAGAGATTTTTTTTCGACAATTTCAAAATTCAAATCAAATTATTGATTCGAGAACTAAAAAAATAAAAATAAAAAATAAACACCAAAATAATCAACTTACCATTATTATTGGAACCATTATTCGTTGATGATGACGATGATGATGATAGTGAACATTTTTGAACACCACGTTCTTGTTTACGGAATTTAGCACGTCGATTTTGAAACCATACCTGAGATTGAACAAAATGGGCAAAAAAATACGTTAAATTTACAATCATGACAATAGAGAATACAGAATTCTACACACCAGATTTGATTAGATAAATATATAAATAAAATGAATGAATGAATTATACGATTAGTCAACCAAATAAACAAACAAACGAAAGTGACAAACAAAAAATTGCCATGCTGCCAATCAAGAAGGCGTCAAAATAAAAATTATCGCCTTTGAAATAAAAATTGTTGATGACAACAATGTGTGTGTGTGTGTGTGTGTGTGTGTTCAACTTTGGCCTGAAGCAATTGATTCATCACAAATAATAAAATGTGTTTTGTGTGTGTGTGTGTGTAGATAACATAGACACTTGCAAATTGATGATGATGATGATGATGACAGCAAACCAACACATACACACACACACACACACACGCGAAATACGACGTGACTTGTGATATTGCCGATCGTGAACGACAAATCATCATCATCATCATGATCAACACGACGATGTGAATGTTTACTAATTTGATAACAAGATTAAATTTTTTTTCATTTTCATTTTTTTCCATTTTTTTCCAGTGTTTTTTCCCCTTTTTATTTTCACAGCCGTAAATGTGAGTATGTGTTACTTGCTTGTGAATGTATAACATATGTATATATACACACGACGATACAAAAACGAAATCCGTCATGAAATGTTTGTTTGTATTTTCAATTACACACACACACACACTCTCTCTCTCTCTATATATTTGCCGCATCTGTATACAGCAAAATTCTTTCGACACCCAATTTTTTTTTCGTTTCATTTCATTTCATTTTATTATAGATTCTATATGGCTTATGGCTCCATTTTTTTTTCTATTTTTTCATCATTCATTGATTCAAACGACAAGTGTAAAGTTCAGGTGCATGATAAAGTTTCGATAAGCTATGGCCCGGCATTGTTGTTGTTGTTGAATGGAACTTTGGTTTTTTTCAATTGTTTGATGTGACATTTCATGCTTTTCACCATCAACAGCTGAAATGACACTCGATTTTTTTTTTGGTAATCGAGCACAACAATAGGACCATATGAATGAATGAATGAGTGAATGAATGAATGAAAATAATCGAATGAGCAATGACATTTTTGATCGACAACTATAAGTGACATACACACACACACACACACAAACAAAAATAGATAACCCCAGCACAAACACACAAAAAAAAAATCTCATTGACAATTGTCAATTGTCACTTGTTATTTCGTGTGTGTGTGTGGATAGACTTTTAAGAAAATTAAACTATAAAAAAATGGCCATCAATTTTCAGATGCATGATGTCCATGATCATCATCATGATGACGATGATGATCGAGAAACTATCAACATTGGCCTCTAAATCCATTATGGATTGGCCAAGAGCCAAAAAAAAAAATCTAACAAGTTTAGATCGTCGTTTTTCGCTTTTGTTGTTGTTGTTGTTGTTGTTATTGTCTAAATCTATGCGTTTTGTTGTTGTAGTTGTTGATCGGTAGTTTTTTTTTGTTGTAAATTATTCAAATCCATTAGTTTGATTAAAAGTCAACTTGCAATTGTATTTGTATATAACAATGGTGATGTGCAACAAACAACAACAACAACAACAACAACGAAAAAAAAAATTTTTTGCCATCTAAACAAACAAACAAACAAACAAACGAAAAAAACAGAACAAAACAAAACAAAACAATAAGTGGCCCCTAACACCGATTAACGGACAATCAGCTATTCAGTTCAGTTTTTGTTGTTGTTGTTGTTGTTGTTGCTAATACATGGTGACAAATGATGGTCATAATATTCAGGCGAAAATAGCATCTCCACTATCATCATCATCATCATCTTGATGATGAAAATGATGATGATTGAATCGTAATGCATCTCGGTTTTTGTTTTCATAAATGGAAAAAAAAACATTTTCGGCCCTTATAATTGGAGCCGAGAATTTTTTTTTGTTTGTGTTTGCAATTTTTTTCTCCGATAAATGCAACGATAATTTGACTTTGCCACGTGTCATCCATACACACACACACACACACACTGACATACCATACATAATTTTTGTTTGTTTCATTCATTCAATGGCAATTGATCGTTATCGTAAGAACATTAAGAAAGGAAAAAATGAAATTTCAGCAGAAAAATGTGATCAAGTCATTTTTTTTTTGACCATTCGATTCGATTCATTTCGTTTTTATTCAAGAATAGACACACATCATTGGAATATATAGGTGCAGCTATGAGAGTTAAACTAAACATCAAACAATTGAATCAAGCAAATGGCTGCATTGTGAATTGAGAATTGCCAACAACAACAACAACAACAACAAAACAAAAAAAACAATTATCGACGCGTGATGGTCCCATTCATATATTCAGTAGCTCATCATGAATTTTGGTGGCGGTTGTATATTTTGTATATTTGTGTTAAGGTGCATCAGCACTTGAAACGAAAGAGAGAAAAAAAAGAGAACAAGATAGACACGTGTTGGTTTCCCTATTCTATTGAGAGTGGTGGATTTGGATGAATGTCAAAAGTTTATCTGATATGTATGTACACGTGTTTGATACAAGATGCTTTATTTTTGAGCAACAGAATTTTCAATTGATTTGTACACGTTGAATGTCTCTGGAGAAATTTGCCTCACAAACAAACACTCAATGCACAGCACCTGTCTATTCTCAATTGTATATATTTGGTATATTCGGTTCACACGAAAACAAACCAAATAAGCTGAAAAAAAGTTTTTTTTTTTTGATTCCCACCAACCCAAAAAAAAACCAAAAATTTTTTTCCATTGAAATCAAATAATCGATTAACTAACAAATGAACAACTTACCTGAACACGAGCTTCAGTAAGATCGGTTCTTAATGCAATCTCTTCTCTTGTATAGATATCTGGATAATGTGTTTCTTGGAATGCTTTTTCCAATTCTTTTAGCTGTGATGAACTAAATGTTGTACGAATTCTTCTTTGTTTCCGTTTTTCCGTTATATTCGTTACATCGTTGGCCATTACTTTATAAGGGAAATCTGTATATGTGTGTGTGCAAGTTAATAATGATTTTTGATAAACACAAAAAATTATAAAAAAACATGATGATAATTACTTTGTAATCCAATTCCAGTTTGAAACATTGATGATTGCATATGTTCATTATGATGATGTGTTCGTACACCGGTATTAGCAACCGCTGCCGCTGCCATATGATTAGCTGCAACTGCAGCTGCTGCTACTGACATACGACTTGATATTGACATTGTTGATGGACCATTCGGTGGTTGTCCAACAATGGAATTCGTACGCATACCGGACATTGTTCCGGTCATTGGATTTGTAGCGGCCATTGAATTTGTATAACAGCCATAACCTACTGGTGGTATTTGTGAACATGATGAACTTAGATCTGGATAACCACCGGTTGTACATGTTAATTGACATGCCGATCCAATTGTATCCATTGGTGATGATAATGGACAAGTGGTTGGATCAAAACTTTGATTCAAATATGAATAATGATCCATTGTTTATGTGTGTTGTTTATCGGCTATTTATTCAAAATAATTGATTTTTTTTACTCAAAAAACACACACACATTGACACTGAAGAAGAAGTGGCAGTTTTTTTTTGGTGATTAAACAAAATGAAAATAAAAATTCACCGTTTTTAATTGACCAACAGAAAGAAAAATTTTACACTTTTCACTAATTAATTCAATGATGATGATTATGATTATCATTTGCAAATGAAACAATCAATGAATTGACCACTTGTTTGTTCAACACACACACACACACAAACCATTAGATTGTTGGATTAAGCTGGACACTAAATTCATGAGAGGATACAGAGGATAAAAAAAATCAAAAATGAAAATATATGTGACATTCAATCATGTCACGGTATTAAAATGTCGATATTGATCATCATCAGTTGATTAGTTATGGACAAAATTCTGGCCCAAACAAATCGTTTGAATCGTTTGTTTTTGTTGTAAAAAATAAAAAAAAAATGTGTTCACACACATCATAAATACAGAAAATACGATCGCTGATTGAAAAAATAAAATTTGATAAAGAAAAAAAAAACATATACACACGAATATACATCAAACTTTTTCGTAATCGTTTATGATTCTAGATTCTTTTGTTTTGTTTAGGTTTTATTTGGTTGGTGTTTCAAAATTTGGAATTTTGTTCTCCTTTCATTGCTTACAATAATAATAATAATAATGAAAAGGAAGGAAACTCAACAAAAAAAAAAAAAATTTTTTTGAAGCGACGAATCACAAAGAATTACATTTGAAAAGAGAGTCAGCCCAGAATTTGTATTATACCACAATAGTAAACAAACCAGAATGATGTAGCCAATCAACGCCATAACTGGTTGGATTCAGTATATAGAGTCTATTAATGGAAATAATATACGAATTCGGTAGGTTGGGCCTATCCAAATGGTTTTTTCTTCTGCTAGTGTTCCAGAAAACAGAATTTTTTTTCTGGTTGCCATTGCTGCTATTGTGAATGATAATATTGTTGTTGTTCCCAAAAAAAAACAGCTAATGTTTCAGCTTTCACTCACTTTCTTTTTGTGTCTGTCTGTGTGTGTGTGTGTTTGGTGGGTTTTTTTTTCTTGCCATTGTTGGATCATTTGAATTGTTTTCGTTTCATTCTTCTTATACCGACCAGAATACAATTTAAGGCAATGAATAAATGGTTGCAGTTTGACTTGTGTGTCTGTGTGTGTGTGTGTGTGTGCGAGCGAGCGAGCGCAAGCACCAAAAACACGAATGAGAATTTAATTTAATTAGAAAAGAAGAAAAACGGGCAAACATTTGGCTATCCAATAGAATCGAGAAAAGAAAAAGATGAAACAAATAAACAAACAGAAATAGACAAAAAATAAAAATAAAACGACAAAAACAGTGGCGCCGATTTTCTTTCTTTCTTTTTTTTTTGTTTTTCTAAGAATCCATATTCTCAAACAGAAAATAAAAATTCATGTGTGGCCTGTGTGACATTTACTACTGGAATTTGAATATTTTTTTTTCTCATTTTTAGCTCATTATTTATTCTTATTGGCTGACATTTTTGCTGAATTTTTTTTTTGGAGATTTTTATTTTCAATAAGAAAAAATCGATAAAATGAATAGAAAAATCGGGTTGAAATTGACCACAATTTTATTATAGAATAAATTATTCATTGTGTGTGTGTGTGTGTGTGTGCGGGTTTGCGTCTGTCTGTACACCTGTGTCTCATTGCTATTTTGTTTTCTTTCTGTTGTGTTCGTGTGTCTGTGTGTGTATTATATGGATGATGGTCAAGATTTATGAATCCAAAGTCATTGGACTTTTTGTCTGTCTGGTTATTTGATGGTCTTCTTGTCAAAACTAGTGAATGGAGTTTGTTGTTGTTGTTGTTGTTGCTGTGTATCATTCAATTGTCCACCAAGTAATACATCCAGGTCTAATGTTTTTAATGTCATGACATGTTCATAATTGACAATAACCAGACCCGATGATGATGATAATGATAATGTTTTTTTTTTTGGTCGGTATAACGGTTTCTGGTCCAAAAGAAATGTGAAAATCGTTCAACGTACAATTCACTTGTTTTTGTGTATGTGTGTGTGTGTGGATCAAGTGCTAAAAACCAATGTGGCGGTGTTGGTGGTGGTGGTGGTGGCTACTACCATTGTTATTATGTACCGATCATCATCAATGAATCGTGAATGATGATCGATGAACCAAAAAAAAAGAAGAAAAAAACCATGAATTTGAATGGTAAATAAATTGTCATTGTTGATGCAGCCATTTTATACCATACCATTCGTTTCCACTTGCCCATTTGAACAAAAAAAAAAAAAAAATATCCAAAAATCGCTTTATTATCGATGCTGATTTCTATCCAACTGGTTATAATAAACAAAATCAGCCATATATTTATTCCATTCCATTATGTGGGACAATAGACCCAAATATATCACCATAATATAGACCAAAATGTAATGAATAAAGCATATTGACGGGAGAAAAAAAAAAACCATTGTGCACCATAGGTTTTGTATTAAATCAAATTTTTTTTTTCTTTTCGGATAACTAACCACTAAACGAACCGAGAATCAACACAAACACACACACACATACGGCAATTTCAATGAGTGAGATAGAGAGAGAAAGATAGTCATCATTTAGTACACACACAGTAGTAGTAGTAGTAAGATCATAATAATAACCCAAACCTAAGCCAGATATAGCCATTTAATGGAAGATTAATATTGTGCCAAAAAGAAAAAAACTTACGGTGAAAAATTTACTCAAAACTTTTTTTGTTTTGTTTTGTTCGTAGCTTGTTTGTTCGTTCATTCATTCATTCATTCATTCATCGTCAATCGTTCATTCATTTTATTTTATGAAAAACAGCGATGATCGCTAGTGCAAACATTAACTATAAAACCAAAAACACATTGACACATACACACACACACACACACACACACACACAGGACAGAACACAGCTTTTCATCTGGTCTATAAACAACACACTGGTACCAGAATTTTACTAGAAAACCAGATCGATTTTGTCTTGTTTATCTTTGATCCAAACAATCTATGTGTGTGTGTGTATGTTTCGATCCAGGATCTATTGTATTGTAGGCCATACAGGAGCAAAAAAAAAAGAAAAACACGGACCAGTATTATGAATGAATGAATGAAAAGGTCCCGAGTGTATAAACTAAATCAAACTTATCCATCCGCATTGTGTTTTAAATGCGAATATATTTTGTTGCTGTAGAGCCAATTGTAAATGTTTTGTAGTTGTATTATGGTGATGATGATGATTATTCGATTCGATTTTTTTTTCAAACATCATACTCTACTATATTGAATTGAAAAAAATTGTTTGATTGAGTTGTCATCTGTGGCCTATTACCGCTTACAACGACGACTATTGAACTATTTTAATCAATGTTTCTATCCTATTCCATTCTATTCATGTTTATTCAAATTTAAAAAGAAAGTGAGTGAGTGAATGAGACCGCCGTGGAAGACTTTGTTTAATCATCATCATAGTCATCATCTTTATTGTTGAATGACAGGTTTGCAATGAAAAAATAATTATCAACTCGACACACACACACACACACACAGAGAGAGACACACATCGATTGTTTGACCGAAAAAAAAACAATCCGTAAAAAGTTTGATTGAATTGTCAATCGGCTGGTATACACGGGTCTCTATTGGGTTGTCAACTAGGCTTTTCGCGTGTGTGCATGTATTCAATTGAAGGCAATGCTCATTTTTTTTCTAAAATACCCAAAGGAAATACATAGGTCTATGGAATAAATGGCTCAACTTTGAATATTCTTAAACATATTCTCACACTTTTGGCCATGACCACGATGAAAATTTTTTTTTTCGTTTCAAATCACTGAATCTAGAGCCCTAATTGATCAGGTAACATGAAAGGATAACATCGCATAATTCATCATCATGTTGAACAAATGGCCAGAAAAAAAAACAAAAAACTATTGACCCTGTTTGTTTGTTTGAATGTGTATGATGATCGGCCAAAAAAAAAAAAAAATAAGATAATCTGATTAACTGAAGAGAAAAAAAACCGGCCCAAAAACATGATGATCATCATCATTTTTAATATTCTATTTCCACACACACAAACATTGGATCGATCGTTTTTTTTTCCAAACAAAAACAACCAAGGCACTTCTATACAACAACAACAACAACAACAACTTGAGACAATACAGAAATAACCGAACAGTGAAGAAACAAAACAAAACAAAAAAAAATTTGCCAAAATCAGCAAATGAGTAGTAGTAACATGGTGCATATTTGGTTCTCTCGTTCATCATCATTTGGTTTTAGCCATTCTATTTTGTCAAATTGTTTATTAGCAAAAATGAAGAAACAACACGAATTGTTTTTTTTTCTCATTTAATGAATCTCGTGTAATCATAATCAAGAAATGTAGTAATAGAAAACTTGATTGGCCAACATCAACATCAACATGATGATGATGATGATGGTCAAGTGTATTGCATTGAATGAAGCGGAAAAATTTTTTTCTTTCTGTTTTCGTTTTTGTTTTGTTAATCACAAATGTGGTGGCGGTGGCAATGATCAAACTTGGTCGATCATCATGACCATTGCACATTGTGAATTGACAAATTTTTTTTTATTTTTTCAAAAATTTTTCTTCTGTAATCAAAAAAAAAAAAAAAAAACCTCATGAACACATCATCATTGTTTGGCATTTGACAAACAAAAAAAAAAAAAAAATTGTACGCACGCGCATCACACACGCACGCACGCACGCACCCAAAAAACGTTCTTTTTCATGGTCAATTAGATTAAATATATTTGAATCCGATAATTCTCCAACAAAACAAAACAAAACAAAACAAACGCATATCAAATTATGGTTCTGAACGTGAATAAACGAATTAGAAATTCCGGTTTTTCCGGGGTTTTTATTTTCTTTTTTTCATCGTGATTGAAATCTCGGCCAATTTAATTTCATTCATCATTCATTCAGAGAGAAAAAAATCAACCAGGCAAATAAAAACAAAAACAAAACAAATTGAAACGAGTGGGCACAACGAAAAAAAAACATCATTCATAAATTTAAACCAATGTAATGACCAATGATGATGAACAATCATCAGTAGTTGGATTTGTTTGTTTGGATTTGATAAAATTTCCGTTTCTATATTGTAATAATTCAAGGCATCGATTGTCATCATCATCCATATAGTTGAAGAATTGTTCACCATCATTACCATCATCATCATCATTATCATTCGATGTAAAATGGACATGTTGGCTATTGTTTCGCGATTGTATTATTGTTTGTAATTGTCGATCATATAGTGGACAATGGTCAAAATGTTCAATTAAACAATGTTGTTGCTGCTGATGCTGCTGCTGTTGTTGTAAAGATGTTATCATTTCAAATTCAAACGTTCTATCTTGTGGTTGATCGTCGTTAGAATTGGTTATCGGTAATGAATATCGTTTTCTAATGATATGTTCATCATGATGATTGTTTTGTTTTAATTGCTGAATTCTTACCACAGTACGAACAAGAAAGCCCATCAATATGGCCAACAATAGGAAAACAAATGCAAATATCCAATTACCATTATCGGTTAGCAACTTGAATAGCTTTTGACCTATTTCGACGGAATAAACATTTTGTTTAATTTAAAAATAAAAATCAATCACTATCTATTTATTTACCTTTATGTTGTATGTTTGAAAGATCCCAAACAAAAGGAACAAGTTTATTTGCATCATCATCATCATCATTCATTGATGACGTATCATTTAAATCGCTTATATGATTCAATATGAGAGGTATCAATGAATTTGATGATTGAGATGTCGTGAATATTGATGATGGCGGTGATGATGATGATGATGATGGTGCAATTGGTAGATGAGTATGGAATACATATGGTTTACTTGATCCTTGTTGATTGAATGTTCGAACATTAATTTGAATACGATTTTCACCATGATCGGAAATGTTAGCCATTAACCATGAAATAGGAAAATCAAATACACATGAATCAATTTGTTCCACATTATTGGTCATATTCCATATTAGAATATTATCGATTGATCGATAAATTTCAAGTTGACAATAGATATCGATACCACTACCACCATCAACACCGCTATTATAATTATATTGGCACTTTATTAACGGTGATTGTGCCAATTTTTCATCATCATCATCACCATCATTATATAATTGGCTGCTGCTGCTGCTACTACTACTACTACTGCTCAGATATCTTGTATCGAAAATATCAACGATACATTTATAAATAGGTTCCGGTGGACCATATGGTCTGATAGTATAGATGCACGGTTTTACAGTTTTACCAACTGAATTTTGAGCCACGCAAGACAATTGGCCATAATCATAATGATCACGTGGAGTGAACATAAGAATACTTTGTGTACTACCACGAGTTGTATATTTAAGACGATTAACAGTGATCGATGTACCATTATTATTATTATTATGATGATGCCAATTGAAATATACTAAAGATGGTCGTGCATCCACTTCGCAGACGATTGCTTTTGTTTGATTAATTGCAACAGAAATAGATGTTTCACTGTTACGACATCTAGGAACATCTATTATCAACAATGAGAAAACATAAATCAAAACATTTTTCACTCAATTACAATCATCTGATCATTACTTACAAGAAACTTGTAATAAAAAATCATTACTTCGATTACGTCCTTGAGAATTTTCTGCCAAACAATAATAATAACCATCATGATATTCAGATCGAAGACAATCAATCAATAGTTGATTATTATCTAAAATGGTGAATCCTAATCAATAGATGATGGATGAAATGATGTTTGTTTTTTTTTAATTCATAATCAATAAAAACAAAACTTACGATCATTCGATTCTGTTATACGAGTTGAATTGAAAAACCATATAGCCGATTTGTTAGGAAATGGATTTGCATTTATTCGACACCAAAGACGAATGGAAGAATTTTCTGCCAATAAATTCTGTTCATTTGTTTCATATAATGATAATTGTATGATTGGCATATCTGTTTTTTTTTTTGATGAGAAACAAAAAAAATGATTTGTATCAATTAAATGATGTCATTTATCAACAAACAAAAACTACAATACAATGAACAGTGATACGATGTTGATCCTGGACAGCTTGATTTTGATCCAATCGTATATTGATTGATTGACAAACAATTTCAATACCATCATCATTTTCATCTGGTACAAAATTCATTATACTTCTGGAAACATTTTGTTCAATGTCATAATAATCTCTGTGTATAACACATCATCAGATTGAATTATTATTATTAGTTAAATTAAAAGTGATACAAATGAAAACCACATACTCGATACGAGAAAGAATTCTTTGTCCATTTCTATACCAATGTATTTGTGCCACTGGACGTGATCCATATGATCGACATAGAATTTGTGCATCCTGTCCTTTATGAAAGGCTTCTTTTGTGTCTAACACTATTTCAACATTGATTGGAGGCACTTGTGTGTGATAATAATGAATGATGATGTTGATTTTAAAAATTGTTAACCAACCAGAAAAAAAACAGACAAACAAACTTACGTATAAGATCAATTTGAACCATACTTGCCACTGGTTCAATCATTTCACTATTCATTGCTATACAACGAAATTGACGGAAAAGATCCTGTCGTATTAATGGCTGTATCAATTTTAATCGATTTCTTGCACGTACTAATGTTTTATATAGATAGTTGAAAGTATTCATATCCGATGATTCCGTTGAAACATTGTTGTGTCGAGAATCAGAATCCGAAACAAGTTCATAGGAATCATCAATCAATGTTGAACCTTCATACCAAAGCACTTGTGGTAATGGTTTGGCTGTTGATCAATCAATATTCAGTTAATATGTAGCAGAATTTTTCTTTTTCTTTTTTAATGAAATACTTCACTCACCTTGTTTAGTTTCACAGATTAATTCAATGTATTGTCCTTCGAGATAAGGTCCAGCAAGGCCACCGTCGGTGATTAATGTGTGATTATGATCACTAATGAACACTTTGGTGGGAGGAACTAATAATGGACACACACATATTAATCATCATCATTATCATCACAACAACACAGGAAAACTTACTGATCAATTCTACGTGAATAAACCAATTGATTGTACGAGAATGACGAAAATCCACTCTACATCGATAGATACCTTCGTCTTCGGCTAAAATTCGTTCAATGAAAAGATAGGCCAATTGCTGTTGATAATCAATTCGATAGGTTGTGCGTTCCAAAAATGAATCAGTCACACCGTTCGTTTGGAACATGGCTTCATTCGAAACATTGGAGAAATTAAATTTTAAAAAATTCGATTTTGATTCAAAATTAACGCGAGAGATGGCAGCCTGTTTGTTGATGATCATTTCCAAGGGTTTAGCAGATGTCGTCATCTGTTGGTAGTCACCACCACTAATATAATGATCACGAGTATCTATTGTTAAAAATGGTGCTTTTGAATTTAATCCTTTGAACCAAAATATTAACATAACAACATCGGTCATCGATTTCTGTAGATTGGATTTAAAATGATGATGATGATGATTAAAGGAGCCACCATAATGGCGTTGATGGTGATGATGATGATGATGATGATGATGAAAAGGCCTTACATTGTTGTTGTCGTTGTTGTTGTTGTTTTTGATAACCATAAATGAATCTATTGAATCTTCCGGTCGTAATGAACATCGAAGCTGGATTTGTTTATAAAGAAGTGCTTGTTTTTTTTCAAATTTAATTCTATTAAAATCAAATCGACATTGAACAAATATGAAATGATTACATTCGAATATTATATCGTTGACCATTATAATAATGATTAATAATGAAATCATAATCATAATTGATGATGTATTCTGGCCACAAACAACCAGGCCCAAGTACATGATTGCACATTTCTATATGTCCAATACAATTTTAATCACTGTTTAGCGTAATCATTACTATAAGTCACACACACACACACAAAATTAAAAATGACAAAATTAACACACACACACACACACACTTTATGATAATTGTAGCGCAATATATTAAATGTTTGCAAATCGAGAAAAAAAACCGACGAATCGTCTTGAACAAGAATCCTGAACCCAAATGATTGAAAGAAATATACACACGGATCATCATAGACGACACACACACACACGTATTTTTTTTCCCAATTCACCAGGAATGATGTGCATCAAATTCATAAAAAAATGTATGCGCGATCCAACCAAAATAGCCCATTGTTAATGTTAATGGAGCGTCGTCGTCGTCGCCGTCTTTGTAGTTGAAGATGTGAATATAGCCGCATGTTTTTTGTTGTTGTTGTTGTTGTTATTTGGTTTGTTACAACATCAATATGATGGCTAACCAACCAACCAACCAAACAACAACAAAATCTATGGAATATATGCAGATCAAAATTCTGACATTACTGACGATTCAATATCTCACACACACACACACACACACATATATATCTAGTCAAAAAAAAAAAACGAAAAAGGTGGCCAAAGTGCCAATTGTATTGCGTAAATTGTGTGTGTGTGTGTGTGTGTGTGTGTATTACCGGCAATTCTCTCGAGAACGTAAAATGCTAAAATTAAGTTTGTTATGTGTGAATAAAAAAAATATTTATTCAAATCAAATTCAAAGATTTTATGCCATCCATCCAACCATCCAACCAACCGAACAACCAACCAATCGAACAATGGACCTATTACAATGAATTTAATCTTTGGCCTAGCAAGAAAAACGAAAAAAAAACCAGAAAAATTCACCTTTCCAATTTAGTCAAAATTTATCGATTCATGTGTATTATTTGTTTTGCTTTTATGGATCATTCAAGCAATTCCAAAAGTAAAAAAAAAAAAATATATATATATTGATCACATGGGATCATGAATTTTTAGTTATTTTTTTATTATTATTATTATCCATCAATTGGTTTGGTTATGATTTTTTTTTCACTTCTTTTCATTCATCGTTGCTGCCACTATTTTATTGTATTATGTGTGTCTGTGTGTGTATGAAATGAAATGAAATGATATTTAGGCACCATTATTATTATTTGGGCCATTGATACATATAAATATAACAAATTGGCCACCATTGTCGACTGCTGCTGCTTCTGCTGCCGCTGCCGCTGTTGTTGTTGTTGTTGTTTGGATCGCAATTTATTTTGTTTGGACCACATTATTTTCTATTTCTCATTTTTTTTGTTTGTTTGTTTTGTTTGCTACTTGGTTCATTTTCCATTCTTATAGAAAAAAAACTGGACAGAATTTCTATTTTTCTATATTCTCCATTTGTGTATGATTCGCCATTCAAGTTAATAATAATCATCATTAAATAGCACAAAAAAAAATCACACACAGAGAGACACACAAAAATTCAAGCACACAATTCACATTCTGATCCATTTAATTTTATTTCATGTCCATTTTGGTTAATCGTTACATTTTTTTTTTGTTGTTGACCCATTCGATTACATTGACTATTTATCTATGTCCATTGATGATTGTTTGTTGACCCCATTGGCCATAATAATTTAGTGGTCAAATCAGAGAATATTTTTTGTTTTCTTCTGATAATTGATACGAATCAATTTCATTTTTTAAAAAACAAACAAAAAAAAATTATTGTTAAATGATAAAGAAAATTGTTCAATTTCAGCACACAGACAACACAAAAAAAAAAAAACATTAACCCAATATCAAAATGAAATCAAAACAAAACAAAAACATTATGGCTTTAATTAAGCATCTGTCTGTCTGTCTGTCTGTTGGTAGTGTTTCCATCATCAAAACTAACTAGCTGAAAAAAATGACTGAATCTCATTTTTTTTTCTTTGGTTCAAATTTCCGTTAACATTTATTTATTCTGGCTGCTGCTGCTGCTGATCATATTCGATTCCGACAAAGTAATTTTTACAAAAAATTTTTTTTTGCTTGTTTTCATGTTTCATTTTGTTTGAAATGACCATGATTTTTGTTGTTGTTGTTGTTTTTGTCCTGAGTGACTGTTATACTATCCATCATTTGTTTGTTTGTTTTCGATATATTCCGGCCACACATACACACACACACACACACAGATATTTCATAAAGATTTATTTGTTGTAATTTTTTTCCTGGTTTTTCCAGTGCAAAGTGTAGGAATTTTTTTTCCATTCTTTCAAATTATTGATTCAACACGTAAAACAACAGAAACAAAACAAAAAAAAAAAACGCTTGAATATGGAATGGTGTAAAAAGTTTCACCGAAAACCCCAAAAAAGTGTACAACAACAACAACAAACAAACAAACAAAAAAAAACTGATCTGCATGTGGATTGCATAATAAATAAACAACAATCACAACAATAACTTGGTTGTTGTTGTTGTTTTTGTTGTTAATGTCGTGATTACCATATTGCTGGCCATGTTTTTGTTGTTGTTGTTGTTGTTGTCGTTGTCGTTGTTAACACATTTCAAGAACCACATTGATTTACATATGATGATGATTATGGCAATTTTTTTTTCTCAGCTCGTTTTTTTCTTCGAAATTGAATTATATTCCGGCCACCAACTTGTTTTATTGTTAATTCTGCATAATGTTGTCGCTGATGTTGTATTAAGACTTTTTTTTTTTTTTTGTTGATATAACAAACAACACAAAAAACGAATAAAATCAAGAAAAATCACATTGACTTTTTTTTCCAATGCCTTAGGATCATTATTGTTAGATTCATTTCATTATTATCATCATTAACAATCAACATGATTTATTTGATCTGTTTTTTTTTCTCTGTTTCTTTTTGTTTGTGGTTTTTTTTCAATTTTTTTTCGTTTCCGTCGAAAACATTTAATATGGTGATGGTGGTGGTGGTAACAACAACAACAACCCAAAAAGAACCAAGTGATTGAATAATGGACCGAAATATATACACCATTGACGATGGCAATGATTTGTTATTCATTTCATATTTTTTTTTTTTTTTACATTATTATTCGGTATTTGATATTGGACAAAAACATAATTTTGTTCATCACAAACGACCATCAAATTGTTGTTTGAGATGAAATTTCAACAGGACTAAGAAAAAAAAATTCATTTAAAATTCATTCAGCATAGTCAATTGATGAAATTCTTGGACTTTTTGTGTGTGTGTGTGTGTGTGTGTCATACCAGCGAAAAAAAAGACACACATTCACACTCTGCTCTTAATGATCATCGTGGTCGTGGTTGTTCTGGTTTTCAATATTTCTTTTTGTTGTTGTTGTTGTTGTGGTTGAATTTTCAAATTTTTTTTCTCCAATTTTTCAATCAGTTTTTTTTTCTTCCTGACAAGAGAAGCTTAATATTAACTTTTGCGGTGCGGTGCGCTGCTGGTGGTGGTGCTGGTGCTGGTTCTGGTGTTTCAAATCAAATTGAAACATGATGACAATTTTCCGTTGATGTCCAATAACATTATTGTGGCTAAGAAAATTGTTTAAAGTGACAACAACAACAACAACAAAAAGAAATTCCATGAAATTTGAGAATTCAATTGCTGCTTCTGTTGAGTGCAACAACAAAAAAAAAGTGAAACTCAAAATAAAAACCATTTTCATACATCGAATGTATGTGTGTGTTTCAATGTTCCTTTTTTTTGGTTGATTGCCTTTTTGATGTTTGTGTGTGTGTGTGTGTGTGTGCGAGGGGTTGATCTGATATCAATATTTTCCTTTTACATATATATATGCTGACAAGCAGAGAATTTTTTTTTTTTTTTTTAAAAAAACTAAACAGAATCCGATTTAAATTTTTTCGAAATTTTATTCGTGAAACGGATAAAATCCAGATACTGACAGATTTTTTGTTTTGTTTTTCAATGTGAGAAAAGGGTTCAATTTTTAAATTCTATAACCGGGAATATTTCATCTCTGGATTTATTTCCAATCATTCTCTCTCTCTCTGTACACTCACAGAATCGACGATTCTTGGATACAAAATAGAATTATAAACGATTGACTTTTACTTTCTAATCAAATTCAATTTTCAATCTTTCATTCGTTCATTCAATGGTTACTTTTACTTATCGATGTTGAAATTATTTAATAATCACTTTATATTTGGCCATAAATTTCAACAACAACAACAACAACAAAAAAAATGGAGAAATAGAGAAATAGAAATAGTCCAACTGTAAAAATAAAATTTATTGGTTTGAACAATGAACAGTGTGGAAAAAAATTATTAGCAAATATTAGTTGAAAAGCCAAAAATCAAAAAACTAGACTTGCCATGAACCAAAAAAAAAAAAAAAGTCAAATAGTAAATTTGGAAACATACCGCACACACACACACACACATGAATCGATGAAAAATGATCCACATAAGCAATGGAATTCTGGCTTCTCCTTTTTTGCTTTGTTTTCATTGTTAACGCCGATCATTTACTACTCGTGCCGCCGACCATGAATGGGTTTATATTAGAATGAATATAGAGAGAGAGACAGAGACAGAGATACGATTCATGTGATAATAAAAATAATTCTTTGCCTTTACAGTGTATAACTTTCAGCTTGAATAGATTTCTTTGGCTTTGGCATTATTTTCGAATGAGATTTGAACCAGAAAAAATGAATGAATGAAATGAAATGAAATGAAAAGAAATGCTAACAATGAACTGCTGCCATCAGATTTTTTTTTTATTCTCACATTTCATCATCAATAAGTTCGACATACACACACACACACACACACACACACACATCGATTTGATCCACGTGTATATTCAGGTTATAATGATGTAGGCTATTTCCGGTTGTTTTAAGACTTTGCTTGCTATCTCACAAGAAACAAAAAAAAATGAAAATTTGCAGTGGATTTTTTTTTTGTTTTATTAAATTCATCATCTTGATTATATGGTGTGTGTGTGTGTGTGTTTTGTTGAAAGGAATAAAGCTTCGTTAGGTGTGTGATAAGACGAATCAAATCACAATATGGTGGTGATGGGGGAATAAATAGTCAAAATGAAGGACTGGAAAAAATGCCATAAGCCAGGAATCGTGTGTATCGGTGTGTGTGTGTGTGTGTTGATGTTTTGGCCATTAACACAGCAAAAAAAAAACTTCAATAATCATTGATGATGGTCAATAATAATAATAACATTGTGATTTTCATTCAAAATGATGATTTTGTGGATTTCATCATCAAACTTTGTCCATAATTTTGTTCTTTATTGATGAGATATTGTTGCAAATGACCAATACGTAAACTTAATGGATTCAATAAACATAAAACGGTTAATATGGCACAAACTAAATTCACCTATAAATGAAAAATATATTTGAAATATACATTGAATTACAATGATAGCAGAGAAAAAAAAACAACGACGATAAGAATGTATTTCCTTTCCATATCGCTACATTTATATTTACCTGAAATGCTCCTAAATCAGATTTTGATTCAAAATAAAATAACGGGAATTGTAATAGTGAAAAAAATGCACCAATAGTACACATGATACCATTTAGTCGATTAAAATGACAAGCCGGATATCGTACTCGTAGATAAGCGGATGCAACAGCAATGAATAAGGCACGTAATATGGTAATGAATACGATTGATGTATAAACGGCTATTGATGTGTCGAAAAATCTACAAATTACCGCTCCAAGCAATGTTAGCGTAGTGAACAGAATTGGACCAAAACCTGATTGTGCTTGTAACAAACGACGACGATTACCATCATCAACGTCTTTAGCTCGTCTCACTATTCGATCAAGAACATCGCCAGCAATTGGTGCTATAATCAATGCACTCACTTGAACCAAACCAAATGTCTGTGTGAATAGACCTTTTTCGCGGTCATCATCGGTAACACGATCCAACCATAATGCCATCGATCCAGAATAAAGAACCATATAGGTATTGATCCATGAAAACCATAACTTGATGCATTAGAAATGAAACAGACAGTAATGATACACGAAGTGGTAGTTCATTTTCTTCACTGGATACTTTTACCGGTTTAAATATCCGTTTAATTAGTCCCGGTTTACGGGCAGCTTCTTTTTCTCGTTGATATTGGCTAAAATTGACAATTATAGGCTTTTTTGAATTGTTACTTGTACCGTTTTTGCTGTTGTTGTTGTTGTTGTTGTTGTCGTTATCGCTATTATTATTACCATCGATTGATTGAATCAATAATTTACCGGATTCTTGTTCATCGATACGATCGGAAACGGTTTTAATCATTTTACGATTAATAAAATGTGGTTTCTTTTTGTTCATTTCCATATCTAGGGCTTCAATTTTCATTCGATATTCATCAAATCGTTTCAACAATGCTTTTTCACGTGTACGAACCGATAATCGTGGTAAACAAAATGTATTCATTGGTAACAACGTAATGCTTGTTATGAACAAAGTGAATGTAGCCCAAAAATAACTCAATGACCAATTATCGTAGCCATATTTTATCAATACAAATATTACCGGTGAAGCACTGAATGCACCACTAAACAATGTTATTATTGTTGATCGTTTCAATGGGAAAAAATCTGCAATTTGCATATTTGCAATACGTAATGGAACGCCCACCAAACCTAAAATAATAATGGCCGGAATGATCTGCATGGACGATTCTTTTTTTTCATTGTAACCAGAAAACGTAAAAATTCAAATTCAAATTATGAACATTTGAGCAAAAAAAAAATCCATCTATACCTGAATCGGTTATCGAAAGCAAAAAACATCCTAGACTAATGAGAAAACTAAAAAAAAAAAAAATGTCATTTGTGGTCATGTATGTCCAGGTGGATAGATATTAAAAAAATTGGTCATGTATCGCCTACTTGAGTGCCATTCGTACAAAACGTAATCCTTTGGATTCAAGTAAAAAACCCCATGCAAATGATGTGAAACCCATCGAGAATATACCAATGGTGAATGCCATGTTTAAAATATTCTCTTGTGGAATGCAATTATGGCCATTATTATTATTTAGCTGTCAAATTTGTTGTTGTTACCGAGGTGATTATATTGGGAAGATGTGCAACAAAAAAAAAAAAAATATGAAAAATTAAAATTCAAAAAAAAGAACAAAATGAGATAATGAATTAATTATTTTTTTTCGCTAATTTCAAATGAAAATTCATCACGATGATGATGATGATAATGAACACATCGACGTGTGAACAAAATTGCTTAATTAAAAAAAAAATGTCATCATCAATGTATTATTGTACCCAGTAGCCTTTTTTTTCTCTTTGTGTGTGATGATGAGAAAATTGTCAGGAATTTAATTGAAAAAAATTTTTTTTTCTCCTACCAATTATATGTCGCCTGAGACGAACAAATGGGAAAAAATTGTCATTTGAAAATTTTTTTAAATGTAAAGCCGAACATACACACACACACACACACATCAAGGTATTTACAATGGACAAACATGGTAATAAATGACATGGTCATTTTTTTGTGTGTGTGTGTGTGTCCAAATGAATTAATCTGAAATCGAGATCAATGACAACTGCACGCTCACACATGTGATATAACTGATTAATATGTGTGGATCACACACCATTCATCGTTAAATATTATAATTGATCATCTGATGATCAATATTGGTTCTTACCTTGTTGTTGTCGGTGTCATCAACGAAAAAAATTGAATCAATGGTCGTATTGTTGAACTGGTCATTATTATCATCAAATAATATGGACAGTTGTCCATCATCATTATCATCATTTTGTGATGAACAAAGATGTGAATAGATTTGTTCATTTTTAAGCATATAAAATAATGCTGGCCAACCAAATATTAATCCGGAAAAAATTATGCTTTCAATTATTGTCGATATGAGTATAAAATAACGTATTGGACGTGGTGTTATTGCTTTTTGATATTCATCTTGATTATTAACAGTAGTATCGATAGTAGTGGTGGCGGTAGTAGTAGTAGTGGCCATTGGTTTCTTATTACATGATGATTGATCATCATCATCATCTTCATTATTATTTGGTAAAAAATCTTTACTATCCATTGATAAAGTCATGTGTTTTTTTTTATAAACCAGAAAAAAATGTCAATTTTAACACTGGATATTTATATTGACAAGTGGATGACACATACACATACACACACACAAAATATTCGATGATTGTTAATTTTTTTGTTGGGTAATTAAAGAATATTCGAAAGTCAATGATCAATTGATACGCACACACACACACTGGAATCAATGGCTTTAAATATTTTGTATTTTGTGTGTGTGTGTGTGTGTTTTCAAATCACAATTTCTTCGTTTGTTTGATTTTTTTTCCCTGTATACAAACAAGTAAAAAAAAATTTGTACGGCCTATTCAAAGACAGTGAAATGAAGAAAAAAAAATCCGTATCAAAAAAAAAAAAAAAAAATTGTGGACAAATTTAATGATGATGATGATGATGATGACAATGATGATGATGATGATGGTGGTGGTGGTGGTGGTGGTGGCAATGACAGATCAAAAAAAAAAAAAGAGAAAACGAAATAACAACACACACACACAGTCAGTGAAAAAAGGGCTTAAGAATCCAGTGTAAAAGTCAGAGAGAGAGAGAGAGAGAGAGAGAGAGTGTGCGTGTGGCTTAAAAAAAAGGAAGAAAAATAATAAAGACATTTACACACTCTAATTAATTATTATTATAATACACACAGAGTTGATGAATTGAATTTTTTTTTTTTTTGACTAAAAAGCGGCCGCGGCAAATCATCATCGAGTTTATCGTTTTTGTAGAGTGTTCAATTAAATAAATTTTTGTTTTATCATCATCAACGGTTTTGATGTGAAAACAAGTGAAAGAAAATTTTTTTTTTTTTTTTTTGATATATTACACTGATGATCTTGATGATTATTTTTTTTTGTTTCACTGGAAAACAAAAAACAAACAAAATCTCAAAATCTAATCATTTGGCGAAAAAAAAAAATGAATGAATGAATGATGATGATGGTACACTTGAATTTTTTTTTGCCATTTTATCTGGTTTTTTGTTTGCAGTGATAACCGTGTTTTACACGTGCAACAGTGTGTGTGTGTGTTCATGTGGTTGTGGGCGTATTAAATTTTAGAAATGGAAAAATATCTTTATACAGCCAGTTTGAAAATAAAATCAGTTTGACTGGCCAGAGATGTGGAATAAAATGTCAATATTACAAAAATTGTTTTTTTCTCGATTTATCAAGCAGAACTGAATCACCAATACCTGGCCATTTTGTTGTTGTTGATTTTATCATCGCTGTACAGAGTTCAGATTTTTTTTGTGTGTGTATTTTTTTGGCTTCAGTATCTATCAATTTGTTGTCGTTGTTGGTTGTTTTAATTTTCCATTCTAATTATAACCGTATTTTTTTTTTTTTGGCTGTTGCCATGCATACAAACATACAAACACACACACACAAAACACAAAACACAAACAATAATATACATTCTATACATACGTTGAATTGCTGATTTTGAACCAAAAAAAAAACAACAACAACAACATAGTTTCACATATTTTTCATAGCCAAACATTTTGTTACACATTGTGTTTATCATTATTTTTTTCAATGGTTGAAAGGGATTTAACCTTCATTTGTTATCATACACACACATACACATATAGACATATGCAACATCAGCCATAAATGATGATGATACATTTTGAATACAATTCAAACAATGTTCAAAAAAAAAAATGTCTGTAATGGCAATAATGATGAATATATATATGGTGGATGGAATAAAGAATTTTTTTTGTTCGATGATGATGATGATGATGATTTAATTAGAATTCAAATTAATTGGTTATAACAACAGCAATAAAATATGACATATGGTCATTTTTTCCAATTAGTCAATTTATAAATTTGCCACAAAATTGCAATGATAATGACGACATCGATATGACAAGTGAAAACATAAAAACCGACGCTATATTGCTAATATAACAAAAATGATTGGCGTAACAAAATTCATCATCATTTCAATTCTCATCATTGTCATAGAATTTGTTTTGTTTTGATTTTCAATTGCCGATATATATCCACATGATCAAGACATCATCAAGACAATTGGCTTGTCTATTTCTTTATTTTTTTTTGTTTTCTAATTAAAATTTAAATTTAAATAAAAAAAATAACGACAAATGATGACATACGATGATGATGATCATTGTGTGGACAATAAATTGTCATTTTTTTCGTTTTTGTTTTGTTTTTTTTTTTTGCTACAAGTGAATGAGAGTTGGCCGTCTGTCTGTCTGTCTGTCTGCATATATAGAGCGACCTAAATTTTTCATTAATGAACTTGAAATGTTGACAAAAAAAAACGACAAGATTTGGTGTTGCTCTGTCATCATCATCATCATCATCATCGTTGTCATCATTCAAACAATCGATTGTTGTTGATCGTATGTGACATTGATTTATTTGTCAGAACGAAACAAAAAAAAATTCGAGATATTTTTTATCTTTTCAGGCTAAATGGATGTGGATTTTCATATTTTTTTTTTTTTTTTTCGGATTCACAAATTTGAAACAAAATCAAACACAAGGAAACATTTACATTGACAAGGACAACAACAATAAAAAAAAAATGATGATGATCTAATCAATCAATGAATCAATGGATTTGTAATGAAAACCCCCACCCGCCATACTACACAGTCATTGTTTTTTTCTTTTTTCATAGAAAAATCAAAAAATTTTTTTTGATTTTGTTTCATTTCATTTCATCGACCTACATAAAAAAACGATGATGATGATGATGATGATGATGATGATGATTGTGAAAAAAGCAGTGAGCACGTGAGTTTTAAACCATGATGATGATGAGTAAGCTTAAGATTTTTTTTTCTAAAGTAGAAAAGAAAAAGAAATTTAATCGAAATTTTGAAAAATAAAGTTCAATGTCTGATTTTAATTCTTTCAATTTCATTTTTCTTTCTTTCCAATGTGTGTGTGTGTGTGTGTGTGTGTGTCTCACACCATATTACGCCCATTTCTCTTTTTCGGTTTTTTGTTTTTCAATCATTGTTTTCAACATTTGGTTGGGTCTTTGTTTTTTTTTTTTTGTTGCTGTTGTTGAATCAAGAAAATTCATTAAGAAATTTTTTTTTTCATTTTTGGCCCCAAAAAAAATATACTGAAGATTTGAATTTCGGCCTGGTGGCCGACATTCAATCAAGCGTGTTAAACACACACACACACAGACGCACAATACAAAAACATTGAATTTGAATGACCGAATTTGAAGAGACAACACTGTAATGGATTTTTATTATTTTTTTTTTCGGTCAGCGGTGTCATTGGCAAGTATTTTTTTTTTTTTTTTTTTTTTGACTTTAAGAATCGAATTATTTTTGTTTTTTGTTGTAGTTGAAAATCTTTTCTCACAAACACACACACACACACACACAATGTGTGTATGTGATGGATATTTTCGGCTCAATCGATTGTTTTCGCACACTCGTTTTGGACCAATCACAACTTTTGTTGTTGTTGTTGTTGTTGTTATCATCTTCAAAGACCGGGCAATAAATGACAAAAGAAACAGAGACTACAGAGATACAGAGAGAAATTTTTTTTGGATTCATTCATTCAGAGAAAAAAATGAAAACCACCACAAAAACGTTATGTACAATCATTTGTAGTTTGAATAATTCTTGAATTGGATGTTTAACGTTCAAAAAATTCAATTCGTTTTTTTTGTTCATAGTCTTTACAATTGTTTTATAATTTTGAAACAATTTAAAAATGAAAAACATCATCGTCATTGTCATCAATTTTATTATTTTAATTTTTTTGGAACAAATTCATGCCAATCAAATCAATCATCATCAACATTATCATCACCACCACAAAAACATTCGATCATTATCAATGGTCAATAAACAGTCAAATTCAATGAGAACAATTCGTTCACCATCACCGTCACCGTCACCACCACCACCACCATCATCGATTCCATCTGAATCATTTCAGATTCCAATGCATGAAAATCCAAATATCGATGATGATGACATTTTTTATCGACTAAATAATAATAATCGAAACAACAACAGCAGTGGTAATAGAAATTTTAATGATCAAGGTTGGAAACCATCAAATTTGAAAAAGAATTTAATGATTGAAAAACAACAACAAATTCAACACCACCATCAGCAACAACAACAACAGCAGCAGCAGCAGCTGCAACAATTTGCAAATAAAAATGAAGCTATGATACCTATTATTAAGGCAAATGATTTATTCTCAACACCAATATTGCAACGATCAAATGATCATCATCATCATGGTGGTATCAATCATTCCATATCGATGAATAGTAATTCTGAGTTTGGCGGCAACAATCATCATCATCATCATAATAATGCAGCTTTTCCAACTTCATCAATGAAATTACAAAATAATGAAGATTTACATTTTCTACAAAATAATCGTCAATTATGGAATCATTTGACCAGTTCATCGATAAGCAATGATGTATTGGATAATGAATTGAATCAGATACAATCGGAAATGATCAGTAAATATAAGACACCAGTGAAATCGATGAATTCATTGGGTAAACAGATAGCAATGTTTTTATTGAATCGTAATCAAAATCCAACAACAGCAAATGTGGCCAATAATAATAAACAACGAAATTATGCATTCATAAAACCAATGACACCAGTTGATGGCATGATGGATGGATCAAATGTTCAAACAAATAGTCGAAGTGGTGAATCGTATCATCATCATCATCACCATCATCATCAGAATGATAAATCAATCCAAGATGGTTATCCAACATTGCCCATTTCATCATCATCACCACCACCAGCAAGATACGATACAATTATTGTTGATGATAAATCAGGTCAACAATTGCCAAATGGTAAAAATTATCGATTTCAGATCAATCATCAGCTTAATGATGGTGATATTAAAACCACATCAACATATCGCACAAATAATGGCCAATCGTTACAAACATCACCAAGAACTGTATTTACTACAGTTCCATTTGTCATTGATCTATCATCAACAGCTATTAAAGATGGTTGGCCTTCTCTTGTCAAAAATGATGGTAGCGAAGGTGGTGGTGTTGGTGGTGGTGGTGGTGGTGGATTTGTTGGTGACAATAATTATAATGGTGGCCAAACATTCGTATCATCGCAATCCATTGATCAGGATTATTTTGATCGACAACAACAGCAACAGCAGCAGTATCAGCAACAACAACATCCGATCCAAACAATACACAACGCACAACGACCTCGTACATCGGCGACAACGGCAAATCAATTGATCAAATCATTAACACCACCATCAGTAATGAGTAATGAGCCAACAAACATGATTTTTATGCCTGAAAATTTAGCCAATCCATTGAAAGCATCACCATCACCGATGACAGGTCCAATCACAACCAATCTAAATCAACAACCATCACATTCTAATTTTATGGCCAGCAGCAGCAGCAGCAGCAGCCAAAACATCCAAAACAACAACAACAATAATAATAACAACATTGATACCACTGCATTCATACCAATACAATCAACAAATTCAATTTTATTTGAACCTTCACTAATCACAAATAATAATCATCATCTATCAGGTAGGTCATAAGCATTGGATTTACAATTCTAATTCTAATAATCAAAATCAATTGATTTTACAGTTGACCAACAGCAACAACTACAACTACAACAACAACAACAACAACAACAGCAGCAGAAGCAGCAACAAAAAAATGAACAATTTAATTGGAGTCCAGAAATAAAAAATGTTGTATTAAAAATGGAATTACCAATAATACCGTTACCGACACCGTCTCCATCATTATCATCGGTTAATATCGATGGCAATGGTAGCCGAAGACAATCATCACAATCATTGCAAAATTATCATTATGTAACAACATATAATAATCAAGATGGTAATCCATTTATTATGAATTATGCATCACCAAAACCACCGTCACCACCAGCCACATTATCATCAAATCATCAATATAATGATGGTCAATTATCACCATACAATAATCGGATACAAACATCATCATCGACAGCTGAATATCGAATTAAAAATAATAATTATAATTATAAACCACAACAACAACAGCAGCAGCAACAATCAATGAATATTTATAATTCAGATCATTTGGATCATTGGATTGATATACCAAATCATCATCATCGTCATCGTCATTATTATTAGAAAAAAAAATGTTCTGGAACGAAAAAAAAACAATACAAAACAATAGCAACGAAAACTTATATCTATCCATCACACACACACACACGAATACAGTTACACATTGATCAAGAAAATATTGAAATTTTGATTTTTTTTTTTTGAAAATTCTCAATTCATTATTAATATTGTTGTTGTTGTTTTTTGTTGAAAAGAAATTTTTTTTTTTCATTTTTTTTTGAAAAATTATTAAAATTCTTTGAAAATACTTAAAACAAAACAGAACAGAAAAAAATACAAAATGTTTGGCAGCATTTTGGCACATTTACAGTGTGTCCATTATGTGTGTGTGTGTGTGTGTGTGTTGATGTGGGCGTAAAGGTCGTAATTTAGTGTGTTTTTTGTGCGTTTGAAAATTTGAAATTTGAATTAAATTATTAAATTAAAGAATTTTGTGGCTTCTTTAGACGCATCAATTCAACAACTTTAGCTGGTGTATCTTCGGCAGCCACTTGTATATGTGCTGGATTATCCACTTCATTTGTAACAGGATTACGTTCAACTAGGCCTGGTTCATTTGTACGTATGGTGGCTATTTTTATGATTATGAAAAATGACAATTATCAATCTAATGATTTTTATGTGTTTGCAAACGACATACCTCTAAATCCATTTTTATCTGCAACATAATCAACGATACGATAAAGACCCCATGCATCGGTATAACCATATGAACCACGAACTACACCATTTCGATCACCTTCTTCACGTCGAAATTGTCCATTACCTGAATCATCGTTTACATTAAAATTGAAACTATATGGTTCTGGTTCCGGCTAATGAAAAAAAAAGAGAATTGAACTTAGTAGAATTGTGAATATCAATCAATTACATTATGTTCTTCAATGTGTTGTTGTTCATATTCTTGTTCAAAAACTGGAGCACGAATTGCTGCACGTGGTGGTGATTTAATTGGAGCTGGTGGTGGTGGTGGTGGTGGCGTTTTGATTTGTTGACGAATTGGAGCTGGACGTGGTGGTGATTTGATAGCTGCTGCTGGTGGTGGCGGTGGTGGTGGTAACGTTTTTATTGGAGCTGGTGGTGGTGGTGGTGGTGTTTTCGTTCCCAAAGGTCGAATAATTTTTGTATTGACTTGAACATATTCTTTTTGATCGGCAATCTGATTAGTTTTACTGTAGCTAGAAGCTGATGAAGCAGCAGATGCAGAAGCGGCAGCATTAGATCGTGAATCTTGGATACGTTCAAAATAATTGGTTTGAACGCTTTGAACTGGTGATTTAATGTTTGGCTGTACAACAACACGTACTCGATATGGATGTTGACTTGAATGGAATCCTTGGCTTCGGTCATCTTCTATTTGTGGTTGTTGTTGAAATGTTTTTGATGATTTAACCACTTTACGTACGGCTTTCACTGGTGATGATGGTACAAATGATGGTTGCCAAGTATTACCCAAGAATGGAGATGGTTGAACATGATAATCACCTCCTTTGGTTCCATAGGCAGCGTTAATGTTTGAAGCTGATGCTTGGAAAGCATTGTTTGACGACGACGATGATGATGATGATGAGGAAGCAGAAGCAGAAGCTGAACTAGAAACGGAAGCTGAAGTTGTAACCGGTGCATTGATTCGATTGATCTCTGGATAGTAAAGATTTCGTTGATTATTGCCTGTATATTCGCCAACAGCTAAATCACCATCAGCTGTCAAACTATTAGCGGCAGCTGGTGGCTCAGCAGCAAACACTGGTTTTCGTACAAAAACGGGACCCGTTGCTGGTCGGATTGGAGAATTTCCGTGCACTGGCATAAACTGGTGATGGACTTGATTCTACTGCTTCCGAATCTCGATCATTTCGTGACCATGCAGCATCACTGTTGACACCACGATTATTGAAGTGCCATACTCGATTGATGGCTGGTCTAGGAATGGCTGGAACGGCTCCCGGTGGAATTCGAGCTGATGATTCGGATGATTCTGAAGGTCGTGGAACATAAACCGATGTTGGAGCACTAGCACTGGCCGGTAATTCAAGATCAGCAGGTAAAACTGTTGTCGGTTCAGCAGTTGTTGTTTCAGCCGTATTATTAGATACTGTTGTTTCCGTTTCAGAAGCCGATGTAGATTGCGATGGTATAGTTGTAGTCGTGGTCGTCGTTGATGATGATTCAACAGTCGTCGATTCAACCAAAGAAACAGGTGCAGCTACAGTATCGGTAACAGTTTCCGATTCTTTTGCTTCCAATGGATCATCAAATGTATCTATATGTTGTTGTGCAGAATCATTGGGAATATCTGGTCCAATAGCACGTGGATATATAATGGCAACACCAGGTGCCGAAGATTCTACACCATCCAGAATATCATTATCTTCAAACATGAATGCATTATTTGGTGTAATCAACACTAGAATAGTGGCCAATAACACCGTAGTGATTAACGGTAAAATTTCCATAATTATTATGTGATTCGCTATGTATGTAACAGTGAAAAAAAAATAAACACGTACAGAGATTATAAACGATTTCTATTAATTAATTATTGAATCAATGATTTATTGTTTTGGCAAACAAACAAACAAAAAAATTCTTCTTCATTCTATGCCTATGCAAAAACATTTTGACAATTTTGGCCAAAACAAAAATCAATTATGATTCACAATTCGTATATGATACAGACAGCAAAAAAAAAACAAAAACAACTTTAACTTACCGCAAATTTTTCAGAATCAGAATCTTGTTGTTGATGTTACCAAAGTTCAAAATAGATGGAAAAAAAAAATCACAGACACAATTCACTAAACACATACACAGACGAAAAAAAAATCATTTGATTTTTCACAAAACGCTAAACTCACAAAACATACGTACAAGATACACACACACACACACAAACACGATCACAATTTATGAATGAATGATGTTTGAATGGACAATGTCTTTGCTTTTTATATGCGACCAAAAAAAAAATGAAAAAAAAAATTTTGTGATGATCAACACGAATGGCAAAATATGGTTTTCTTTGCTGTTAGAATTCAAACAATCGACCAAATAAATAAACATTCATTCATTCATTCATTGATGGTGGTGGTGGTCAAATTGTTAAGCATTTTTTTTTGTTTGTTTGTTTACCATGAATATAAGCCAATGTTTCAAGAATGTGTGTGTGTGTGTATGCATGCATCAAGCGTGGGTAGCAAAAAACAACAACGATAAAGATGGTGATGATGTTCCAACAACAACAACCACCATCATCATCATCATCATCATCATCAAAATCATGGCTGCCGTATTGTCAATGATTAAACAACGACAATCCAATTGGATGGGAAAAAAACGAACCTATTTTGGGGAGGAAAAAAACAATCATCATCATCATCGCCATCAACAACATTGAATGTTTGTGATGATGAATGAGAGAGAATAGAGCACCATACGCACACACACACACAATATTTATTTATTTGTGTATGGGCCATATTTTACTACTATACAATGCTCATTATTGGCTATTATGGAATAATGATAATGATGATGATGATGATGATCAAATATAAAAAAAACATTGAATGACATGACTCACTCACTCACTCACTCACACACTTAATGGTCAGGGTCATCACCAAAAAAAAAACTGAGTCCTTAAATAAAAAAAAATGAAGGCTTAAAATAATAATAATGGGCCACATTACTATAAATAGTGTCATCATCATCGTCGTCATCGACATCAATTCCATAATGTCTATTGTTTCAACAACAACAACAACAACAACAACAACAAAAAAAATGTGTTGTTTACGTGGCCATACATACATAAACATTGATTGATTGAAAACAAGCAAAAAAAAAAAAATGACAGTTCCGGATTTCATCTGTTTTCATTGTTATTGTGTTTGTTTGTAATTACTAATCAACACTTTCCATATACATAATGGCATTTGTTTGATCATTATTAGACCAAACGAATCAACATACAAAACGAAAAATGAAAACAATGCCATCATCATCATCATACGTGTACGACTAAATATAGCCAAAATCTCAAGGTGTACCACACACACACACACACACACATTATTCATTGCACTTTTTTTTTGGATACCGTTTTTGATAAAAATTTGAGGATTTAGCAAAAGAAAATGAAAGGTGTATTATTATTCAAAGGGAAAAAAATTGAATTTTTTTTGGAATGTCAACCATTCACTATTTTTTTTTTTTTTTTGTTTTGTTTTGTTCGTTCATTACCTGTTGCTGTTGTTTTAACCATTTTTGGGCAATATTGAAAATTTTTTTCTGCTTTTCTTTTATTGATCTCATTGATTACATTGTTGTTGTGGATGATGATGAAGAATGGATGGATGGAAAGAAAAACATTTTTTCGCTGATTATGAAGAATTTATTTAATGTGGAAAGAAAAAAAAATTAACGTTATTGTGGGTGCACATATATATATAAACCATATGACATGTTTCACCTGTTTCACTTTTTTTTTCTCACTTTATTACGATCATCATCATTGTCATGATCATTATCATTCGATTATTGTGTGTGTGTGTGTGTGTGTGTCGACCATATAGACAATATACACACATGGGTTTGACCATCATATAATTGTTTTGTATTTTGAAACAGAACAAAACGAAAATTAATCCAATGATTCATGTTTTACATTTATTCATCGAATGATTTTCAATTTTTCGAATAATTTTTGCTTTTCTTCACAAATCAATAAATATTTAGCTTATTAAAAGTGGAATATCTGGTTTGTGCATTGATTCCGGAACAATCAAATTCCTATTGCCACCATAAGTCATAATTTATCATCAAAAAAAAAAAACAAAAGTGGTATTTGAACATTTGAAGAAACCAAAAAAAAAATTTAAATTTGACGATGAATAATTTTACCACTACCATAACTGGATTTTTATTATTAAAAACGGATATATATATATGTTTCACATTCAAATGATCATATTCATCACACAATTTATGAATGAAAAAAAAAATTTATGTTTAGACGTGCATGTGTCATATATAATGCCATTGTGTGTGTGTGTATCTGTGTGTTTTAAAAGCCAAAAACGGTTTCAATTTCGATGATGACGATGACGATGATTACATGAAACAATCCAAAAAAAAAAAAAAATCATTGCCAATGTGTGCCATATGAATGGATGATGATGATCCATCCATCTATCCATCCATACTAATAGAAATGATGCAAAATGTCACCTTGATTGAATCACTCAATTTCATTTGTTTTCATTTGTTTTTGGTCATGATGACCTAAAATTATTCATCATCAGCATTCAGTTTTTTGTTTTGTTTTGTTTATTTTAAATTAAAAAAAATTTTTTTTTCTTTTCTTTTGAAACAAATATATAAATATGGCCGGAAAAAATTTTTTCTTGATCATCGACACGATGATTATATTTGTTTACCATTTTTTTTTCATTTTTCAACATTTCACATTTTTTTGTTGTTGTTGTTGATGATTTATGTTTACACACAAACACACATTTTTTTGATTATTTCTGAAATGTAAAAAAAAAATCCAAAGCTACCAAATCTCAAATCTCTCTCTCTCTCTCTCTCTCTCTCTCTCTCTCTCTCTCTCTCTTTGTATAATGATAAAGTAGCGCCAATTTTAGAAATGTTCATCACCATCATCATCATCATTGAAATTGAAACTTTCAAACATTGAAACCTTGAAAATAACACAGAAGCAAACAATCAATTATTGTGTGTGTGTGCGTCTGTATGTTTTTTTCCATCATTTGATAAAGGCCAAACAAACAAACAAACATCATCGATGACAATAAGTAAATAATATAGAAATATATTCGGAATTCAATCATCACATCATTTATCAACAATCCATGGGTGATGATGATTATCATCATTACAAATCAAAATTCAGAATCAGAACTTCAAAATGAAAAACAAAACAAAAAAAAATGTAACCTACAATTGATATATTTAATGACGCCTACTGCTAATACTACTACCACCGCCACCACAACCACCACCTTTTTAATATTCATTTTTTGAAAATCTTTTTTTCACTCGTTCATTTGTGTCATCAAATATAAGAAAAAAACATGATGATGATGATTTATTACAGATGAAAAAAAAACCAATTTGGCTTTTTTTGGCTATTTTTACTAATAAAAGTTCTTTATTTTTTTTTATTATTATTATTCATCAAACAAGAAAATAAATTCATTGATTCATTCAGTTTCATTTTTTCAATTTCAATTTATTCAATTCATATTAAATACAATCCATCCATCCACGCACCATGTAGAATGATGAATCATTTCATTATCATCATTCAATTATTCTTCATTTTTTGAATCATCATTGAAATCAGTGTTGATCATCATTGAAAAATTTATACGAAAAAAAATAATATATAAAAAATGACTATAAAAATGGCCACTAGAGGTCGCTGGCATTTACTTTATTCATCTGACGATTGTTGATTTCATGGCATTCATATCGGTAAGTATACGCCAACGAAAATGTCCAGATTTAGTATTGATTTCTTGTACGCTGTTTATTGATTATAGATTGATGATGATTGATTTTTACTATTATTTAGTAATTTCTAATGAATAAATTAATCAAAATATTGAATCAACTTACGCAACTGATTGTGTTGCTTGAAATGGTGGTGATGAAATGATTTGATCAGATTTCAATACAGGAGTCGTCGTCGTCGTCGTCGTCGTAGTCGATGTTGATGATTCTGTATTTTTTGGCTTTGATGATGAGCTATAATTATTATCATCATCATCATTGTCATCGCCATCGTTGTCATTGTCATCATCATCATCGTCATCGTCATCGTCATTGTCATTATCAAACGAAGAATATGGTGATGAATCCGATTCTGATTCTGATTCTGATTGTTGTACATAATCATCCATTTCATTTAATGCCATATCGGGACTATATTCACCATATTGTGATTCACTTGTTTCATGATCATAAATATCATCATATAATCGATGTTCATATGGTAAATGATAACGTAATGCACTTGGACGTTCACTATCCAAAGATTCATCATCATAATTATTAAATTCTAAAAATTGTGCTTGTTCAATCATTATGAACATGAGAAATAGAAAAAATGCACATAATGTTGAACTTATATGTGCCATCATCTATTGATATATATATTGAATATATGAATGAAGCAAACAGAATTTTAAACATTTAAATGAATTCTAAAGATTCAAAATAAAACCAACAAGAAAAACTTACCCGTTCACGATGATATTCATAAATGTTTTGCATGTTGTTGTTACCAACATCTGGTTTAATCAAAATGCCAACATCCATACCGAAATATTGTTCATTCATTTCGATTCATTCTTTCACACTCTCACTCAAAAATAGAGAGAGAGAGAGAGAGAGAGATATTAAGGCCAAAGATGATCGATAATAATAAAAGGATGTTCCCGTTATTCAATACTATTGTCGATATTATTCAGGAAACGAAAGAGTAAGAAAAGAAAAATTGAACAATCTAACTATTCATCAAACACACACACACACACACACAAATATAGATAAGAAAATGGATAAATAGAACAGTGCAAAACGGTTATCATTCAAAATGGACAAATCTTTCATTTGTGTTCTATATATCTGAATGTGTGTGTGTGTGTGTGTGTGTGGGTTCGAAATTCGGGTTTTGGGCGAAGTTTTTTTGTTGTTGTTGTGTGATTGACGACTACATTGTTGTTGTTGTTGTTGATTCCAGCATTAATAATAAAAAAAATTTTATTTTTTTTTCGTGCACGAAAATTTCAGTTTAGTTCAACCAAAAAAAAAAAGAAAAAAAAACAAATCTAAATGTAAAAATCAATGCACGAGCACAACATAACATTAACAACAACAACAGGTCGTCCATTGGTACGTTGTTCAACTTGTCGTGTAATAATAATTGATAATTTATGAATGAAAAAAAAAAAAAATTTTTTTGGACGACTAATTGGCCAAGCTCTACACACTCTAGCCAGGTCAGATTACGCCACACTAGTTAAAAAAATTGAATGAAACCAAAATTCGCCTCTTTATCTATTTCTCGTTTTTTTTTTTTTTTGGTTCGGTTTGGTTTTGGTTCCAATGAAACAAAAAAAAATTTCCAATCAACAGCGGCAGCCATTTTTGTTCGCAAAAACCAAAAAACCAAAAAGCTAAATTGAAAATCTATTGATTGAATTTGATCGATAAATTGTCATATATATATTTATCAATCAATCAATCGATCATCATGTCTTAGAAAATGGAAAAATCGATTGAATAGAAAACATTTTTAGTTTATGTTGGATTTTCAGTATATTTTAGTTTTTCTACTTTATGACATGACATAATTTTACTGCCATAAAAAAACAATTCACACACACACACCAATCAACCAATCAACCAACCAAGCATACACGTTGACCACCACCACCACCACCACCACATACATGTGACACTTTTGAATTTATTTAGTGACAAGAAGAAAGAAAACAAAAAAACTAAGAAACACAAATGGATTAGATTATCAAATTTGTTTCATTCATTTCATTTTTTTTTTTAATGTTGTGTGGCCACTGAACTCGTTCAATCAAAAAAAAAAAAAAAAATTGGTTCACTGTTTCTTTTTTCTATTAATAAAACAATCAGGAAAATAACTTTTTCTTTTTTTTGGCTAATTATCGGCCTATGGTGTTGTTGGTGATCATTTTTTTTCCATTTATTTTACAGGAACTGTTGACATTCTTTGGATTTTTATTTTTTGAATTTACATGAAAACAGAAATTTTTTTTTAGCTATCTGCTTACTTGAACAGTAGCAATCGGTAGAAAAATCAAATTCTGTCCACTATTGATCACCATTTGACCAATTGATTGACAATAACAAAGACAACAACGACAACGACAACGACAACAGCATTGAAGCGAAACATGAAGGAAAAAAAATCCAGGAAAGATGAGTGAAATAAAATGACAATAATTTGTCTCTTTTTTTTTTTTCAATTATGATCATCATAATCGGTCCAATGATTGTCACATAATTTGACATAATAAAACAGTAAACAAAAAAAATATTTAACTCATCCATCCATTTGTGTCCACTTGGTGGTGGTGGTGGTGGTGATCAACCAACCAATTGACCTGTGAATATAAAAAGGCACGGTTATTTCGTTTTGAATGGTCATTTTATTTCAATATTTGAATCGGTTAACATATGTTTTGTTTGTTTGTTTGTTTGTTTCAATTTTATTTAGCTATTTGCTAAATGCCTATCAACCAAAAATCGTATACAACAACAACAACAGCCACTATTAACAGCGAAAATAATAAACGAAAAAAAATTAATATACAAAACATAGCAGGCACCATCTCGTCGCCAAGTTTCGTATTAACAGTGATTACAATGTTTACATTGATTTTATTTCTAACAATGATTGGTATGGTTTTTGGTCAACAAACAGGCCAATTACCAAATGGTGCATCATCATCATCATCATCATCGTCATCGTCATCGTCGTCATCATCATCAATAGTTAATAATAATCATAAAAATGATTCATCAACATTGAATAAACCTTCAATTTCAAATAGTAATAATTATGCAGCTAGTATTTCATTGCTTACATCAATCAACAATAACAATAAACCATCGAATGCTAAACATTCAGGTAAGTGGACTAAATAAAAAAAAAACGGAAATGAGTGACCGAAAAAACAATACAGTTTATGCATCAAATATTTTTCTGAAATCAATCGATTTTACTTGGAAAATATTTTATATGCTACTCATTTTTTTTTTTCAATACATTAACATCTTGATAAAAATCAAATCAAATCAAAACAAACGTGAATTAATCAATTTTGAAAAAGAGATGAATTGATTCTCGTTTGAACCATTAAAACAATTAACCTTTGATGATGATGATGATGGTGGCAATTGATAGACTGACCTAATTAATTGATTTGTTGTTTTTTTTCGTTTCAATTTTTAAAAGATAAACTTTATGGTTTAAGTTCAAAAGGTTTGTTCACGAATAATAATAATAATAATGGTGGTGGTGGTGGTAATTCGGATTCTTCATCTTCAATACCAATTTATGGCTATCAATCGAGACATGTAAGTATTGATTGATTGATCAAAAAAGTTTTATTGAATTTTTTCTTAATTTTACATTTTTTTTTTAGTCAATATTGGATTCCTATCCGAATAGCGGCAGTGGCTATACATCAACGATGAATAATGGCCAACAGACATATAGTCCGTATTTGATGCCAATAAGTAATTATTACACCGGTAGTAGTTCGACGGTTAGTGCAACGATAACTAGAAGTCCTAGCTCACCCTACCAGTATACTCATTACTACACACAAGCTGAAAATAATATGCCTTCATCATCGATACAGGATCAAAAAGTGCTGAAAACACCAAATTCAATCATCAACAATATAAAAATGGCTAATTTAACTAATGATGCTGATGAAACGGCAACGGCTGCAGCTGAAGATCGTTTGGCTAAACAATTACAATTGGCATTACTTTATAATCAATTATTAGCCCTACAACAGTATCGTACGGCATTGTATGGATCAACTGCTGGTTCAGGTCTCACCGGATACAGTGGCTATCAATATGGCTTCCCGAATACAATATCATCACTATATAATTATTTAGCCGGACAGGATATGAATTTGGAATTATCACCAACGACATCGGCATCAAGCAGTATTGCATCATCTTCAACGGGCGGATCTAACACTGGTTCGGGTGAAACAAAAAATACCGGCAGTGCAACAAATGGCAAAGAAGTACAAGAAGATCTTCCTTCGTTGTCCGATGAAACTCAATTACAAGCATTATCATCGCTTTTATCATATCGACAACAATTGGCCAGTATGTATGGTGGTGGAATGTATGGAAGTGGCCTCGGCAGTAGTTATGGTACAGGTCCTGGATCATCTTTATCCAGTCTGTATGGAGGTGGATTAGGTAAGGGTGGATTCGGTTATCCATCCACTCTTTATGGTTCCAGTTATGGTAGTATTGGTGGTAATAGTATGGGCGGAAGTTCATTTTCAAGCTTATATGGATCAGCTATGCCAACAGGTGTGGGTGGAATAATGTCCAGTTTAGCAGGCGGCTTATCATCATTGACTGGCGGTAGTGGTTTTGGTACTGGTAGTGGTGGTAGTGGTGGTGGCGGTGGAGGTCTGGGTGTACTTAACTCATTGGGAACAATGTTATTCGGTTGATAATTAATCGATATTTTTATATGAATCAACGAATTTGATCTTCACCACTATGTATGGATGGCTCAATCATACATACAAACAAACAAACAAACACACCCTCAGATACACATCATTATTATTATCATTGAACTACCGGTATTTTTTTTGTTGTTCGATTTTGATCAATTATTACACAGTAATTCATTTGTATACACAGATTGCCAGACGATTCAATAAAAATTAAAAAAAAAAAAATTTGACATTTCAATCAAACAATTTATGGTTAAGCCCAATAAACCATCGAAAAACAATCAATCAATCGATTCAGAACAAAAATTCTTTATATTCAAATACTGAGTGGGTTGGTGATTTCCGCATTTTGCTTTTCTTTGCCCACTTCAGTTGTCCAGTCATTTCAGTCAAAAAATGATTGACCAATTAATGTTTGAAATGAATGACGAAGACAAAAAAATAAGGTGTGCATTATTCAACAGTGGAAAAAAAACACGAGTAGGAAGATGGATAGAATTGGAAGAGGAATAAATTTGTCAATTTTTTTTTCACATTCTTGTTTCCTGTTCTTGTTGTTGTTGCTCTTGTTGTTGTTGTGTATGTGGCTGGATAAATTATTCGGAAAAAAATGAAATGAAAAACTTCAAAATAAATGACAAGTGGAAAAAACGAAAATTTTTTTTTTCAATTGGCTATTATTAAATACAAATCTATTTATGGGTGTATAGGTGTGTGTGTGTGTGTGTGGTGGTGGTGGATTTCTTTGGCGACATTCAACCAGCGGTGGCGTCGTTTTATGTGTGTGTGCGTGTGTGAGTATCAGTAAATTAATTGTCGTGAAAAAAAAATGAAGAAGAATCGAAATTGTTAGATGATCGGGAACAATGAGACAAACAAAAAAAAATAACTGGAAATAAAGGATGTGAGAAACAATTTTTGGAGATAGAGATGGAGAGATGGAGAGAGAGAGAAAGAGTTTCAAAGTTTTAGCGCTATTGGTGAATTAAAATTTTTTTCATTTATTTATTTTTATGATAGCCCAATGGTGCATCATAAATTGGACCAGCTTTATTAAGCATTGGATAAACAGAATCATCGGTACTTAAAATTGGTGCCGATGCTGATGCATATGGTTTTCCACCATACGATGATGCCAATAATGGTGCAGAATCAAGAATCGGTGCTGCAGGTTCATATTTCGAAAGAATGGCGGCAGCTGGTGCTCCGTGATCCATAAGTGGTCCGGCACCATATGGAGCCGATTCAATAATTGCTGGTGCTGGTGCTGCTAATGGTGCTGGTTCATAATTAGCCATCATTGGTGCTTCAATACTATGTTGCATAGCAATTGGAGCTGCAACTGGTTCAATTTGTTTGTGAAGATATGGAGCTATATTCAAAGAATTGAGTTATTATCACGGCTCAAAAACAAAACAAAACAGAAAAAAACATACCGACAATAGCAGCAGCTTTATTAATCAATACTGATGCTGGATCTTGATCTGGATCAACACCTGGTTCATTTGTTTGAATATTGGCACGGAAACCATGACCATCGGCAACATAGTTGACTACACGAACACGGCCATCAATGGTTCGAAGACCATATGAACCATGTGCCATGCCTGGACTACCGGTTTCACGACGGAATGTACCACCGGTAGCATGATCTTCATTATAACCGAAAGCATAGTTGCCCAAACTCTGATTATAAAAAGAAAAAGAGAGATGGAAGAAAAAATGTTGTGAGAACAAAATCAAAAAAAAGAGACCAATGTTAAGGTTAACGAAAACCATTTGTGTTTATGGTAAACACACACACATACATCTTGTGATCTAAATTGAGCTGAATGTCCAGTGTTGACCATGGCTGGACCATGCATTGGATTACCGTTGATGTTGACGGCACATACACCAACCATCACAAAATTGCAAAAAAGAATTTCATTTTTTTTTTTTTTGATTGTTGATAGAATAAAATCCTGAGAATCAGAAGTAAAAGAAGAGAAAAAAAATAAGAATAAAACATTAGATCGAACAACACACACAAGAATATAGAGAGAAACAAAAAAAAACTGAATCAAATTCAATCGAGACAAAAAAAAAACCGTTCATTTGTATTGTGGAGATACGAATGTATTCATTGACATTCGATCCAAAATAACAAATGTACCGGTATATTAATCTACAATTATCAATGGATTGATCCACATTGATATTGAGAGTTTTGAATTTTTCTCGATTAAAAAAAAATAAATGGCCGGAATTTGTTGTTGATGACAAAAAAAAAAAATGAAAATTCACACAACACAAACACATGATGATACACACACGATGACAAACGATGGCAGCCAGAATATTCATGATGAATAAACGAAACACATACACAATGGTGGTGATGAATTTAAAATTTTTTCAAAACAACAAAAAAAAAGACTTACTCAATTATAATGATGTGATGTGATTAAGAAGAAAAAAAAAAATGGGTCGAAATTGAATGTTTTTTTTTCTTACTATTTGATTTCTTGTAACGTCGTATAACGCTTGTAAATATATAATGTGATTTGATTTGATTTGATTTGATGATGATAATGATAATGATGATGATTCAACACGTTTAATAGTCTATCTGGCATGCCAATTGTTTAATATTCAAGTTTTTATAGTGATCGGTCAACAATTTCTGATCCAAAAAAAGCAGAAGCAATAAAAACAGAAACATCTCTCTCTCTCTCTTTTTTATTTCATTATAATGATATTATTATGTGATCCATTTGGAATAGTAGCTACCACACACACACACACCACATAATCATTTCAAAGTTGAACTCACCTGTTGTTGTTGTTGTTGTTGTTGCGTGTTCATGTTCATGGAACAATTTTTCTATTTGTTCATTCATAATGAACAAACAGAAAAAAAAGAGAGAAAAAATTTGAAACAATCAACAGTGGTGAAGGTGGTGGTGGTGGTGGTGGTGTTGGACATTTAATAATTATTATTATTTTAATTGATAATTGATAATGATGATGGACATATATGTAGAAAAAAAATAATAGATTAGAGAACGCCTAAATGAATTGATCATACTCACCCCATTTACCAATAAAACAAAAACAAAAAAAAATTTCGTTTTATTGATCGGAAATATTTCAATTTCTTTTTTTAGCCATTTGATTAATCAATCAATCAATCAATCGACCAATTTTTCATAGTTGGGCGGTGTGTGGAATTTTTCTTTTTTTTTTTTTTTGGGAGAAAAAAAATTTCTCTTGTTTTGGAACAAACTCCGTAATCAATTATTATCCAAAAGAAGAAGAAAAAAAAATTTTTTTTTTTGATAAGAATCATTCTAGCAGATAATGGCGATGAATTTTTGTGTGTGTGTGTGTGTGTTGAATGAATTAACTGTCTGAACAATTTTAAAATCATTTCATGATGATGATGATGATGATGGTGATGTCAACTTGATAAGAAACAAAAAAAAAACTTGACTAAAACGACACGATAAACAAGTGAGTGAGTGAGTGAATGAATGAATGAAAGTGAGAAAGAATGGCCATTTTAAGAAGAAAAAGAACGTGAAACACAATGAAATGAAAAACAAAAACGAAAAAAAAATTGTAATCATTGAATTTGAAATGTAAAAGTATATAGCATAATTATTACAATTCTTAAAACTTTTATAACTCTCACCATCCGTGTTTGTCTATCACAACTTTTTGTTTTGTTTTTGTTTTTGTTTTGTCTATTATCACCACATTTTAAATCATTTTTCAACCGTTTAGTTGTCATTTTTTGTTTTCTTCATTTTTGCTACCTATTTGAGATTAAAATTAAAGAATGTACATGTGTGTACAACGACGACGACGAAGACGACAGTGGAGATATTTCTTGTTGACAAACAAACAAAAACTGTATCCATGAGAAAGATTTATTTTGAAAATTGCTGTATCATCATCACCATCATCATAATCATTCACATCCACCGTTTGGCTCGGGTTTTTATGATGATTTAATAATAAAAAGAATGAATATATGGCTAGCCAGCCAGTTAGAACAACAAAACATTGTCCAAATTATTTTGATTGTTTGTTGTTTTTTTTTGATGATTCCAATTCGAATTATTATCATTTTGTTTTGTTTATTGCTCCTCAGAATGATTAATTTTTTTTATTTATTTATTTATTTCGTATAAAATATTTTGGCAATGAAAAATAAAAACACTAAACACACGTGTATCATGAATGAATGAATGAATGAATGAATGGTCCATCCATTTATAATGAATGGACCTTCAATAACAATACACCAATGATAATGATAATGGTAATGATTTGCCATTCACAAATGGGTATATATCACTCATTTGAACAATAATAATAATAATAATAACAACAACAACAACAAAAAAAAAAACCTCGAAATTCTAATCCAATTATAGTTGGTCAAATGATGATGATTTAATGAATATATATGAAAATGGCCACAAAACAAATGGTGATCATTTGCCAAAAAAAAAATAATGATAAAATCAAAATGCCTAAAATGATTATTATTAATCTTGAGCAGCAGCAGCAAAAAAAAAATGCATTAAAATCGACGATTAATAGACACAACGAACAAATGAAAAAAAAATGAAAAAAACAATTCAAGGTGATAATAATCCGCGCGCAAAAAAAATGGAAAATTTAATCATAATAAACATCATTGGGGCCAGTTTTTTTTTCTTCTTCTAATGAACATTATTGCCATTTCTAATCATTTTATTTCATTCAATTCAATTCAAATCAAATCAAATTCAATCCAATCAAACACAAACGCATGCATGCACTATATTTAATCAACACTAATTCAATGGGCGACAATTTTTTTTTTGGCCGTCTCGATTAAGCTAATCGTTTTGAAGACAACAACAAATGTCCAATGTCGAATTATGCATGAAATTAGCTAATGGATATCAGACATATAGACACTTATTATACATATATAAGATACAAATGCAAAATAAACTGACCAACTGAATAACTGTTTGGACCATTTTTGTTTGTTTGTTTGTTTGTTATTCATCAAGTAATCGTTGAAACTTGACTTTCTTTTTTTGATGATGATGATGATCTTTCCATTTCATGAAAAAAATGGATTTCTATTCATCATCATAATCATAATCACATTTCTAGAGCTAAATAATTGTCATTTCATTGCCGCTGCCACTGTCAACAACAATTTGTTTGCTGTGTCCGGCTATATCGTAGAAAGAAAAAAAAAAAGCAACAACATTGAAACAGTGACAATTTGTCACTTTTTTTTAAAAAAAAGTTGATTTGGTGTTTTTTTTTTTTTTTTTTTTTTTTGGTTGATAGAATAACAATTCCGAAGACCAACACCATTGGCTACTTTTCAATTGTTGGAAATTTTTTGTTGTTGTTGTTGTTGTTGTTGTTGTTCATTTTCGCAATCATCATTTTGTCCAATTTGAATATTGAATAATTGAAAATTTGAAAATTTTTTTCTTTATTGTGTCTATAAATAAATTCAACGTGTCCAAAAAAAAAAAATAAAATAAAAAATAAAATCCGCTGTGGTCAATACACATTCATGAGTGAAGATCAATTTTCATCATTGTCTATTAAAAATGAAAATCAATCACTATCTCTATCGCTTGTGCCATCCTCAATTTTTTTTTTTCATTGTCTCTTGGAACACCGACATTCAATGTTTTTTGCATTTTTTGTTGTTTTGAAATTCAGACAAACAAAATTCAATCAAGTGATTAAAATAAAACAAAAAAATAATAATCAACTTAAGAATATTTAGGGATTATTGTTATTACTCTGTTTTTCATTCATAAATAAAGAGAAATTGTCACACATTCATTGTTGTTGTCGTCGTATTGCATAATAATAGATTGCATTCGCTCACATATACACACACACACACACACAGACACAAGTAGCTCTTACTCAATCATTCATCATTGATGATCAATCTGTTTTTTTTTTTCGATTCGATTTCTTGAAATGGAAAAAATGAAATGAAATTCAAATCGATACATTTTTTCCCCTAATCTTTTTGTTGTTGTTGTTGTTGCAAATATTACGTCAAAACAAATGAAATAAAAATACTGTTGCTGTTCAGAATTAAATCTAATAGTTATGTTGCCCTTCACTTAATGATTGATTGATTGATTGATCACTTGTGGCTATTTAAATGTTTTTTTTTTTTTTGAAAGAGAAAAACAAATCAAGAAGTACGACAGCAACAACAACAAATCATTCGATCAATTATTATTGGTATTATCGATGAGATAATTAGGCTAATTATTTATTTACACACGTACATAATTTTCACATTTCGTATATATATATATATATATCGATTTCAAAATCTAAAAATATTTGTACAACAATTATTACAACATCATCATCAATATATTTACATCTCTGTCTATCTCTATCTCTGTTTCAGTGATTTTTGATCGCATTACCGCCACCGCCACCACTGCCACCACCACCACCACCACCACCAGCGGCACAAACACCACCCAACTAATATTTTGAATTTTTTTCCCTTTTTTTTTTATTTTGCATTTCATTTTTATTGGCTTTTCTTTGCTTTGCATTTGCTTTGAATGGTTGCCATTTCTTTGATTTTTTCTTCTCCACCACAATCACAATTTTGAAGATGAGAAGAAAGAAAATAACAACAACAAAAATCTAATCTATGCGATTAGGTCTAATGTCGTTTAAAGAGCTTTTTCTGTCTGTGTCTGTCTGTTTGTTTGTTTGTTTGTTTGTTCTTTTTTTTTTATTGTTACACCAATTGATCATCATTTAATCAATTGTGTGTGTTTGTGTATGCGTGAAGATTTTTTTTTACGATTTTTTTTCCAAAAGAAAAAAAATTCGCATCACTATGACAACAACAGCAGCAGCAGTAACAACAACAACCTGTTGACTGGATACAAACTTATAAACATCCTCATCATAATGTTGATGATGAGGCAACCAAAAAAAAAACATACACAGCTGATTGGTCAATGATGGTCATTTTTTTCTGCCAAAAAAAAAAATTTAATCCATTTTATACTGATAAAATGTCAATTCTACTGAATGAAAATGAAAAAATAATGACAAAGAAAGACAGACATTTTTATCATCATAACATCATCATTTACCTTTATTATTTTTAATGTACAATTCCGTTTATAGATAAATGAAAAAAAATAGACGCAAAATAATGAGATTGTGTCCATGTTGTGTGTGTGTCCGTGTGTGTTTATTTTTTTTTCAAATGAATGTTATAATTATAGGGCAATTATAATGCTATTATTGACATCATGGTCATGGCGTGTCAATACTATTCTTTACTTTTGCATTTTGATTGAATTGAATCAAATCTCAACAAATAGAAAGAAACGAAAATAAAAACAAAAACATTATAAAGATTAACAATGGTGGCCAATCTATTACATTGATCACAAACACGCACACACACACATTATATGAATAATCAAAAAAAAAAAAAAAAAAAAATGGAGAGCCAATTGTAAATCACACAATCAACAACCACCTGTTGGATTTATAATTTTATTTTTTCGTGTGTGTGTGTGTGTGTGTGTGTATATTTGACAACATTAAACAATTCGATTTGATTAGCAGCAACAGCAGCAGCAGCAGCATATTTTAGCATTGATTTTGATTATTTTTCTGTTTTGTTTTTGGGTGGGTTTCCACCTTTTCATTGACCATGTATACATAATGTTTCATTGACCATCATCGATGTGTCTATTATGATGGGTGTCACCAATCATCATCATCATCATCATCATCATTATCATATATTAATTGTTCTCATTTTCATTCATTTTGAGATTTGTGTCCAATTTTTGTTTTCATCGAAAGATTATTTTTTTTTTTTCATTTTAACAATTCCATTTCCATTCATTGAATTACTGGGCAATTGTTAAATTGGCATTCTTTTTGGTGGTGGTGGTCGTCATTTGTTCATTTTTCGAATGACAGCTTTTTTTCTGATTTGATGATTGATCGATGATGACAACAATAACAGTAACAACAACAACAACAGTTTCATACTACTGTTGTTGCTGTGTTAGTAGTAATTTTATTTCTTCATTGATGAATAACTAAAATTGCAATATCATCGCCATCATTTGGATCACACATTGTGGATTGTTGTCGCGCCCTATTTATTATATATCGATATGTATTTGGTCCTACGCTCATTTTTTTTTTTTTTTTTTTTTTGATCAATAATCAAGGTCTAAATACAATGTAATAAAAGTCAATGAATGAATTGGAGAAGTGAAAAAAAATGTCTATATGCGTGTGTGTGTGTGTGTGTGTGTGTGTGATATGGTCAAATCTCATTGATTAAATAAATTTCATGTTTTCGTGTTTTTTTTTCTTTCATTTCATTCCATCCGGTCTATTTTATTCATCCAAATTGGGGAGAGAATTGCAATCAATCAATCCAAAAGAAAAAAAAAGAAAAAAGCAGCGCCTTATATGAATAAAATTGAATTGTTGTCGTTGGCAATTGTAACAGGTATGTCAACAATGATCAAACTGATCAAATCTGCTTTGTGGTTAAAATTTTAAATTTTTTTTGTTTGAGCTTATTGGTAATAATTAACCAATTGTCATCAATTTAATAAAAATTAGGCCGATTCAATTATCTAGAAACTGGTGATGGATTAATCGGTTTAACCGTTTTTTTTTGTATTTTCATAATAAGGAAAAAAAACAACAACAATTTGGATTCCGGCTATATTTATCCAATAAATCTCTCTCTCTCTTTTCTCAATCTTATTGTGTTGTTTATGTTTTTTCATGGTGAGTTCATGAAAAACAAAAACAAAAAACAAAAAAAAAACAAAAGTGAAAGTGTCAAACAGTTGACCTCAAATCAATTTTTTTTGTTGTTCATTGCTTCTATAGACTACACACACACACGATGAACATGTATAGAAAGAGAGAGAGAAAAAATTCTTAATAAAACACGTGTTTGAAATGGTGTTCAATTTAATCATTCCAAAAGATTGGGCATTTTTTTTTATTTTCATAGACAAGAAATAAAAAAGATGGACGATAAGACATGTATACACACACACACACACACACACACACACACATTTGAATGATCTAATGAATTGGCAAAAACATTTGTTTCTTTCGTCGTTGTCTATGTTTATGATACGACGGTGGTAATCGTATTTTTATTTTTCTGGGATTATCATTCATCATCAGTCTTTATTATTCACTCATTCATAAATGATGTTATCATCGAAAAAAAAACCACATATAATCACCAAACAATAAACAATATTTGCCATAAAAAAAAATTTGATCAAAATCAAAATCAAAATCACGATATTGACCATGATGATTTGTATGATTATTATCACAACCATTCATATTTATTATTCGATCATAATTATATATTCATCATTTATAATTATTATTATTTTTTTTGTTTCAATTTTAAATTAAAAAACAAGAATAAAAACTGTCCACTTGTTGTTGATAGAAATTTAATCAATTTGTCATCTATCTGTTTTCGATTACCATTGGCCATCATCATCAGACCCCATGGTAATCATCATCATCATCATCATCATCATGTAAATTATATCCATCTTCTTCATTTTCAACAAATGAAAAAAAAAAAAAAAATTTCATTTTAGTGTGACACAGTGTCAAGGTTTTTATTCACACACACACACACACACACACAAATTCTTTTACAATGAATAGAATGGGATAGAATGAATGTTATCATTATAGCCAATCGTCATGATAATCATCATCATCATCATGATAATGATGATAATCCACAAACGCACACACACACACACAGACAAAGCAATAAGCAAGTTTTTTGGTTCATGAACTTAATGAAAATAAAAAAAATAAAAATCATCGTCATGATCATCATCAACAATAATAATAATAATAACAGCAACAACAAGGAACCTTATTTTCTATTGTTTAAATCATGTATGTAAAGTTGTTTCTGGAACAAATAAAACAACGAAAATAAAAAAACAACAACAACATGCATCACATAATCATGGCAAACACACACACACACACACACACACACACACATGGAAACTATCAATGTCAATTTGATCATTGATGATCAATGGAATTTCTCCAATTTTGTTGTCATTCCACCTTTTTTTTCGTATGAAATTCACAGAACAGATTTGGATAACAAAACAGAAAAAAAATTATCAAATTGAATCAAATCAAATCGAGCATCAAACATCAGCCACTAATAAATTGTTTATGATGATCCAAAGCAGCAACAGCAGTGTATTGACCTGAAAAAAAATTAAATCTGATTAAATCTAAATATGATTTGCATTGATCATCTATGTGTACGCGTGTGTCTGTTTACACGTGTCATTTATTCAAGTAAAACAAAACAAAATAAAAACAAAAAAAAAACAGCTGAGCTGTTTCGATGAAAATAGGTGTCAACAATCATCATCCATCATAAATGATGATGATCTAATTCGTTGTAGTGGACGCAGAAGAAAAAATCATTTTGATTGATCAATGAAATCAACTCTAATGAATTATTTATTTAATAGATGAACGAATAAACAAAACAAAAAAACGAAGAAAACGATACATTTTTCTTTCCTTCATTTCATCATCATTATCATATTTGTAAATTTGTGAATCAAAAAAAAAAAAAAAAAAAATTTTTGTTGTTTGTCACAGCTGCAGTTTATGGTCAGGGCGTCATATAAATGCATGAATTTCAAATCGATTGATTGATCGATCTATCCATCCATCGATCGATCGATAGATTGCAATGAATGAATAAATGAACAACACTATTGCCCGCTGTCAAGGACAATTAAATCGCATATTTTGTTTTGATTTCAAATTGAACATCATCATGATCCAATTTTTTTTTCTTCAATTCCAATTCCAATTGTATTTTAGCCAATAGTTTTGATTTTCAAGGTTGTACGAAAAAAAAGGAATGTGACGATTTTCGTTGCTTTTGTTTTGTTTTTTTTTTGTTGTTGTTTTCGATACGAAAAAAGCACAGAAATCGATTGCCAATCAATCAATTAAAATAATCATAATGTGGCGCCATAAAAAAAAATTTTCACTTTTATTTCTGGTTTCGAATTTTCTTTTTGTTTTTTTTTCACCAGAAAAAGAAGGAAATTTTTTATGACCACACAACAAACAAAATCAGCTGGGCGTTTTTCATTTTGATAAGTTTTTTTTTATATATTTCGTTTGTTTTTATTTTTCTTCTTCTTTGTAATTTGAATCATATAATAATTTTGAATGGCTAAAAATTCAAATTTCACTTTTGATCCATTCGATGGATCGATCAATCGATTGATTGAGAAATTATCATCAATGACACAGTGAATTAAATTCCTTAATTAGGTGTGTCTTGATTACAGTGTGTGTGTGTCAGTGTGTTTTTGAAGGTCAAATCTAATAATTTAAATGTGTGAATTTTTGTTTTGATTTTATGTAAAAAAGAAATGACCAAAATGAAATTTAGATATAAACAAACACGCGTTTTATTTTTTATTTTTGATTTAGATTTTGATTGATTGAGAAATCACAAATTAAAAACAACAAATATTAGTGCAAATTTGAACGAATAAACTAGTTTGAGTATTGTTTTTTTTTATCGTTGATATCGATTCTCAATACGTATATTATTTATCAATCGATCAATATCCATCCATATCATATCCGATTGTTCAATTTGATATGATTTTTGTCGATTTTGATCTGAATCATCACCGAAAATTAATTTACCAAATGAAATGATGATGATGATGATTCGTTTTCAGGATGTTTGTTGTGCATTCGTCGGTTGATTTTTCAATCGAAAACATGAATAAAATTCATCAATAATTTGATCATGATCTTCGGATGATTGATAATCCATGTGACAATGACCAATAATCAATATACGCATCTGTAAATGATGATTTAATTGTTGTTGTTGTTGTTGTTGTTGTCCATCTTTTGTTGCCGCTACTATTGGTTGGCCATTTGAATCGTAATGAAAAATGATTGTTTTTGCTGTTTTTACTGTAGTCATTTTATGGCTATCGTTTTGATTATCATCGCCAATGGCATTGATCATCATCGGTGATGATTTTCGTAATCGTTGTCGACGTTTCATTTCAACATTACACATTGATTGTAAATGTTCTCGTAATTGATTGATTCGTAAATATAATTCTGACATTAAATTAATTAGCCATAATTGCTGCTGTTGGCCAGTATCATTGTCACTACTGTTAAGAATTGGCCCATAAAATGTTTCAAAATCATGTTCAATATTCAAATAACAAATAAATGTATCAGGTAAATGTTCACAAGGCCAAAATGATCGTTTATCATTGATTGATGATGATGGTGAATGAATTTGATGATCAAATAATAATGATGATGATGACGATGACGATGCAATAGTCGATGTAATAGAATGAATGGTCGATTGACTATACAAAGATCCATTGGATAATAGTGATTCAGCAATGCTTGGATTCATTGAATAAGCTGAATGATGGCTACCACTACGTGATGATCGTCGTAAAGCCGTTAATTTGTCAATATATTCATCATTATCCTCCGATTCTCGATTCATTATCGTATCGAATCGTGTGTTGAATGATTCATTTTTGTTATTATCTAGTACAATCAAAAATGATGATTTTAAATCATTAATCATTTTGAAATACGAAAATTGTACTTACCTTGTTTGGATAAACGATTCATTAGTTTGTTGAATGGATTCAATCTATTTAGCCATTTATTATCATTAATTTGACTAGTAAATGTTTTATCGAAAAAATTCATTAAATATGATTGATTCAAATATCTAGTCATTTTAAATGAATATTCAAGCTGTTCATCAATAGCAAATCGATGTAGATAAAAATTTAAAAGACGATAAGATTCTTTGATAAAAACATAAAATGCAAATGATGATGGTAATTGTAATTGTTGTCGTTGTTGTTGATAATCATTATTTTGTTCCATAATAGAAGATGATGGATTGGATTTTGTTTTCTGTTCACCACTATATTTATCAAAAAATCTAATGTTCATCGAATCAGCTGATCGATCAAATCGATAAACTTGTATGATGGTACAATGAATAAGATGGCCATGACCTAATATGAGTAGAAATAAATCCGTTTGTTTGCCATTCGATGATGGTGATGATTTCCATTGTTTATCAATGATGGTTGGATGATGAAACCGGATAAAATGTACCAAATGATAATGACCATGGCTAGCCAATGCATGTATTGCACGTGTATAAAGATAACGATGAATAATCGATAAACAATAATTTGGTAAATGAGATTTAACCAGACAACCTCTATAGAATAGACAGCTACCAATCACAGTGAAAAAAGTTAATTCAAGTTCTAATAAATCAAAGATGTGATTATTATCCAACAACAACAACGATGATGATGATGATGAAGGTTGCTGTAATGGTGGTAATATGTTTGGTCCAACAAGATGATTCGGGTCATCGATAGATACAAGGCAGCGGGCAAAATGTTCACTTAATGCTTGTTCAATATCATTACCATCTTTATAGAATTGAATACTTTCATCGATCCAATCTAGTGAATCATAATCATTAAGATATTTACAAACATTCGATATAGTCATGGTTGTTGTTTCATTTATGAAAAGATGTTGTAATGGTAATAATGTTGCATCATTTGATTGATTATGCATTGGAAATGTTCCTGATAATTGTAATGAATCGATAGTTAAATTGTGGCAATTATTATTCGATAATGATGATGATGATAATTTAAGCATCGTATTCATAGTGATAAAAATTTTATTTAAATAATCAAAGATTGAATTGGAATGCTGTTGTTGATTTTGATGACAATAATGATGATGATTATTTGAAAACGTAGCACGAATTGAACCAAATAAAATTCTCATTGAATCATATATTAATTGTGCCATTGCACGCACATTATTCAAATCAAAACGATTAATAGGCATTGCAATGGCCATTATAATTGGTTCATTATCATCATCATCATCATCATTATTATTATCATTTTCAATTATGAAACTAATCCGATATTCAGACATAATATCATTGAATTGGTTATAATCATCAATACCGGATAATTGTAAACTAGATATGGATAGAATATTATTATCCATTGAATGACTAGTTGTTTGTTGCCGTTGTTGTTGTTGTTGTTGTTCAAGTTTTATCATTACATCGAATAACGTGACAAACATACCACTCAAACGGGTTAATCGACTATTTGGAGAGCTACTATTTTTGTTCATAGGTAATGTTTTTGGCCACGTTGATGATGATGATGATGATGATGATGATTGATCACATTGATGATGAAGATCATTATTTACCGATTCTATCGGTGGATAAACATAGATTAGATTATTATTATCATTATCATTTGATCGTAATTCATTATTTGGTCGTGTTAATATTATACAACATATGCTTGAATCATCATCATCAACGCAAACGGAATTGAAATTGGAAATGATCCTTTCTAATCGCTCAATACATTTGTCAAGATTTTCTTTTTGCCATTTGGTAAAACTATTATTTGACAGTGGATCATTATTTACTGGTTTTGAATCAATTTTGCCAGTATCATGTCCACCATTGTCCACTAGTGTTTGATTGATTTTCTGTGATTGTTGTTGTTGTAGTTCTTGTTGGCTATCATCATTATGATGATGTAGGAAAAATATTTCACAACATTCATCATGATGATGATGGCAATCATTTCGTAATATTGAATTCAATTGTTTAAAACTTGTTTGTAATTTATTCTCTAGCCACGAATCCAATAGGAATGTTCCATTATCACCAGAATCATCATCAATATGTGAAACAATATTATTCTGGATTGATTTTTGACAAATCTTATTACCATTGCTGCTGCTGCTGATGGATAAAGGTGGCAATGATTTTTCAATATTTTTTAAATTCGAACACAACCCATTTATAGATTCATTAGAATCCGATCGATCAACATCGATTGATTCATCTTGTTGTTGTTGTTGTTGTAATTGACGACAATAATGTAGATAACGTTCAACTTTATCATTATGATTTTCAAGTTGTTGTTGTTGCTGTCGATGATAATTCTGATAATGTGGATGATGATGATGATTATAAATATCACTTTTATCATTAATGATGGATGATGATGATCGATTATTGATCACAATATTATTATTATTATTAGAATTATTGCTATTTCCAGCTAAAATTGTAGCAGCCGATACAGGTGTTATTGGTAACATTTTTTTTTTTTTTTTTTTTGGTGATTCAACAATGAAACAACCGAAATAAACACAAAGCAAAAAACAAAACAAAAAACTTTTTCAATTCATTTTATTTGATGAATGAGTCATTTCCATTGAATTGATCACGCCGCTGCCGCCACCACCACCACCACCACCATCACAACAGCAATATATTTATGGCTGACAATCGAGAACAAAGCAAAATTAAAAGGCAACATGAGCATATCGGTGGCGGCAATTGAATAAATTAAAAAAAACAGAGAAAAAAAATATCACAACTCTGAAAAATAAATAAATAATGAACGAATGACACAAAAACCAGAGAAAAAACAAAAAACATACACACACAGAAACAAGTATTTGGAAAATCAAAAACAAACACACACACACACACACACACAGACATAGAAAAAGCAAAAATGAACCGAAAATGAAGAAAAAATCAAGATGCACAAACACAAACTATCACAATTTGGCCATATCATCAAGATTCAATCATCATCATCATCATCATCGTGATGATAATATCGACCAAATGTGGTAATCATCATCGTCGTCATTTTTTACCCCGTTGTACAATCATTAATTTTGATTTCAAAAAAAAATCGAGAGAAAAAATCCAATTCAAAACAAATGTAAAGTAAAAAAAAAATCAGCCAACGCAAAGTTTTCTTTTTTTTTTGTCTTTGTTTTTTTTTGCTTTCACAACTGATTGATATATCTTACATATATAGAAAAAAAATACACCAACACACACACACACATTCGAAACTTGAAATTGAATTCAATGTTGATGATGATCAGGATGATGATGATGATCATGAATGAATGTAGTTGTTGTTGTTGTTATTGAAATTATGATCAAAGAAATGTTCAAAATAAATGATGATCGTCATTATTGATCTGATCATCATCCTGATCATGATGGCGGTGGTGGTGGTGATGGTGGTGGTGGTGGTCTTGTCCAGTCCATTTGATGATGTTCGTTTGTTTGTTGTTATTCATCGTTTGTATTAAGATTTAGTTAATGAAAATGAATGAATGATATTGGACTGAACAAAAGAGAGTATCATTATTGTGAATCTTATTGTGTGTGTGTGTGTGTGTGCATCTTTTTTTGGAGATCAAAACGGGGAAAAAAATGAAAAACAGAGTTTTAGGCCACCAAAATTTTTCGAAATATACGGTGATTTTTGTATATAATCACATACACACACACACACACATAATGGTTAATTGAATTTAGAAGAAATGATGATCCATTGGTCGTGATGTTCATAATCATCATTCTTCGGGTTTTTTTTCAAGATTATGGCTGAAAAAAAATATTTTCATACAACCACCACTACTACCACCACCATCATCATCATAATTATCATCTTTTGATGATAATCGGTCATCATATCTTTTGATTAGAAACACTGGTTATATCATTCATTCATCGTCGTCGTCGTCGTCGTTGTTGTTGTTGTTGTTGATAATAATCATAGGTCATATTGTGAATGGATGGGCCGTTGTCGTCATCTTCGTATTTGGTTGCTCAGCAACAAACAATAACACCAACATACAAACACACACACACACACACTTCAATTCACATAACCAGAGTGGTTGGATGACTGTTTTGTTGTTTTCTGTTGTTATACAAAGCTTATACCGTCGAACCAACGACGACGACCCGAACGCCAAGACGACGACGACGACGACGACGACGAGTTGATCATCATCATGACTAAGTATAGAGGAAAAAAAATTGGCTCAATATTTCACAATTCATTCATTTTTCTGAACTTTAATTAATGATTATGATGATAATGATACAAGAGCTGTCATCTAGTGGATGACCATTAAATCATCAGAATTTGAATGAAAATTTTTTTTTTAAATTTTTAATTAAAAACGCCTTAAAATGTTTGATGATGATATTGCACGTGTTTGTGTAGAAAAAAGAGAGAGAGAGGGTCAATGAAAAAAAATATGCACGTGCATCAGAATAGCACACACACATATACACATCAATTGATCCAGGATACCGGGTTACCCGGGACACATATATATATAAATAACCATCATCATCATCACCATCATCACCACCAAAAAATGAAATGAAATGAAATGATTGGAACATATGCATGCATGCCTTTATGCATTTATATAACTTTCATCATCATCATCATCATCATCATCGAAATAAAAACGGGCAAATTTTACGGTACACACACAAAATTGATTATTACATTTACACACACACACACACAATATATTTGAATGAGAAAAAAAAAAGTTTGTTTTCATCATCATTGTCATCATCAACAACCCAAACAACCCGAACAACAACAACAACAACATGATGATGATGATGACGATGATAGAATGTGAATGCAAGATTGAATAATCGAGTGATGAATAATAATAATAATAATTGGATTCTTTCAAAATGAATAAACAACATTCACTGTGAATCATTCATGTGGACATAATCGTCGTCACATAATACTGTTGTTGTTGTTGCTTGTCACACAAACACATTAACATCCAAACATTCACATTTTTTTTTTTTGTTGTTGTTGCCTGAAATATTATATAATAAGAACAATACAAAAAAAAATAATTCTAATGTTTTCTATTTGACTGGATTTTGAATTTCTCTCTCTCTCTCTCTCAAATGCAAAGCCGATAATGATGATTCGTTTCGAGCTAAACATATATCACATACACTCATCATCATCATCATCATCATCATGACAAATAATCCACTCAATTTGATTCTCGGCAAATTGATTTCTTTTCAAACAATGCATACGTACATATTCTGCTTATATAGAAAAGAAAGAAAAACGGGCCAATTACATGCGTTTGGATTCCGATTATCGATTACGTACACACACACACAATGAATGTCAGGATATCAACAAACCGACCGACCGACCAGAAAAAAGGGGCCCGTTGATCCAGAAAAAATTAATTCGATTCAAAGTCAAATGTGAAAATAGTATTAAAAAAACGGTAAAAAACAAAACAAAACAAAAAACAATCAAATATTATATGGATAAAAATAGTCAAAATATGGAACAATCATCATTTATGATGATGATGATAAGCTCGACGAATCAATCATCAATACAACAAAAAAAAGAAAAAGAGAGAACGAAAAAAAAACAATTTCAATTTCAGCAGACCATTCTATGTTCACAAAACTAAAAATAAAAAAAAAATGATTATGATGCAGGTGTAAAAGCTTAGCGGCAACAATTTCAATATATCCAACATTACTGAACACGTGCACGTGCAAGTAACCAAATGGGTTTCATTGGTTTGTAACCCAACAAACAAACAAACAAACAAAAAAACAGACCAAAAACCATAATTTGATAATTTATTATTATATGAATTTTATTCAATTAATTTCATTAGCGAAAAAAAAATGAAAAACGGCAAAAGATTCATTCATATGGATTCTTTCTGTTTTTTTTCTCAATTACAATCAATGGTTGGTCATCATTATTATTGGCAATTTCAAATTACAAATTCATTAATACGTTTTTCATGGTGTTAATGATGGAAAAAAAATTCATATCATAGAGAATATATTGGAATGAAATTAATTTTCACAATATTATTTACATGTTAATAAAGGTCACGTGTGTTTTATAATAATGGGATGGTCACGTGTCAACACTTTGTTATTTATTAATATATTGACTGTGTGCTTCTCTCTTTCTCTTCAAATGTGATAAATGATTAGTTGAAGAATATAAAGTGTTAATAATAATTTAATGTCAAAAAATTAATATTGCTGATGATGTCATCAACCATTGGCCGTTGCTGTTGTTGCCGATGTTGTAGAAACTGATGTAGTAGATGTATCGTTGGTGGTGGTTGTTATAGTAGTTGATGATGATGATAATGGCAATGGACAATGGTCAATTGATGAATGATTATTATTGTTGTTGTTATTGAATACATCATGATAACTTCGTACAGCAGCGGCCATTGCAATAAATGGTGTTGATGCTGTAAATGCTGAATGTTGTGTTTGTTGTTGCTGTTGTTGTTGTTGTTGTTGATGATGATGATGATAATGAGAATGAGGATTATGATCATGTTGTGAGACAAAATTATTGGATAATTCTGTTTGATCGAGCTGCTGCTGCTGTTGCTGCTGCTGATGAAGATGATGATGTTGACCAGAATTATGACCAATTGAGTTGGATTGATTATGATATGATGGATAATTCGTAACCAATGATGATGATGATGATTGTGGAATCGTGGAAGCGGAATCCATCATTGAACAAGATTCAGATAATAAAGGATTTTCATTTATAAGTGGATATGATGAAGTAGCTGAATTAGAAGTAGAAGTCATGTCCATTATTTCATGATTATGACCATGTTGATATTGTTCGGTACCATAATATGAACTAGCTGAACGATGATGTGGATATGTATAATGTCCTGTATGTTGCTGCTGTTGTTGGTGGTGGTGGTGTTGTTGTTGCTGCTGTTGCATTTGGACCATCATTTGTGTAAATGATGTTGGATAATGTGCAGATGAAGCATGATGATGATGATATCGGCCCCAGGCATCAGTACTTGTACCAATAGTGGCTACAGAATTCGTAACAGGAATTGGTGCCGTTGATAATAATGATGATGGCGGTGGTGGTGGTGGTGGTGCTGGTGGTGCTGGTGATGGTGTTGATACTGTTTGAGGATAAAGACTAGTAGCATATGATTGTGATGCCCCAGTATAATGATGATGATGATCATTGGTAATCATTGGATTAACCAAATTAGTAGTGGATGATGATGACAATGATGATTGGGGATGATTATTGGAAATTGTTGGTGATGCTGTAGATGCAAATGATGATGATTTACCATTGTTTTGATGTTGATGATGATAATAATAAGAATCGGTATTGAAACTTGATTGTAAAAGACCCAAATAACTAGAATGATGATGTCCATGATTCTGTGAATAATGGTGATGATGATGATAAAGAGCTGCCGCTGCTGCTGCTGCTGTTGATGTGGAATTATTATCGCATGATGACGATTGATGATGATTATGATCATTAATGATTGCAGATTCACAATTCTGATTATTATTGCTATTACTAGCTACCGTTGATGTAATTGATCGATGATTGACACCCATTATATGATGATGAGATGCTGCTGCTGCGGCTGCAGCTGCTGCTGCCGTAAGAGTTATATTGGGTGAAATATGTATAGACATATCCAATGTTAAATCATTATTATTTAATGATGTTGCCAATGCAGCCGTTGCTGCCAATGGTTTATTCGATGCAAATGTTGTTTTCGTTAATGCTTGACCAGAGGAAATTGCCGATGTCGCAGTTGATGTTGTAGTGATTGTCGGCGATATCGACGACGACAATGATGATGATGCTGATGCACCTATAGTCATTGAAACTGATAATGATAATGGTCTCGTTGATGTCGCTGCTGCTGTAGCAGCCATAGCATTTGCATAAGCCGTTGATGGATGATGATGATGTGAATGTAGCTGATTAATTGATTTATTATCATAATCGATTGATGATGAATACAATGAATATGATGGTGGTGATGATATCTGATCTGTAGACATAGCCATAGCTGTTGCTGTTGTTGGTGTTGATGAGGATGGTTCAAATTGGCTACAAGAATGATTCATCGTTAACGATGTTGATGATGATCCATATGATGATTGATGTTGACCATCATATGATTGCGGTTGCTGTTGTTGTTGTTGTTGTTGGATTTGAAGTTGATGATTATGACGATTCGGATATTCATGAATACCAGAATGATAAGCAATATAATTCGTACCGATCGATGGATTATGATGAATAACGGCCGTTGATTGACCAGACGTAGTAGCGGGTGTAGTGGTACTAGCGGTGGTGGTGGTGGTGGTGTTGGTGGATGATGGATAAATACCAGCAGCAGCAGCAGCATAATAATAACAAGAGAATCTTGTATTAAATTTCCAAAATGATGCCGGTAATTTACGTTTAATCATAGGTGTATGCAATAATTGTAAACGTCGTAAATAACGACGTTTACATAATTCATAACGTCTATGATGACGTTGATGTTGATGTTGTGATTTATTTTGATTATAACCAACAACATTACTTGAATCACATCTTGAATCCATGGATTGATTTGGATTTGAATCTGGACTATTATGATTATGATTATGATTATTATTATTCTGATTATTCTGACCAATTAATAGACCAGAATCATTTGTAGTATTGCTATTGTTACTATTTCTACTACAACAACGTTTTGTTTGATTATTATTAACAGTTTTTGTCATTGTTGTTGAACTACTAACTACAGCTGATGATGATGATGATGATGACGAAGACGAAGAAGATGCTGATGATAATGATGATTTTTTCTTCAAATTAAAATCATGATTTTTATTTTCAGATTTTCCATCATCATCATCATCATCATTTCCGTTGTTATTTAAATTTCCACCATTATCGTTTGTATTGGTCGCATTATAGATTCCATCTGCTGCTGCTGTCGATGTTGTTGTTGTTGTTGTTACTGCTTTTGAACCGAAAAAAATAGATAGAAAAAAAACATGATAATGATAAGAGAAAACAAAACGATTTTTGTGCACGTGATTTCGATAACGGCACAAATGATTATTTTATTTCTACACACACACACACACTGAATTAGGTCTCAAAACATTTTAATACTGATAATGAAAAAAAAACTCATTTAGATTAGACGCTAAATAAAAAAAAAAAAAGATAACCAGAAAAAAAGGTCAAATGAGATTAGAGCTTAGAATATAATGTATGGTCATTCAGAATTTTTTTCTCTTTCTTTTTTTTTTTTTTGGTCAACTTTGTTGTTTTCCATTGAAGCGTTTCTTTTCATTTTCCGTTTTTTTTTTTTTTTTGGAGAATTAGAATATCAGGCCACCCATAAGTATACACATAAATAATGAATATTTTCATTGTTTTTTTTTTCGTTGATGCTGCACACTGACCACAAGCTGTTTGTTTGTGTGCTTGTGTCACGGGTCAAGTGGTCATATTTTTATTTTTAGCCATCACAGAAGCAAACCAAACTAATTTGAAAATTTTTTCAAATCCAAATTCTAGCAATGGCGTCGTCGTATATTACGATCCAAATGTGATTTTATTATAGGTCCAAAAAAAAAAAAAAAAAAATTTTCCCTTTTTGCTTTTACTTTTGGTTTGCGTCGCCGTCGTTTGATGTATCATCATCATCATCATGTTGTTTGTCGTTTCATTTGATCGATGTAATTGTATTTGTGTGTGTGTGTGTGTGTGTGTGTGTGTCGTGTGCGCTTATAAAAATGTCTATCCACATTCCGAACTAATAATAATAATCGTCATCAACATCATGGTTGACAATTTTTTTTCTATTTCACTTTCATGTTTCTGTCGGTGTATTTGTAATGATGATGACGATGATGATGATGATGACAAAAGAAAAGAAAAAAAAATGCGAAAAAATTCCAATGGGGCCAATGTTCTTGGAAAGCCATTGAAATTGGAATGGATGACAATATATATTTTTGTGAACAAACAAACAAACAAACAAAAACAAACAAAAATGGAATAATGGAACCAAAACAAACGAAAAAAAAAATTCCAAACATCAATTTGATTTGGTTTCAATGTTCGTCGAACGGCTTTGAATATATATTCGATCATGATGTGTGTGTACGTAATATTGTGACATTTGAAACATTTTGAAAAACCAAAAAAACAATGTGAATAAACTTTGAATTTGAAAAAAAATTGATCAATTTAAATTGATTAACATTCTAGAATCTAGATTGATGATGATGATTGACATTTAATTATTAACATACCATCGATATTTTTATTTTCATTTTGACCATATAGATTTGAACCATTTGGATTTAGTGATGATTTTGTTGCCGTACCAGCATTATTATTCACATCACCATCACCATCATCATCATCGTTTTGATTATTGAATGATGATGATTGCGTTTGTTTCATATTGAATAATAATGTAAATGAACGTTGAAAATGTTCATTAATTGCAGTCATAATATCTGTTTGTATATAACTATGCAGTATACAATTATTCGATAGATAAATGGTCTGTACATTTGATAAATTATTATCATTATCATCATCATATTCATCAATATCAGCATCATCATCATCATCATCATCATAATCATCATCATCAAAATCATCGCCATCATCATCACCACCACCATCATCATCATCATCATCATCATCATCGCTATTCATAATCATCATCATAGAATCTTGTTGTATATGATGATGATTCTGATGATTATGATGATGATCCAATTTATGGTCATTATTATTATTAGTTTGATCTGTAATCATTATCGATTCTTTAATCACTGTTGTCGATGGTGATGTTGATGGTGGATCATCATAAAATGATGAATGACCATTTCTACTGTTGCTACTACTGTTGTTGTTATTATTATAATCAATTGATGTTTGTTGTCCATTATCCGTTGGACTTATTGATTGTTCTATTTTGGTTATATCATTTGATGTAAAATAATTGTTCATTGTTTGATGATTCACTGTTGTTGTTGTTGTCGTTGTTGTTGTTGATGATGATGATGATGTTGATTGATATTGACCATGATAACCAGATCTTTGTTGTTGATGATTTAATCGAAAATATTGGCTACCGCCACCACCATTATTATTATTATTAGCAGGTGACAATGATGATAATGATGTTGATGATGATGATTGTGGTGATCTTTGTGGTGATAATTTTTGAATTGTCGTATTTGTATTATTTGCTATCAATGATGACAGATGAGAATGTTGTTGTTGTTGTTGTTGTTGATGATTTTGATGATGACCGATTGATGTTTGACCATTATCAACATACATATTATTATTATTATTATGACCAGTTGATATGATCTGATGCTGTTGTTGATGATATTGATGTTGATTATGATTGGCCATATTATTTGATTCCAAAATAGTGGCAACAACAGCAGCATTGATTGATGGACTTTCAAATCGATTCATTTGTGTTCATTTGAATCAAAATTTTTAAATGTTTCACAAATTTTTACAGAAAAAAAAAACAAAACAAACAAACAAACAAAATTAATCAATATATTTTTGTCGGCATTTGGAAAAAAAGAAAGATATGGAGAAACACACACACACACACACACAGATACACGGAAACGTAATGTGAACATTATGATTTAGAAGAAAAAAAAAATTAAAATCGTCTGATTGAATGAGGTATATATGTGTGTGTAGCTTATATAGTTTTTTTTTGTCAGAAAAAAAAGAACACAAGATTCCACAAATCTCGACGATGAATATTGAAAAAAAAATCAATTAGTTAGTATATGTGGAATGTTTAAATAGTTTGTTTGTTTGAAATATTTCGCCATGATGATGATGATGATGATGATGATGATCATTACCATAAACTTTGACTAACTAACTAACCGATTCAATTTGATTCGATTAATATTGATCATCATCATGACAAACATTGACGGGTCACCATACCGACAGATAGATAGATAGATAGATAGATGGTTAACGAATCCGTTTATTTTATCTGTTTGAATCCAGTTTTTTTCTTCATCTTTGATCTGAAAATGAAAATGAACAAAAAATGATCAAGGACCAAAACTTTTGCATTGGGTCCGTTATATAATTATTTTTATTATTGAAAATGAAAACCAAACCAACCCAAATTGAAAACCGCCTTAAAAATAATGTGCGGATGCGTCATATTTATTCGAACGCATCAAAGACGCATTTATCCATTTATCAACATGCACACACACACACAAAAAAAAAAAACGAAAGATCAACATTCATTCATACACACACATAAATATAGCATAGAAGTGTGTGCGTGTATAGTGTTTGAAAATTAGTAACACCAAAAAAAAAAAACTTTTTTTTCTGATTGGACCAAATGTTCCAACAGTGGGCGGTATTTGTCCAATAGTTTTCTATTACAGACACATTTCATTTATACCTCTCTATCTTATACTATCCATTTTACAGTGTGTGTGTGTGTGTGCGTGACCAGAGTCATTCAATTTTGTTTGTACACAATCAGTATAAGTTATTTATTTCTGGAATTTCGATTACAATACACATAAAAACACAAAATCATCATGTTGAAAAGAAGTTTTAGCGATTTTTTTTTCAAATTTTTTTTTGAGTTATGGAAAAAAGAAAAAAATTTTTGAAAAGTTCAATATCCCACCGCTAGATGGTGATGATGGTAACAAACTCATTGTTTTTGTTGTTGTTGTTGTTGATTGTTGATATAACGATGACAAATGCAAGTTTGCAATCAACTTCGAAAGAACGTAATAATAAAGGATCCAACAGTCTTCGACGACAATAATTAACGATTATTACACATTGTACTTGTCATTCCGTTTTTTTTTCTCCTGTTCTGTTTTTTTTTTTGTTGTTGTTTATTTATTGATAGTTTTTCTATTCCATCATCAACATCATGTCGATGGAAAGCAAGTATTGAATTGATGGAATAGGCGTTAACATCAATTGTTTTTTAATTTTTTATTCATTATATAGAACATTTATTCAATCTAAAATTTGCAGCTAAAGAATTGGAACGTAATTCAAAAAAATGTTTGAAAGAAGAATCGGTTGAAAAATTGAAATGTAAAAAAGCAATACAAAAAAGCAATATGGAAGGTGCTCGTATACATGCCGAGAATGCTATTCGACAAAAAAATCAATCATTAAATTATTTACGAATGTCGGCCAGAATCGATGCTGTTGCATCACGTGTACAGACAGCTGTCACCACTAAACGTGTAACACAATCAATTGCCGGTGTTACTAAAGCAATGGATTCAGCTATGCGTTCAATGAATTTGGAGAAAATTTCGCAAATAATGGATAAATTCGAGAAACAATTTGAAGATCTGGATGTTCAAACTACTACTATGGAAAATTCCATTAGCAGTTCAACAACGGTAGCAACGCCAGAAAATCAAGTTGATTCATTGATGCAACAAGTTGCTGATGAAGCTGGGTAATTGATAATCATCATCTATATTTGTCCCTCATAATCTTAATTTTCCATTTTCGTTATTAGCCTCGAATTGAACATGGAATTACCATCGGCTGGTCAAACGACTGTCGGCACTAAATCTACGGTTGCATCGTCCGAACAGGATGAACTTTCCAAACGATTGGCTCAATTACGACAAATGTGACCAATATAAACACTATATATTATGGCCAACTTGACAATTCCTCTTCTTTCATACAACATTTATAAATCTTTGTTTGTTTGTTTTAATTGAGTCTTTTTTTATCTTTTATAGATTAAATGGTTAAAATTTATCATAATGATTCAATAATTTCATGAGAATTTGTCTACGAAAAAAAATTGGAATGAAATGTTAATGGTGTAATGAAAAATGACAATAATTCAGTGATGATAAGTTTCAGTAACCTCGGTGACATTAATTAGAATGAATGAAAATAAAATAATATCATCAGAATGCAAACCATCAGAATGGAAAAGCCAATCAAAGATTTAAGATTTTGTTTCAAAATACCAGAATTTCTGACAAAAATATGATTAATTTTTTGATTGTAAGCCAACAATCGATGCCAGATTAATGATAACGGCTTTTCAGATGAAACTTGATCAATGTCTTCTTGGCTAACACGTTGTGATGATTTAGCACGAAGTCGAGGCGAAAAAGGTGAATTGGCTACTGTTTTGTTATAATGGCCATTCTCTTGTTGTTGAATAATACCATTCTCATCATTGGATTGATTGAATGAAATGGATTTACGTCCCCAACGGATATGTTGTTCAAGAAAGGCCATGTCTTGTGCATATTTCCAATCAACAAAACTATCTCGTTTTTTATAATGGTAACGGAATTGAGCTCTCAGCGATTTCCATTTGTCCATACAATCATCAGCTAATTAATGTGAAGAATAAAAGTTAATGAAAATGAATTCACCATCCATTTTAAACATTACCTGATAGATTAATGGCCGAAGCGATTTCTTGCCATGCCAAACGTCGACTTTCAGCATCCTTATATTGAACGACTTGTTCATCATACAACAACGGTCGGGCCTTTACTAATTCAATCAAATCTTTCATGTTTTAAATGTTTGTTTCAAAATTTTTTTTTTCAACAGACAATTAAATCAGGTAAATCGATGACCACTTGCCACGGTATAAGAGTGTGTGTTTATATGGCGGTAAAAATATTTTTTTCCAACCGAAAAAAACACTTTTAGTCTATGAATATGGCCAACAATAACTTTTTGCCATACTAAATTCAAATCGATCACATTAGAAGCCTGGTTTATACGTTGATATCATCATATGCGAGTGTGTGTGTGTGTGTGTGTGAATTCAATTTGTTTGTCTGTGTGTGTGTGTTTTGGTTTGACCGATCCTTCTCCTAATCAGCCACAAACGATTGATTTCGAAATTTGAAAAAAAATTTCCGCCTTTTATCAATTGAAATTTCTTCGATCGATACTAATAATTTATTGATTAATTGTTTTTCATCTGTTTTTGTTTTGTTTCTTTTTTTTCAATCTCGAAATGCCTTTTCGAATTCGTATATTTACTGGCCTATGGCTTGTTAATAAACAAAATAAATGTTTTGGTCAACAACAATTTAAACGATCATTTTTTACACAAAATATTGATTGTAAGTTTTTTTTTGCGTTCCAAAGATTCTGTTTGATAGAAATTTCTTCTTCTTTTTCTTTTTTTTACTCTAGTTACCAAATCACGAATATTGACTGAATATGAAAGCCGTGTACGTTTGAAACAGATTCATGATGATCCACATCAAACGGCTGTTATTGAACGTTTATTACAATTGGATGAACAGGTAAAAGATTATCAACCATCATCCAATACGTATACAACATCGATTTCTCGTTCAAATCAAATTGTTTCGAAATTATCATCATTATTTATGTCATCAAAATTAAAATCACAATCAATGAAACCAGAACAACCGGTTAAAAATCGTGGCCTTTATCTACACGGTAGTGTTGGCTGTGGTAAAACAATGTTAATGGATCTATTCTATGAAAATTGTTCGGTTGATCCTAGACAAAAACGACGTGTTCATTTTCATTCATTTATGTTGGATTTTCATAATCGTAAGTTGATCAAATATTTTTTTTCATCTTAAAATTTAATTTTTAAAAAATAGGTTTCCATCAACATAAACAACGACGTAATGAATCATTGTTTAGTCACAATACAAGCGGTGGTGGTCGTGCATCATTTGATTTTGATCCAATACCAATTATTGCCAATGAAATTGTACAAGAATCATGGTTTATTTGTTTGGATGAATTTCAAGTGACCGATATTGGCGATGCAATGATATTGAAACATTTTTTCAAACAATTATTTGCCCATGGAATGATTATGATTGCTACATCGAATCGACCACCCGATGGTATATATATTAGTTTGATCTAAAAAATTTTTTTTTAATAATTTTTCTTCCCCACATTTACAGAACTATATAAAGGTGGCATACAACGTAGCAATTTCTTACCATTCATTGATCTATTAAAAAGACATTGTGATGTATATGAATTAGCATCCGGTATTGATTATCGTCGTTTAGTCGATTCGAAAAAACATCAAGTTTATTATATAAAAAATTCAGATACAGATAAAACATTGGATTTAATATTCAAAGTATTTGCTAATAATGAAAATGATTCAATACGGCCAAAAACATTAACGATAAAAGGACGTAATGTTACATTGAAACGTACATGTGGTGGTATATTGGATTCATCGTTCTCGGAATTATGTGATCAACCATTAGGTGCAATTGATTATCTTACTATTGCTCAATATTATCATACAGTTATTATACGTGATATACCAAAATTAACGATGAAATTACGTGGCCAAGCACGACGATTCATCACTATGATTGATACATTTTATGATCATCATATACGTGTTATTTTCAGCAGTGATGTTCAATGTGATGAATTATTTCAAGTACAACGTATTGATGATGTACTTGCCGATGATGATAATCGTAAATTAATGGATGATCTTGGCATGACCAATGATGATCTGAATGCTGCCATTTTTAGTGGTGAAGAAGAAATGTTTGCATTTGAACGTGCATTATCACGTGTTTATGAAATGCAAACAGCTGATTATTGGGATGCAAAAAAAATTTGATTCATACACCAAATTACACAACTTTAGTCATCATCACCATGTTGATCATTTTGACCTTTAAAAAATTATTGTTTTGTCTTTTCAAATTTTTAATATTTATTAAATTGAATTGTTTTTTTTTTCGTTTCTAAATTTATTTATTTTTATTCTGTAAATTTCCATTGAAATCAAACAAAATGAATGGATATGTCAATTGACTTGGAATTATTCTCATTTGGAAATATGTGTGGACATGCTATTTGTTTTTTTTGCAAAAGACTAATTAACACCCACACACACCTACACACACACACACACACACATAACGATTTGTAAAGTGGAAAACAACATGTTAATGATGATAAACATTATTAAAATGATGAATAACGAAATCCTAGAATTTTTGTTTTGTTTTGTTTTGTTTTAAAGAGAAAAAAATTTTCAACGAAAAAATAGACATATATTAATGGATCAATGAATCATTGTTGTTGGATTATTTCCAATTGGATCACTCACACACACACACACACACACACACACACGAATACTCTAATTAATAATTATTTGTAAAAATTGAAATTTCTGTCCATTATGTTTTTTTTTCTTTACTAGGTTTTTTAATATTTCTATGAATTGTTTTTTTCTATCAGCCCGAATTTGCCATACGAATTTCAATCAAATGATTGATAATTGTTTCATCTGTAATGGTTGATATGTCACCAAAATCAGATTTTTGGCCACAAGCAATTTTTGCCAATACACGACGTATTATTTTACCCGATCGTGTTTTTGGTAATGCACGTACATTCAATATGAGATCAGGTGTAGCGACCGGGCCAATTTCATGACGTACTATGTGGTGATTTCAAATAAATTCAATTAATTTTCTATTAAAAATTAAAAATAAAAATTCATACCTAAATCACGTAATTCTCTTTCAAATTGATTATCATAATTGTAACCATTTTTTGTTACAATATAAGCACAAATACATTGTCCTTTTATTGTATGTGGCATTGGAACCGATGCAGCTTCGGCAACACGTTTATCTTTCAATAATGCTGATTCAACTTCAGCTGTTGATAATAAATGTCCAGATACATTCAACAGGTCATCAGTACGGCCAGTAATCCAATAATGGCCATCTGAATCACGATATGCAGCTATAAATAGCAAAACAAAACAATAAAATCCAATTTTTGATTTTTGAAATCATTCATTGAAACATACCATCACCGGTAAAATAGTAACCAGGAAATCGTTCAAAATAAGTGGATTCAAAACGTTCATGATCACCATCAATTGTACGTGCTATTCCAGGCCATGCTTGCTGTTATAAAATGAAAATTTTTAGCAGTTTGAAAAGGAAAAAAATGAGAAAACAAACTTACTTTAAATGCAAGAAATCCAGATTCTGTACCCAAAATTTCTTTACCATTTTCATCCAAAATAACGGGTAGAATGCCAAAAAATGGTACAGTAGCTGAACCAGGTTTAAGATCAATGACATTTGGTATTGGAAAAATCATCGGTGCACCGGTTTCAGTCTGGAAATATGTATCAATAATTGGACAACGTTCTTTACCGATCATACGATAAATCCAGAACCATGCATCACGATTAATTGGTTCACCAACCAATGCAATTAATTTCAATTCATTCATCGGATGTGATAGAACATATTTATCATCAAATTTCATTAATGACCGTATGGCTGTTGGTGCTGTATAGAAAATATTTGCACGATAATCATCGATTATTGTCCAAAGACGATCAGGTTTTGGATAGACTGGAACACCTTCGAATAGAATAATTGTTGCACCATTTGCTAACGAGCCATAAACATTTGCCGTATGTCCAGTAATCCAGCCAAGATCGGCAGTACAAAAGAATATATCTCCATCACGATAATTGAATGCATATTTGAATACAATTGCTGTCGTCAACATATAACCACCAACGGTATGTAATACACCTTTTGGTTTGCCAGTCGATCCACTTGTATACAATATAAATAATGGATGTTCAGCTGATAACCATTCTGGTTCACAATAATCCGATTCTATGGAATTAATCTGTTTCCATGATTGCATCAAATATTCATATCGAGATTGATATTGTTCAACTATTGTTTCATATTGATTTTTGTTACGATTTATTGATTGACTGAAACGATTAACAATAATAACTGATCGTAATTGTAGTTTACGTTCTAAACAATATTCAATTGCATCATCAATAATTGGTTGATAATGAAGAAATTTTTCGCCACGAAATGATCCATCAGCTGTTATTAATATTTTAACCCTTGCACTACACATACGTTCAGCAAGTGAATGTGCACTAAAACCTGCAAACTTTTTTTTCCAGAAAAAAAATGTAATGAGATGTAAAAAAAAAATGAGTGAAACAAAAACAACACACTTACCACAATCGTATGAATGGCACCGATACGTGCACATGCCAACATTGCTGTTACTAATTCAATTGTAACTGGAAGATAAATGGCCACACGATCACCAACACCGATGCCCATACGTTTCAATGCATTTGCCATACGGCAAACTTTTGAACGTAATTCTGAATATGTAAACTGACAACGTTCATTCAATTCATTGCCTTCCCAATAATAGGCTATACGATCGCCAAAACCACGATTAATAATTCGATCCAATAGATTATAGGTGATATTTGTTCGTACATCTTTCAGGAATTCTACCCGAATGGTACCGGCATTTATATCGAAATTATAGTTTAAAATTTTTGATTCATTCACTGGCAATGGTGTTGTCCAATAAAAATCACGTGCAACATTTGTCCAGAATTCACCGGGTGATTTAATCGATTGTTCATAAAGATCGTAATATTCATCCATTGATTTTAAATGTGCTTGTCGACGAATAGTCATATCGAATTGTGGTTCATCACAACGAATACGATCAATGGTTTTCATTTTAATCATTGCTATATCGCCACCATTCGTGTTGGCCATTCTTTTTGCCGGACTTGTATGAATACTGTTGTCCATTTTTTTTTTAATTTTCAAAATCGATATGTGATGTATATGAGATATATCTGTGTGTGTGTGTGTGTGTGTGTGTGAATATTTATGGTCTATTTTTTTTGATGCACCGATTTAATTTGAAATTCTGTTTGATTGAAAAAAAAGGATTAGAAAACAAAAAAAAATTAATTAATTCAAAAAAAAAATCAATAAATAAAACAATTGATCACTGTTGGCTGTTGTTGTCGTTTTTGTTGTTGTTGTTGTTGAATGAATATGCACTTGATCAATTCAAAAATCAATCAACCAAATTTACCAAAAAAAAACGAAAAATTTTTTTGTTGTTGATTTTATCTCTATTACAAATCTGTACGAGTGTGTGTGTTTTTCTATGTGGTTAAAATTTTTTATTTCCAGAGTAATATTTCAAATTTGAAATTCAAAAAAAAAAATTTTTTGGGGGGTGTGGAAAAAAGAATTAGAGAGAGAGAAAAAAAAATGTAAAATTTAACCAAATTTAGCCATATGGCACACGCACACACACACACATAGAGAGAGAGACACCTAAATTATCACCTGTATGATTATTTTCAAACCACACACGTTTATTTAATTTGTCGATACATTGTTAAGGATAGAATTCAAATGAAAAAAAGAGAGAGAGAGAAAATAATGGTAAAATCGATCAAGAAAAGAAATTTTAGACGTACATTATTTTTTTTTGTAGGTGTACAAAGTGTTGATGAAATTGATAATTCAACAAAAAGAAAAAAAAATATTTATTTAAAATTTAAATAAAACAAAAATCAAACGATTGATTGATTGATTGATCGATGCAATTACCAATCAATCAACAAATTGATTATATTTTATTTTATTTATATTTTTTTTTATTTGTTCTTTTCTTTCTCTCTCTCTCTCTCTCTCTCAGTCTCCCACCCTCTCACTCATTATTCACGTCATTAACAAACGACAAAAAAATACGTTGATGATTTATCTTCCTTTGTTTTTTGTTCTATCTATCTATTGACTATAAATGTTCAATATCCATGTGTTTGAACATTAAATCGTCATCAATTGATTCCGCTAATCAACCATCTCTTCGTTGATTTGAGTGAAATTTAAAATTTTTCCATTTTTCAATTGTACATTTGTTCATCTTTGAGAATTTTTCTTTTCCTCTTTTCCTTTTTTTTTTTTTTTTTTTTTTTTTGATTAATAAAAGTATGGTTTTTTTTCTATGGTGATTTAGTGGACAAATCATCAGGTATAAATATATAAATAGAGAGAGAGAGAGAGAGAGAGAGATAGTGGTTAAATTTTTCCTATTTTTTTCTCACATTTTTTTTTTGTTTTGTTTACGGTTAAACTATAAATTTGAAAAAATAGAAAAAAAATTGGCTATTTTTCTTTTCCCCATTTTTATACACATACAAAAAAAAACCCCGTGTACGTCATTTGTCAACTACGTCAACTAAATAGTTAGATAGATTTGTTTAGATTTTTTTCTTGTTCATTCAAAAATGATGATGATTTCGAATATATATACGTAATGGATATACGATACGTCTATTTTCCTCTACACACACACACGTTGAATTTGACGTGTAAAACAATGAAAAATAATTTTACATTGAAAAAAAAATAGGATTGACCTTTGTTTTTTTTTACTTTTTAAACTTACCTCACAGCCACAATAAAAAAAACGCAGAAATTTTCAAATTTTTTCCACCTTGATCTATGAAGGTTAATGTGAAATGTGAAACCAATGAGGGGAAAAAAATTGAAGAAGAAAAAAAAATTCTAATTGTAGCAAAAGCGTTAATGATCTCAATAAGTGGTAATAAATATATGTTGAAAAAAAAACTAAAACGTTTTGTCAACTTCCTCGTGTAGAGAAAAAAAAATATTCACAATTATACACACAGAACAGGAAGCGTGTTAAAAAGTCATTGATTTTTTTCTTATCGTTTACTTATCGTTTATCGAACAAAATTATGTTTCGCCATCATCATCAACATCATCGTTGATAACGTCAGCGCAAAGTTCATGTTGATGAAATGAAAACACTGAATTGTTTTTTTTGGTCTACATGATGTCTATCGATTGGATTCTAGGGAATTTTTTGTTTGGAATTTCTACATATTAATAATAATTTGAACAAAAAAAAATATTATTGTCATTGATGATGGATCGGAAAGAATTTCGCTTTTTTCAAATTGATCCAGCAACAACAACAAAAGGAAAAAATTTCATTCCATGAAAATTAATAATAATAATAAAAAAAAATAAAATTTCTTTTTGACGCGCATGCTCTCATTAATTATAATTTTATTATCATTGAAATTTTCACATCAACAACAACAAATTTTTCTCTCTCTCTCTCTCAGTGTTAATAAAATTTAAATTTTATCAGTGAAAAAAAAATAACCTGAAGGTGTAATATGATCAACACTCACCTGGATTGTTTGTTTTTTTTGTTGTTCTGGCTGATGATGATCCGGCTACGAATGATCTCAAATGATTTTGAATGTTGGAAAACAAAACAAAACAAAAAATTCTGGTGTAGAATTGTTATTACAATAAAAAAAAAATTCACAACCATAAAAGAATCAATTGGCAATTGGAGCAAATGAGAGAATTTGGGATGTAATTTCGGAATTTTTCGGAATTTTTTTTTTTCACAGTTTTCAATTTTGTTGAAATTTTCCTTTATTATTTTCAATCATTAATAATAATAATAATTAGCGATAATTCACAACCAAGAAGAAAAAAAATTCAAATGAAGAATGAAAAAAAAAGATGAGAATGAGAATTTTTTTTTTTTCGTACAGAAAAAAAGGCCAACCATTTGAAGAAAAAAAAATTCACAACCAAAAGTTGAAATGGAAAGAAATACGAAACGAAAGATAATCTGGACAGCACAACAGATGATTTGATCACATCTAAAAAAAAACAAGTAAAGAAAAGGTAAAGAAAAAAATTACCAAATAGGCGTGTGTGTAAATGTAGGTAGGTGGGCAAAGGAAAAGGGGATTTTTTTTTGACAAAAAACAGGTGTATTACGTGTTTTTCATTCAATAACCATAACTCACACTGGCTAACAGTTATTTTTTGATCAATTGGTTAGATTTGAATGAAAAAAAAAAACAAAACAAAACAAAAAAAATTCCAATTGAATTAAACAACAAAAGCCACAGGAAATTGTAATAATTGATGATGAAAATTTGTTTCTTTTTATATGAACGAAAAACAGAAGAAAAAAAACTATGGTTTTTTTGTTTTCATTATCAGTGTGAATAAAAAAAAAAAAAATAAAGATGCATGTAACACACACATACACATCGAATATCTTGTCTTGGTCTTGGGGTATCATGTTACTTATTAGTAGCATAATTCACACGCTGAGAGAGTGGGAGAGACAAAATTGATATCGGCGACAATTTTTTTTGTTGTTGTTGTCGGTAGTATTTTGTTCCTATGTACTTTTTTTTTCTTACATCTTGATAAAAGTTTTCTTTTTCAGGCTAAATACAAAAGTAAATGCAAAAATCCTACCTTTGTTTTGTTGTTTTCGTTTGTGCTAAATATAATTTTTTAATCCATTTTTAGAGATTAATTTTTTTTCCATTCATCATCATCGATGTTGTTTGTTTCTTCGGTTTGTTGCATTGAATAAAATTCATTGATTGATGTTTTTTGATTTTTCTGTTTCTCTGTTTCTAAAGCCACTGTCTTTCGCACACATTCAATGACATTTATTAATAACCGATAATCAACAACAACAACAACAACAAAAAAATCGATAACGATGATGTTTGGTGTTGGTGTCTGGTGTTGTGTTCACATTTGTTGTTGTTGTTGTTGAATATAGAATTATATAATTCAAGAATTTCAATTCTTACTACTAGCAAATTTTTCTCTTTCTAAATGAATTGATGATAGTTAGTGAACATAGAATTTGAAATGGAAGAAATTTTCACTTTCACACATACACAAACACACACATATGAAAGCCAAATGCTCGATAACTATACCACCACCACCAACACCAACACCAACGCCGACACCACTATCATCATTTTGATCAAGAACCAACCAACAAACAAACAAACAAACATCACCATAACAATTCTAGCAAACAAAAAATACGCAGATTTAACAACGGTAGATAGGGAATAAAAACACGGAAAAAAATGCACATACACACACACACAAACAACAGTGATAATAACATATTATTATTATTATATCATCATCAACAACAATATATAATTTTGTCCAACATTCAAAAATACACACACACACACACCGTGCTGCCCATGCGCATGATAATAATGAATTTTTTTTCCTTGTAAGAATTATCATCATCATCATCATCATCATCAGTATCATTATATAGAATGATGATGAAAATATGAAAGGTTTGTTGTATGTTTGTTTGTATCGCCATCTTTATTTTTTTTTTTGGTTCCCTAAATAAATTGATAAATTTTCATACAAGATTATCATCATCATCATCATGTGATGATCATCTTGTTGGCTATTCTTGTTTGCACACTAGCATTCAATATTTATATTTATATATAGATGTTTGACCTTGACCTTTTTTTATAGTTTCCGGTTACATTCTTTTTAATAAATTATTTTTATTCTATATCCAAGAATCCAGTGTTGAGATTGCGCATGAATTTTTTTTCGTTTCGTTTCATTTGTGTTTTTTTTTTTATTCAAATCATTCGAATCAATAATGTACAGAACAAACATTCAATTCAATAACGATGATGATGATAATGATGATGAACTTTGGCCAATCAGGATAAATTTCAATCATCAGTATCATTGAAATCCGCGTCATATTTTTTATATATATGAGGTGATTCATTTTATGAAAATCGAACCATTTTCATGTTTCGCGCGTGTTTTTTTTTATAATAATATGATTATTATAGAAACACGCACACACACGCACACGGCTAACCAATAAGCAGAATACATGGGGTTAAAGATTTTTATTTTGTACAGAAAATTTGGTTTTGATATTTGTAGAAAAATGGGATGAATTAAACAAAAAACCAAATGACATCATTAGATCATCAATCAATACATTAGAAATGGCATCAATCGTTTGACGCGCTAACAATTAAGAACAACTGTGTGAAAATGGGCTGACAATAAAAATGATGATTCGATGACGCGTGCGTTGATGTGTGTGTTATTTTTAATTGGAAATTAATTTTTTGTGTGTTTTGATGAAATAATGAAATAATAATAATTTAATTTTGGCTGAATAATGAAAATATATACAAACACGTCATGTTATGTAATTTAGATGATGAAATTTTCAATTTCTGGTAAACAAAACCAAAAAAAAAAAAAAAAAAAAATGGATGAAAATGAAAATTTAAATAAGCAATAAAAACTGATGATGATGAAAAAAAAATTTTTAAAGAATTTTGCGTAACGTCCTTTATGAATTGACATTGAATGATTCATGGAAAAATCCAAGAACAACAACAACAACAACAACAACAAAAACAAAAAATAATTCTTGATGAATTCATGAATATATCAACCAAACAAGAAGAAGTAGAAGAAAAAACAAAACACATACGCATTCTGGTACACATTCAATTTACAGAATTTTTGTTGCGTTGTCATTGGTCACCAATAATCATCATCATCATTCTATGAATAAGTATAAAAATACCACACACACATTTGAATAAATCACCAAATGAAAAAAAAACAAATGAAAAAATTTCACTCACTACTCACTCATCAGTGTTTCATTTGCATTTGATTTTTTTTAGATTTTAATCTTTCTCTCATCATCATCAACATAACACTTCTGAGTCATCACCATTGCAGCTGATCTTTTTTTATATTTTGGATCAAATCAAACAAGTTCACGACCAAAAAAAAATAAAATAAAATAAAAATAATTTCCGGTTTGTTTTGTTGTCGTAGATGTTGTTTTTAATCCATTTTAATTGATTTATTTGTTTTGTTTTGTTTTTTGTTTTTTTTCGAACCAACCAAATTACACCGGAAAACTATATTTTATTCTATTGAATCCGATCAATCAACCAAATCAATCGATTGCACACATCTCACTCTTTGTCTATTCAGCCATAAATCATCGTCATCATCATTAATTAATCACATATATGTCGTAATTACGTATTTGTTGTCGTTGTACTTGTGTGTGTGTGTTTTTTTTTGTTTTGTTTTTGTGTTGAATGAGCAGATGATTCAAACATCATTGATGATGATGATGACGATCAACTGACCAATCAGATGTACCTGAATGTTTTTTGTTATTCTTGTATATTTCATATATTGACAACAACAACAACGACGACAAACAACAACAATTTCAATTTATTTGTGTGTGTATGCAGTGGTAAATGTGAAATTTTTTTGTGAAAACAAAAAACATTTGAAAATACACGCAAACATTATGGATCAACAAAAAATAAATCATCAAAATGGTAATGATGATGATGGTGATGATGGATTCGATATGGCATGTCATGTTGATGCTGATGATGATGATGTTGATGATGTTAATAGTACATTCATCACGATCAATACAAATGTCAGTGAATTGGATCGTCTTATTGAAGAATCATCGATTGAATTGCCTAAATCATTGATTATAACCAATATGGATAGCCGTATATTTCAAGTTACATCTGAACTAAGAGTTAGTAATTGAATTGTTTCTTTGAATTTTTTTTTAAATAAATTCTTTATTTTTTTTTGGTCCATAACAGGCTGAATTTGAACAGGCATTTCGTAGTTTGGATTCGGATGTAAAATTTTTATATTTTAAAAGTTTTCGTCGTGCACGATTAGATTTTAGTGATCAACAGGCTGCAACAAAAGCACGTATTATTATGAATCAGATTAAATTCGGTGATGAACAGATTAATTGTTATTTTGCTGAAATTTCGGATAAAAATTCCAATACAACTGATCATCTATTGAAACCACCTGCATTGGAGAAACAATTTCTTATATCACCACCGGCATCACCACCAGAAGGTTGGGAACCGGTTGAAGAAGCACAACCAATATTGAATATTGATCTACAATCAGCATTAGCAAATCTAGTACCTGGACAGGCACATGAACTACATCCACCTACATGTAATCAACCGGGCATTGTTGTTCATGTTTGTGGTCAAACCACTAAACAGGATTCATCAAATAATGATGATCATGATGATGGTTTTTTCAATGATGATTCATCCATAAATAATAATCATAATCATAATCATTCAATAATGAAAATGAAAATAGCACAAACACCATGTCCACCACGTTTTCAACAACAAAATCAAAATTAATTATCATTGTCAAAATAAATAAATAAATACCCGGTGACAGACATATATTATTCTCTATAGTGAAACACATACCATTGAATTAGATTTGTTTTTTTATTAAAAATTTTGGTTTTTGTTTTTGTTTTACATTTTCAAATTCAACTTATAATTGCTGCTACTACTACTACTACTGTTTTGTTGTTATGAATTTTTTTTTTAAATAAACAAACAAACAAACACATTTTTCTGTTATCAACCAAAAAAAAAAATTCATTCATTCATTCAATCAAATGATCAAACACATCGACAAACAGATACAAAATTTGTTTCAATTTAAATAATGAGTTTTAATAATAATAAAAAAAAACAAACAAACAGTAATCATCATCATCATCAAAAATTTGCTTTGACAATTGTTGATATGATGATGATGATAATAATGATAATGATAACGGTGCTGTCTTTAAATGGCCATCCGAATACGACAGAGAAGAAAAAAAAATCCAATTTTGTATCCAAATGTTTCATTTTTGTTTTTGTTTTGTTTCGGGCCATTCAAAAATAATGATGATGATGATGATGACGATGATAATAACGATGTGTGTCAGTCTGTATATATGTTTGTTTGTTATGTTGTCTATATATGTCAAGAAAAGGATTTATATATTTTTTTTTTTTTTTTTTCAAATTCATTCCATTTCATTTGCTGCCATTTCATGGTGGTCGTTGTTGGAAATTAATTACTTTATTCACACACACACACATGCACACTTTATTAATTGAAGAAACAAAAAAAAACATTTGCTTTTTATTTTATGTGAATCACAACAACCATTTAATGAAAAATTTAATTTAGAAACAAACACCAGCAAGATTTTCTGATATTTTTTCTTGAAAAAAAAGGATAAATTGAAAATTTTTGAACTTTTGATCAGCAAAAATACCGAAAAAGTGCAGCAAAACGGTCACTTTTTTACGAGCTACATTTCCAATTTGATTGACCGAACCGAAAAAAAAAATTTTTTTGGAAAGAAAGAAGAAAATAAATTTTAGCAAGATTTTAATGTCATTTTTTTGTCCATTCAATTTACAATTGAATTTTTTTTTTTTTTTTTTTTTGAAGATTGAAATTGAAATTAGTACAAAATCCGATTAAGATTCAATGAGCATAGTGAGTTTGTTTGGTTGGTTGGCTGGTTTAAATTTTTTTGTTTTTTCATTTAACAAATTTCTCTCATGTCATCAAAACAACAACAACAACAGAATGAAATGAATTCAATTTTCACCAATTGTAATTTGGATTAACCTCGATTCAATTCACATAAACAATCGAGTGATTTATGGATTAATCCGGGCAAATTAACAAAAAATAAATAAATAAATTACAGAAATTATGTCAATAAATAGACAAAATGTTATTTCGGTTACGAGACTATCAAGAAGCGGGTTTTCTGTACTGTTCACCAAAACTGGATTGAAAATTACTAAGGATAATGATTTAGTCTGGTTGATCGAGAAGCAAACACATGGTCGGTTCTTCAGTGCATGCCCTGTTCAATCTTCATCTAAAAATTGGCACAACATTCTTGGTCATGCAGATTTTAACAAGTTAAAAATTTTGAGCCAAAAATATTCTTTTGTTCAGTCAAAGCCCTATGAGTGTGACGTATGTACGGCAAATAAAATGTGCAAGCCAAATTTTGACAAATCACAACATCATCATTCAAAATTGCCAATGGAAGTTCTATATGCGGATCTATGTGGACCGTTTCCATCTTCGATTCATAATCAAAAATACATGCTGGTAATTATTGATCAATGTTCACGATTTTCTCAAGTTTTCTTCTTAAAAGACAAATCAGCTGTATCAATTCACTCATACATCAAATACTTTATCGAATTTATTGAAAGAAATACCAATTTTTGTGTCAAACGCTTGGTTACTGATAATGGCGGTGAGTTCGTTAATGAAATTGTTAATAATTATTTTCGTTCCAAAGGAATTATTCACGTAACAACCACTGCCTATACACCTCAATCGAATGGACTTGTCGAACGCAAGAATAGATCCTTGCTCAATATGGCACGATGTCTTCTAAATCATATCAACTTACCAAAAAAGCTGTGGCCATATGCCTTAAATTATGCAAATGAAATCCAGAATCGATTACCATCGGCCAATAATAATCAAATACCATTCGAAATAGTTTTTAATTCAAAAATTGATTTTAATAAGTTTCATATGTTTGGATCGAAAGTTTTCATCAAACTAAATCATTTCGACGATAAACTCGTTCCTCGAGCATCACCGGTTATGTTTATTGGCTTAGATCATTCAAAATTCATTGTTTATGACCCGAAAACGAATAAGATCACATCATCTCGAAATATAAAATTTACTGATGAAATTTATTCAATTCAAGATCCGAATTATGAAACATCATCTATTTTTTCAAATTTTATTCAACAATTAGATTATCATTCCAAACAAGAATTCGATGATGATGATAACTATGAATTGAGTGATTACGTCATTTCTGAAATACCCATTATTGACACTCAAACATCTGATTTTAACATTAATTTAATTCATCACGATTTTAATTCTTCTATAGATGAAACGTCAAACCATACAGATGGAATGTCAAATCATGCATCTTTAGTCAATCGACAATCTGATGATTCTTCTATCTCCAATGATGATTTATCTTTTTCTAATTCAATAAATGACAGTGAAGCTACAATTGAAAACAATGATTTGCCTATCGCATGGCGTAAGCCTGATCGTTCTGTGAAAATTCCCGATAGACTTGGAGTTGCAGCATCATCGTCATCTTTGTCATCTGCTTTATCGTCGTCATCAGATTTATTTTCATCGTCCATAAATGATTCAATTCCTATTCCCAAAAATTTCAAAGATGCAATGAATTCGCCACATAAAAATCAATGGTTAGCAGCAATCAACGACGAAATCAAATCATTTCATGAATTTAATGTATTATCTTCTGTGCCCAATAATAATCAACCAACAATCGATTCTAAATGGGTTTTTGCCATAAAAAGAGATGTCAACGGAAAAATAGAAAAATTTAAAGCTCGATTAGTGGTTCGGGGGTTTAAGCAAGAAGATGTCGATATTAATGATACGTTTTCACCAGTTGTGGACAAGACAACTATTCGATCCCTGTTTGTGTTGGCTCATCGGTTTAATTGGCACGCCATACACTTTGATGTGAAAACAGCCTTCTTACATGGTAAACTAGATCAAGATGTATTCATTACTGTTCCTGATCCTCTAAAAACAGATGGCTTCATATTTAAGCTTAATAAAAGCATGTATGGTTTGCGACAAGCTCCAAGGGTATGGTTCAACACGCTTGTTGATCATTTGAACCGTATTGGATTGGTTACACACACACACAAAGGTATTATTGAGCTTTTTGAAGTTTCTCTGAGATTATGAAGAAATAAGGAAAAATTTTTGCTTAACCTAAATTGTTTTTTTATAATAATAACCTAATTGTTTTCTGTAATATTTAACGTATAAACAAAAAAAAACAAGAAAAAGATATCGATGTTAAAATAGTCATAGTTGCGAAATAGCAACTGTATATAAAAAGACAACACACACTGATACACAAATTTTAATTTTCTCATTTAATAAAATATTTTATCAACAAATAAATATGTCAACCTATTTTTTTATTTTTTTTTTTTTTTGGTTGTTTTTAACCATTTGACTACCGTATGCATGTGTGTGCTGATGACAATCCGTTTCTTTTTTTTTCTTTTCATTCACTCACTGATAAACATCATCATCATCATCAACAGACAACAACAACAACAGTAGATAATCAATGATGAGATAATGACCAAAAAGAAATGTCTTGTATGCGAGCAAGATAGATAGAGAAACATTAATTGATTCGTATATTGCCCTAAAGGCTATATATATAGGATTATGATGCTCATCAGATGATGATGATGATCAGATGTTATTTGTAGCCATATTACATTCATCATCATCATCATGATGGTCATTGGAATAAAAATAAATAAATAACCAAAAAGTAAATTCCATGGTTTCATTTCGTGTGGTTTGAAAATCATTAATTTTCAATTTGAATTTTTCTGTAACATGATGATTATGATCATCATCATTATAAATTTAAATTCTTATATTAACAATCACCATACTACTCTTATAGTCATGAAAAAAAATGTTCCACTCATTTGCTCATTTGTTCAGAATCAATCAATCAATCAATCGATTGATATTGAGATAAAAGAAGAAAAATAGAAGAAAAATCCAACAACAACACGTCGACACGTAATTATTCAATTGAATCTTCTTTTTTTTTGACATGAAATTTTTGAATTTAATTTCAAATTATGCAAAATTTTAATGACATTATTATGCACCGAGTTTCATTTCATTGTTTTTTTTTTGGCTAGAGAGAATTGGCTATTTTTGTTTTTTTGCTTCAATTTCTCATTCCAAAAAAATCCAAAACATCCATTTTAATTCATATTAGAAAAAAAATCAAAACAAACAAACAAACGAAAAAAACAAAACAAAACTCATCAACCATTTATGGTCTGTCTATCAATAATATTTGTGCGGCAAACTTGAACTTTGTCGGCTTCGGCAACAACAACAACAACAAAAGAACAACAGAAAAAAAGAGCACAAAAAAAATTATTTCAAATGTCAGGATGCACTTGTAACTGTCAGAGAGAAAATTTTTTTTCTCTTTCGAACCAAAACAAAAAAAAACATCAACCCAAACATCATTAATGCACGTTAATCTTACCGTTGTAATTTTTTTTTTGATTGACATGATTATTATATCAATAATTGCCGCCAGTAAATGTGAAATTGAACGCACACACCTACACACAAAGGTTACTTTTAAGTTTCTCTAAAATGAATCTGATAAAAATCGTGTGTGTGTGTGTGTGTGTGTTTGATAATAATGTCTATCTTGCTTTATGATGCTAGATTTGTTCATGATGATAAGAAGGGTCTAACAAAAAAAAAAAAAGAATTTTCATTGATAATGACGTCGACGACGATGACGATGATGATGATGATGATGATGATGATGATGATCTTGACCAAGGTCAAAAAGCAAGTAACCCCGGTCAATCAGATGAACGGGTTTTTTTTTGTATTGCACTGGTTTGAAGATGAAAATTTATTTCTGTTCATTAGAGTTAGTTATTAGTTAAAATAGTCGATTTGGATGTGTGTGTGTGTGTGTGTGTGTACCAAATGGCAACAAGGGAAAAGATGAAAAAAAACTTGATTTTTGTTTCGATACAGATAAAAAAAAATGATACAGATATATTGTTGAAGAATTTGACTTTATCACCAAATTTTTTTTTTGATGGTAGTAGTAGTAGTAGTAATAGTAGGTTCGTTCTCGAGGTGATGATGATAATAAAAATGGTCAGTGTGTTTGTGATTGTTTATTTTCAACAGTCAGAATCAATCAGATCAATTATATATTAATATTAATATTAATATTATCGATACGAATCAATGGTTATTTTTTTGGCAGTATCAGAATTTCTATAGCTATTAAAAAGAGCGATAAACTTGATAATGATGAACGTTTTTACTTCCTCACTCACTCCATTATCATCATTTTTTTTTCAACAAAAACCAAAAATTTTTTTTTGTTTTTGTTTTTGTTTTTGCATTAATTATCGACGATAAACATATTCAATAACCTCACCCCCACATGGAAAAAAAATCAATTTTTCTTGTTGTTGTTGTTGTTTTTTAAAACAACAACAAAAAAATGGATTACATTTCTTTCCTCGATCAACGTTGTTGTTGTTGTTGGGTGATCGATGTCGATGATCAGAATAATTTTTGCCCAACCTTTTTTTTTTTGCTTCGTATTACAAATTTTCTCACTTTTCATTCCTTTTGGCATTGAAATTATTTCGTTTTTCGTTTTTGTTTTGTTTCATTTCATATCAACGACCAAACCCAAGCAATTTTTCAATTCGTTTGGTTCATCTTTTGTTTGTTGCTGTTTTGATTTACTTGTTATTCTTGAATTTTGAAACATTTTTTTTTTTGATCAAAATCTTGTGTTTGTTTTTTTTGTTTGTTTGTTCGTTTGCTTGTTTGAACCAAAAGAGAGAGAGAGCAAGAATTTTGCCCATCAAATTTCATGAATTTGATCATCATGTTGATTATAAATATCATCATGATGATAATCTTGGCAAAAAGTGCAAGTAAACGAAAAAAACTGATTCTCTTGTTGCCCGTATACACACTCGCACACAATTTATTGAACAACAAAATCAATCAATCATTCATTAATTAAACACTGTACTATTAATTAATCATCAGCAAAAAAAAAAAAGAAAATTGACAAGAATATTTCTGTTCCGTTTTTATCGAATCAGAGAGAGAGAGAGAGAGAAAAATGAGCTAGTTAATCAAAAAAAAAGAAAGAAAAAAAATCAATAATCAATCGGCAGATAATCCGGATCATTTTGGATTGGATATCAATTTTTTTTCTTGTCACCAAAAAACACAAACATTCAAATGATCAAGTTTACAACTATTAATTCAAGTTAATTAATTTTCATTAACATTTTGTTGTTGTTGTTGTAATGACATGACATGACTTGACGGTTTGCTGTATCGTTTGATGTTTTGAAAATTAATTTTTCTATCTCTATTTTTAGACCAAATGAAAAGAAATTGAAAATTGAAAATATTTTGGCCACCCAAAAAAAAAAACTCACGAGAATAAGTTATGAGTTCATCATCATCATCATTTGGGCATCGAAAAAAAATCGTCACTGGTTGGTGGTATCCCATCCATCCATCCATCCATCCATCCATCCATTCATTCATTCATTTATCCACATCTAGATGAATGAAAGAAAAAAAAACAAACAAAATCTGTCATTCACTATCTCCTTGGTTCTTTTTTTTTATTTTCATTCGTAAAAATAATAAAAATCAGCATGACTTAATACCGGATACTTGAATGAAATGATGATGATGATGATGATGATGATTGGTAGGTAATGGAGCAAATAATTCAAGTCATGTTTTTTTTTACGTTTCATTTTCTCAATTTTCTTCTCATTTTTTTTTTAACAGACAAAAGAAGAAAATTACTTGTATATGAAGTTTGTTATTGGAGATTATTATCATTTGGTTTTTTTTGAATGATTGGATTAAATCCAATACTGTACATTGTACCTACACACACAGGCCGAGAGAATGACCAAAATAGTTTTGACCTGATGATTGAATCAATCAGTCCATCATCATAATCGATAATAATGATGATGTTCTAAATTGATTTTTTTCTTCATTTTGCGATTTTTGACAATAATGAAATGAAACAAAAACAAAACTAGGAAAAAAATTCGCCATATGTGTCTGTATGTCATTTGTAGACATGAATCATCATCAACAATGTATGTATAAATAATGGACTGTTGAACTTTTCATCACCACCATTCATTGATGATGATGATGATGAGAATGAATCGAATTGAAATGGAAAATTTGGAAATTGCAAATATTAATTATGATGATGAATCTGGTTATATGTATTTTTGTTGTTGTTGTTGATAATAATAATAAGCTATACATTTAAACATTGCAGGTATTCAATATCTTCATGTCTTGATCATGATGATCATGATAATAATAATAATAATGATGATGATGATGATGCCAGGCAGCTAAATTAATCGCTGTTATCATCAACTTTATCATCATCATCATCGTACTGGTTATATGGGATTAATGATTTTTTCTTTTTTTTTTTGGATTATGAAGAAAACAAAAACACAGATTTTTTTTTGTTCATTTTCTTGTTTTGTTTTCATCATCGTTTTTTTTTTTTTGCTCGTCGTCGAATCACATAATTCATAAATGGTGATGATGATGGAAGATGATGATAATTTTTGATTAATAATTTTCTTGAAAAATCTTAAAAAATCTTAAAAATTTATTGGTTGTTTATTGTTGATGTTGTTCTCCACTTCACTTTATTTTGTCTGATTTGTATTATGAACATGGCCATTAAATGTCACCAAGACGCTCGCGTTTGGTTGGTTGGTTGGTTGTTGTTGTTGTTGGTGTTGATTCAATATTTGTGATTTGAAAAATGGACAACATTCAAATGTAAAATGGCTAGACTAACATAGACAGACAATAATATATTATTATTATAATAATAATAGATGGCCAAAATAATCTAACAAACAGACAGACAGACAGTCAACATAGACACAGACAACGACACAATGACACATTAATTAAGGCGGCGGCGGTGTTGTTGTTGTTGAGTATGACATTTGACATTTTTGTTGTTTTGTTGCAAGTTGCAATATACAATGTTATATATTAAGGTCAATTAATCGATCTGATTATAGCCAATAAAATGACCAGAAAAAATATTCAAACAATTTTATCATCGCTTGTTTATCTTGTTTTTCTTTGAAAATGGACAACAACAACAACAACAAGAGAAAAAAATGAATCAGTTTCCATATCTATATGTGTTTTATCTACAATTTTTTTTTGTATTGAAAGATAATTTTTTTTTTCAATAAATAGCCTTTAAATATATGAGATAATCTTTTTTTTTTCTTGTTCCTGAATAATAATTGTAATCGTATCAAATCAAATCATTTTGTTGTTGTTGTTGTTGTTGTTACTTATCTAATAATGATAATCTTTTATCATCAATGAGAATGTTTGAATCTCTCGATTGTGTGATAGTGTGTGAACATTCGCTGTATGTATATATGAATATGGAAAAAAACAAAACAAAACAAAAAAAAATGGTGATCAATACAATGATGAAAAATGATCATCAATATTTTTTTTTCTCTTTTTTTTTACTTCGTTACAACAACGAAAAATGGAAAAAGAATTGGTTGGTGGCCCTTTTTTTTAATCTGTTGCTTTTTTGGATAGAGCAACATTTTTTTTCCTTTCTACCTCGTTGTTGTTATTATTGTTGCTGTTGTTTATCATCATCATCATCATTGAAATATGAAAAAAAATCATGTTAATACCACCAAGGTAGTCATCATCAGTCTTGATTTAGAAACGAAAAAAAAGGATTTACACACACAAACACATCATTTTTCATCATTTAGTTTCATTCTCCAATTTATTCTGAACCCTATTTTTTTCCATTCATTCATTGACAACCGGGGTGTCTTGTCATCATCATCATCATCATCATCATCATAAGTCGATTGTTCAATTTAGAGCGCAATGCAGTTTAGTGTTTAGCCATTCTTGTTGGCATTGTTGTTGTTGTTGTTGCTGCTGCTGCTGCTGTTGTTGTTATATATTTGATTTGATCATTTCAATCTTTTAAATCTCTCTGTGAAAAAAACGAACGAACGAACGAACGAACCAAGACATTCATCCAATTCAATTCATTTTCATCATCATCATCATCATAATCATAAATGATAATAGAGTGTGTATAAAGAGAAGAGAGAGCAAAAAAAAAACGGAATTTCGATGATGATGACGATCAAAATGATTGGTAATTTCAGGGTATGTGTGTGTGTGTGTGTGTTGCTACACACAGCTTAGCATTTGTGTTTGTTTGATAGCCGATTTTCGTCTTTTTCTATTTTTTTTTCTTTGATATTTATTATTCGGTTTATTCGGTTTTTTTTTTGGTTGTTCGCTCTCATTACAACATTCCATCCAACAATATCATTTGATCCAACCATCAAATCATCGTCATCATCAAGTAAAAAAATCTACGGATGTGTAATGATGATAATGATAATAATTTAGACAAAAACGGACACGACCAATATATATATATAAAAATTTTGTTTTGACGCGGGTAATTTTTCCTTTTTTTCCAAATTCGATATGGACAAAATGTGAATGGAAACAGAAAAAAAGATTTTTTTTTATTTTTGCTTTTCACCGGATTCTTCCATACGATACAAATGAATGAATGAAATGTTTTTTATTCGAGGGCGATGGTCAGTTTTTTTTTTGGTCATGTAATGAGAAGAAGGAAAAAAATTTTTTTGGCATCAAAAACAAAACAAAATCAAATTGTTCCCGTTGTTTGATTTGAATTTGAAAATCATTATTGAATTGTAATTTTTTTTTCAAATTTTTTTTTCAGCGAAAAAAAAACGGGAAAATTTATTCGGAAGCCAATGTAAACAACAACTACAACCCCCATATTTGAGAATGATTTTGTGTGTGTGTGCTAATTATTAATCTCTAATTCACTTCTCTCTCTCACTCATTCGGTTCATTCACAGTGTATATGTGCAGAGTTTGACCATTTAATATATGATAATTTCAGTCATTTTTGTTTTCTCGTTCAATGTTGGATAGTATGCACTAATGGCATTTAAAGATATAAAATGTTTGTTGTTGTTGTTGTTGTTGTTGTTGTTGATGTTGATGATGATTTATGCTGTGTTAACATTCATAATCAATCTTATATTTCTTGATTTTTATCTATATTTATATATTGAATGTATATAAAAAAAACCTTTTAATAGTATGAAAATTTGATTTAAAGATGTGTCAAGAAAAAAATGATCTTCTTCTTCTTTTTCTTCTTCTTTTCGCTCTATTTGCATTATCATCACTTAATGCATGAATCATATCCTGTGTGTGTGTGTACCGTTATATACGTGATAATTGATCATCACCGTGGTTCAAAACACGAAAGAGAAAGAGATGGAAAAATTAATCCGATTCTGATTACACATGGGAGTATAACGATTACATATCGAGTATAACGACCTGAAGAACTGACCTGGCCAGAATTGTGTTTGTTTTACATTCGATTTATTGAATTTCAAACATGATGATCAACAAAATTTTGGTTGTAATTTTCAATTTCATGATTGAAATTTTTTTTTTTTTTTGACAAAAATAAGCAACACTTTTGAAGATAATTAACGATGTATATATATTGTCTGTCAGTTTTCATTTCTGGTTAATCTGACAGCAAAACAAAATCTTCGATTCAATTATCAATGAATTTCTAGTGAAGAAAAAAAAAATAGATAATTAATTTTTTCTTGTTAATCCAATTCATTCGAAAAAAAAACATAATCAGTTCAATCGATTCCATTTTAAATCCATTTTAAATCCTGTAGAGGTGAAAAAAAATTGAATAAATTTTCCTACCTGTGTGTTGTTGTTGTAAATTTGAAATTTTAAAAATCAAAAAAAAAAATTTGAAATTCAATCAATCAAAAATGAAAAATGACCATAAATCAAATCAAAAAAAAAAAAAAAAAAAAAATACTACCATGTTACTATATAGTAATCAATTACAAATACGAAAAAATACACCATTCGATCGGTAGTTTGGTATTTTTCAAATTCGTATCATATTTCTTGTAGAAAACATTATCATTATTCATCATCATCATCATTTGAATGATGTTAAAAAATGTAAAAAAAAACACACGAAAAGAATTCGAATATTGATGATGATGACGATGATGACGATCATCATCAACAACATCTCAGATTGTCAATTGATGATCATTATCATCATTATTCGACCTGTTTTTTTAATATCGAAGAAACTTGAACTCTCGTCAATGATAGCAGCAGCAACAGCAGCTACATTCATTATCACCATCATCATTATTACCCGATCATCATGGTATTTTTTTTTTTTTTGTTGACCACATAACTATGACCAACCAACTCAATTTAACTAAATTCAATTCAATTCATTTCATTCACCATTTCACCATCATCATCATCATCATTATTATATTACAATTTTCATCAGTTGTTTTTTTTCCGTTGTTGTTGTTGTTATTCATTATTCACGAAATTTTCAACCTTTTGTATGATGATGGATAATTGAATTATTTATCTGTGTGTGTGGGAGAGTGAAAAACTTTAACAACAACAACAAGATGCACGAAAATGGACATGAAAAAAAAAGAATTTAATGATCTGATCGGATCAAAAAAAAAAAAAAAAACAGTGGTTAAGGATAGAACAAAAAAAGATTGATTAATTTTATATGCGGTTACGAAAAAAAATTTGCATTTTTCTCGTTTTTTTTCATTTTGTTTTGTTTTCAGTTTGATTAAAAAGGTGTTAAGGAATCAAGATTTTTAGTTTTTTTTTTTTTAAAGAACTTGATGAATTTGTCTGCCGTTTGTGTTTTTTTTTTCTTCATCTTTCACTCTCTTCTTTCTCTCTCTCTCTCTCTATATATATGCATGATTGGTTTACGAAACAAAACAAAAAAAAAAACTTGGTAAAATGAATGGGTTTTTTTTTCTTTCGTTGGCAAACCAGGTGTTGATGATGTGTTGTTTTTGCTTTTATCAAGTACAAAGGTGAAAATTATCATTATTTTGTCTGTGTGTGTGTGTGTGTGTGTGTAGTGATTCCATTTTCAAGTGTTGATAAAAACTATGAATTTTTTTTTCTCCATCATCATCATCATCATCATTATTATCATTATCACGGATGATTTGTATGGTGTGTGTGTGTGTGTGTGTGTGAATGGAGAGTATCTGGCAAATGAACAGAGAAAAAAAAATTATGACTTTCACCTCGATATAGACTATATGTGGTCGAATTTCGACTATAGTGTAAATTATGGGGTTTTTTGAATTCTTTGTGTGTGTGTGTTATGTGTGCGTATACCTCCAAAAGCCTTTGCATGTAGAAAATGTGAAAGGTCGGCCTTTCCAAAAAAAAAAAAAAATTTTTTGTGTCGATAATTTCAACACAATGAAAACAGTCAAAGCCAAATAATCTCTATGACGACCATGGCCATAGCTACAATCATCATCATCATCATCATTGGTATTATAATCACAAAATCAATATATATACACATACAGGAAAAAAAACACACGGTATTGGGTTCCAAAAATAAAAAAAAAAAATTCATTCACTTGTTTTTTTTTCTTGGTGCTTTCAAATTTTCCATTCTTTTGACTTTTTACCTTACACTCATATATATATACAATTTTAACGTGTTATTATTGTCGGTGACCTTTTACACGTCAAAACAAGATAAAAAAAACAAACGAACGATATGGAAAATTTAAACGAAAAATTGGGCTATATTTGAACACACACAAACACACACACACACACACACACGGCTAAACAAACGTACACAATTCCAATCTAACGATTGGTCATTCTTGTGTGTGTGTGTGTGTGTGTATTTTCGAATGAATATCGAAATGATGAAAAAAAAGAAAAAGAATTTCACACATTTTTTTTCTAATGAACAACAACAACAACAAAATGACTTTTTTTGTGTGATCATCATTATCATTCGAAAAACAGAATTTAATCATAATACAATATTGAGTGATAGAGAAATTGGAAATAATAAATCCGCATCATCATCATCAAGTGGTCGTACAACTTTCAACCTGTCAAGTGTTTGTGTCCATGTGTACAAAGGTATGTTACAAACACACACACACACACACACACACACACACACACACACCCACTTGATGTATTTTAATGGTCAAACTTTTTTTTCTCTTCTTCTTTGACTGTTTTTTTTTGTTTGTTGTTGTTGTTTTCATTCCCCCATCTTGCAAATACCCAAAACGGAATATCATTGATATGATAAGTGTACGGTCATCGCCGAATATGAACGTGTGTTATATCTTTTTTTTTTTTGCTTTCTTTTCGTGAAAAAAAAAATTTCTGTGGCTTTTTCATTATCATCATCATCATCATCATCGATTTTTTGTGGGTAATGGTTGTTTGACTAGTCTCTTTTTCTCTCTTCATGGGTGTTGATTTTTATCGACGAAACGACCAAGACAACAACGACGACGACCAACAAAGAATTTTTCCAATTTATGTTGTTATTATATGAACGAAAAAAGTCAAAGTCAGGTATTTCGTTACCTGTGTATGTATTATGTTTGTGTTGTGTGACAGAACTAAATTCATAACTACTACTACCATCACAACCACCACCACCACCACCACATTACTACCATCAAAGGTAAAAAAAAATATGAAATTTTCTTTCCATTTCTATTCAGTTTTTAGTGCGTGGTCGGTTTTTTTTTCATTCCATTATCATTATTGACTTGCTGATAGAAACAAAAAAAAAATTCGTAAATTTTGCTACAGGTTGGTTCATTTGTTGTTGTTGTTGTTGCTGTTGATTAGGAGGATTTTTTTTACATCTTCAATGATTCATTCCTCTCGATATATATGTATGTGTGTGTGTGTGTATGTGTAGGATGTTCAAATGGTGGTGGTTCTACAACAACATTCACAATAATCATTAGAGTCAAACATACATACAAATAGTGAATGTGAGTGAATTTTTTCCACTGGTCAATCGTTCATTCGTTATCCATCCATTTGTTGTCTTGTTTCTTGTCCTGTAAGTGTGTGTGTGTGTGTATGATTATCGGATGACCGAAAAATAGTGTGTTTTTTAAATTTCGGTATTTTTTCAAAATTTACCCGCTTTTTTCCTATTTAAGTGTGTGTGTGTGCGTGTTTGTCTGTGTTTTACTGAATTTGAATCTGAATTTTTTTTGTTTTGTTTTGTTTTACCATTCGATAAAAAATGAACTGATTGTGTGTTAATTAGCCGATATATTGATTGATTGGGAAAAAAATTCAATTAATTAATCAGAGAAAAAAAATTCAAAATCATCATCAAAAAGTTCATTATAATTCATTAACCATTAATTTCATTTGATGACATTTTCTTTTCTTTGTGTGACCTGTGTGTTTGTGTGTGACATTTGAACTTTTTTTTATTGAAAATTTTATTGACAATGACGTGATCGTTTTTTTTCTTATTTTTTCGCATTGATCATCATTCATTCATTCATTCATTCATCAGTCATATTCAATCAATCGATTGGCATCGAAGAAAAAAAGAGAGAAAAATTTTGTTTTTCTATAAACTTTTTTTTTGAATTGTCATCGTGTCAAGTGTGTGTGTGCGTGTGTGTGTGTTAGCGTGTGCGTGTGGTTTTCACAAATGAAAATCAATATTAATCGTTAACACGTATCAATAAATCACAGTGTATTCATCAACATTTAATTTTTTTTTTCATTTCATTTCATTTTCTACATAATCATTTTATATATCCAGAAAACAACAACAACAACAAGAAAAATAATCATTAACGCCCAATCATCTAATCGAATTGAATAATGCTGCTACGACACTGTTTCTGTGTGCCATTCATCATCAATCATCGATCATTGATCTGATTTAAATCATCATCATCATCATTCGGTTATTAATATTATTAGTGTCATTCACGTTCTCAGGATAAATCGGATTTTTTTTTCGAAAAACAAATTCTATTCAATCAAATTATTGACTAATCTAACTCCAAAAAAAATAAATACAATGGATTATCATCACCGTTTAAATCAATTTCATAAAATGTCCAGATCAATATTTGTGACCATCACAATGATGATGATCATCATCATTGTAATGGCCAATGGACAACAAAATCCAACAATATCATTTATAACAAAAGAACGTGTTACAAGCATTGGTGATACATTAGATCTATCTTGTTCGGTGCAATATGCAAAAAATTATCCTGTTATATGGGCAAAAATTGATCAATTCAATCCATCGAAAATATTATTTATATCCAAAGGTGCATCATTAAGTGTACCGGATCATCGTTATTCTATTCGCCATGATGATGCATCATCAACCTATACATTACAGATATCAAAAATCCAAGAAATTGATGCCGGCATCTATCAATGTCAGGTGGTCATTTCACCATCATCAAGAGTAACAGCTAGTAAGTGTTTTGTCTTTTGTTTTTTGAATCAAATTTCAAAATTAAAAATTCGACTTTAATTTTTTCTCTCTCTCTCTCTCTCTCTCTCTCTCTGTTTGTTTGTTCTACTAAAACCAGACGTCAATGTCTATGTACGAATACCGCCAGTAATTAGTGATAACAGTACACGTAATATGATAACATCGACAGGTGAATCAATTCAATTGGAATGTTATGCATTTGGTTATCCACAGCCAAGTATTAGTTGGCGTCGTGAAAATAATGATCTTTTACCAACCGGTGGTTCATTGTATAAAGGAAATATATTAATTATACATAATATAACGAAATCTGATCGTGGAACATATTATTGTATTGCCGATAATAATGTTGGATCTGGTGCACGACGTAATGTTGTTGTTGAGGTAGAATTTCCACCAATTGTACATGTTGAACGTTTCCATTATGAACAGGCCGTTAGTTATGATATCAATCTTCAATGTACTGTTGAAAGTTATCCATCATCAACGATTCGTTGGCTAAAAGATGGCGTAGAGATCCAGGATTCATCATATTATCAAATGTCAATATTTACTACATCACATGATTTCACTGATTCAGTGTTAAGGATTAGAAATATACAGCCACAACATTTTGGCAATTATATTTGTCATGCAACAAATAAACTTGGATCCAATCAACAGGTTATTGAATTGATTGAATCATCAACACCTGTTTGTCCACCAGCTTGTATTGGTGAATTTTCTGGTTATGGTTATGGTTCTAGTACAACTACTACGACAATCAACTATTATCAATTGACAATATTATTGCTATTTACATCATTATTAATCAAATCGATTAATTTATTGCAATATTATTGATCCAAACAAAAAGGAAACAAAAAAAATTCATTTCGATCATCATTATCATCATCATCATCGTTATTGAAGTCATTATCAAGCCATTGTCATATTACGGTTGCATTTTTTTTCAATTTTCAATCAATACGCACACACACACACACACAAAATATAATTTGTATAAATTTTTAACTTGTTTTTAAATATATCAAAATTTGTATAGCAAAATAACCAGTGACCACTGCGATTATAATCGACAACAAAATTCCACTAAAACGAAAAAAACCAATTCATGACACACGTAATATTTGACAAGAATAATTTTTTTTTGTTCTTCATCACACACCTCTATTCCAACGAGTAAACAGGAGAAAAACAGTGAAAAAAATATTATTTATTTCGTGTTAAAATATATCATCAATTTATTTTGTCGTACAAATATATTATTAATAAAAAATAAAAATTTGCTCATCATTTGAATACAATTCCAGTATTGAAGATATGTTGATTATTATTATCATCACCTTTTTGTTGTCGAAGATGATAAAATTGTCGCCGTAAAGAATTATTATTATGTTGATGACGATTTTGTCTAATCATTTTTGCTATTGAACCATTGCGTCGTGATAATGAACATTTACGTCCATGTTTTTTACGTTTTTGTACACGTGATTTACGACAACGATTACGTTGTTGTTGTTGTTGTCGATGTCGTTTTCGACGTGAATTTTTCAATAATTTTTCTTGATTATTATGATGATGATGACCATTTTGTTGTTGATAATGCGAATTCGAATGATGATGATGATGATGTTCCCATTTTCGTTCATAATTATCATCATAATCAGCATCATAATCGGTATTATAATCATGATGATGATGATATGTATAATTCCATGAATGTTGGAATGTTGATTTTATCATTTGTTCATGATCATCATGGTCATCATCATAATCATCAGTATCATCCAAATTATTATTATCGTCAACATTGACATTGATAAAAAATGATTGATTTTTATTTGATTTATTAATCATATGAAGTGATTGAAATTTTCTTTGCAATAATCGTATATCTTGGTCATCGTCATCATGATCATGAATGGTAATCATATCGATTTGTTGTACTATTTCATCATCATCGTCATCATCATTATTATAATTGAAAGCCATTATTTTGAATGAAAATTTTTGTCAAATTTGTATCGATTAAATTTTTTGGATAATCAAAATTTCACAATTTACATTTTATTTGTTGTTGTTATTGTTTCAGTTTGGCCATAAAAAGAAGAAATAAAACAAAAAAAAACATTGAGCGCTCACATGCACGTCTATTTACACATCAATCGAATATTCGCGCTTATAAACAAACCAAAAATAGACATGCATTGATCAAAATAGTCAAATTCTTTTTTTTCGAGCAATCAAAAAAAAAAAATGTGTCAACTTTTTTTCGAACCACAATCATAGAAAAAAAATGGTAAGTAATAAGATGTTTAAAAATGAGAATAATTAAAAATAATTCCAACCATTCTTATTCCTTTTTCTCATATAGATGGCCATTATGTGTGTACAACTAAATTTAGAATTTTGGAACAACCAACACCGATCATCCAAGGAGCCGAATCAAATGAATCCAATAAGACCACAATAAAATGAATACAAATGTATATAGAGGAATTGTCTGTGTGTGTGTGTGTAAAAATTCTTGAATATTCGTGTGAAATATATGCGCACATGTGTTACGTCATATTTTATTCGATACTTTTGGCAATCTTTTTTTTTATTTCTCTATATACAGAAATAAAACATTTGCACATACATTGAGTAAGTTTAACACATTCGATAGATAAAAAGATGTCAACCTGAATCCATTGAGAGTGAGAATAAGAAGAAAAAACCCAGAATATAACCATCACCGTCACCACCATCATTATCATTGTTCCATCGTGTTCTCTGGGTTTTTTTTATGATCAAAAATTTTTTTTTCTCTGGTTTTTGATTCAATGGAATTATCATCATCAATAACTGTGGTACCACCGACACAACAATCATCACCATCACCACCACCACCATCACCATTACCTACTCCATTAGCAACACCTTCATCATCATTGCCATCATCATCATCATTATTTTCATCATCAACCGATGATGATGAATTTATAATTAAAACAAAACAATTGTCTATTAATGGTCAAGAATTTAGATTAACACAATCATCATCATCATTGCTATCTAATACACAACAACAGCAACAACAAGGATCATCATTATCGATTGAAAATTATTTTACAAAAATTATCGATAAACTTTATCTAACATCGGCTAAATATATGATTGATGAACATTTAATCAATCATGGTATAACGCATATTGTGAATGCAACACGTACAGTACCGTTGAAACGTAATTATCGTACCTGTCGTGTTAATGTAAGTTTGTTTTGAACAAAAAAAAAAAGAAATTCATTGGCTTCTTAAAAATTCTTTTGTATATCGTGATAAATTTAGATTGTTGATTCAACATATGAAAATATTGGTGCACATTTCGATTCGGTTGGTGAATTTATTCATAAAGCATTGGAAAATGAAGACGGTATCGTTGCTGTACATTGTATTTCGGGCATTAGTCGTTCATCTACATTGGTTATAGGTAAATGGATTTTTTTTTTTGAATGAAATAAAAAACTAACAAAATTCTCTTTTCTTTTCGATGACTCAGCCTATCTAATGAAATATAAGAATATGTCATTAAAAGTGGCATTCGATTTTGTACGTTCAAAACGTTGGTTTATACGACCAAATACCGGATTCTTTCAACAATTAATTGGTTTGTTGTTGTCGTTAAATTTTTTTTATGATCATATTTGCTCATTAATTCTATTCTATTTTGAATCCAAAATCAATAGATTACGAATTGAAATTATATGGAACGAATACCGTTAAAATGATTTATCATGAAACCGGTGGTTATATACCAGATTTTATTCTTGCAGAGAATACTAAATATAAATATTTTTATCTTTGTATTAAGAAATGAATGAAAATTGTTTTTCCATTTAACAACAACAACAAAAAAAACAAAAACAATTTACCTCAAAAACAAACAAACAAACACCATCACACACACGCTTGCCAATTTAAATTGTCGTCATTCATTGTGATGATAATTTATTTCACAAATTTCTCTCTTTCTCACACACTTGAAAACCCTTTCATTTAACCCTTTTTTTACTGGGGTTTTATTTATTTATTTATTTGATTTGATTGATGCCGATTCATTTTCACTTTTTCTTCATCTCTTGTCTTGCCTTGCACACAGACACACACACACACACACACACACAGTTTGATATTAGGATAATTATTGTATTTTTGATTGATTAATTGTTCAATTTTGTAAACACATTTTATTGATTGAATGAAATGAAATGATTGTTATTTGATTTTTATTGATTAATAATAATTGAATTATGAAATTGAAATTGAAAAAAAAATTGATGAGTGAAATGAAATGAATTTTATGATTGTCAATTTGTCCGATAGATGGCGATAGAAATGTTTTTTTTAATATAAAAAAATTGATTTTTTTTTTCATTTATCAATCGAATCGATTGTTGTCATCGTTGTTGTTGTTGTTGTTGTTGTCATCTGTTTTAAAGCATATGATGATGATGATGATGATGATTTTTAAAGAAAAAATTTCCAAAAAATAATTTTTTATATGCTTGACGATAACGTTGATTCATGACAAAATAAATGAATGGATTAATACAGGAATTCATCCACGCAAATATCGATGCAAATACATGAAAATATGGATATCTGGATTATGGTAAATTGACAATGTGAACTTTGAATGATGTTATATGTACACTTACCGATCATCTGGAATGAATACATTGCCAATAAATAATGGTAGAAAACAGGCAAGAAATGCACCGAATACAACACAAATCAATAATGTAAGTCGAAGATCACGATTCGTTGTATTATTATTATTAATCATTATTGTACCGTTGTTTTGTGTCGTTTTTGTTTGTCGTTTATGTTGTTGTCGTTTTATATGAAACAATATCATTCCATAACAGAAAACAATGGTGGTCATTGGTAAGAAAAAACCTAATATGAATAGAAATTTTTTCGGCGATCGTTCACGTTGATCACGTAATATTGTACAAGAAAATGTATTCGATTGATAACCAGTTTGGCCATATAATTTTAGTACAGGAATCGATACCAATGTATATGAGAATAACCAACAGAATATGATCATAATGATTACATTTTTTCGATTATATATTCGTGAATAATGTCGATTGAATGCAATTAATATGAAGCTAGATATTGTTGAATAATGATTGATTGATTGATTGATTAATTTGATTTGATTCCATTATGGTCATAGCCATTTTTTTATACATACCGATTAATTGTAATAGCTGTAATCATCATCAATGATGTGGCCACTGTACCATAATAGAATAATGGATATAAACGACATAATAATTGTCCAAATGGCCATGATCTTGTCAGATAACGTCCAGATTGTAATGGCATCACTAATGAACAGAATAATAAATCAGCAATGGCTAAATTTATAACAAATATCGTTGTTGTTGATGAATGATGGCTATTTTGATGATTGATTTGTTGTTTAATCAATGCTATTATTGTTATTAGATTACCGATAATGCCAATTATACATATTAAAATGGTAGCAATAAAACCAATTATAGCTGCACCTTCCGGTATGTCAATTATATTATGATTATTATTACTGCTACTGCTACTGCTACTACCGCCGCCGCCGCCGCTTATTAATGATCCATTATTATCAGTATTCTATTAGATATGGACCAAAAATCGATTATTGTTTTTAATCACAAAATAAAATGGAATACAAACATTCATCATCATCATGAACATGATTGTTTTATTGGCAATCATTGTTGTTGTTGTTGTTGAGTCCAAAAAAAAAATTCGTTTGTTCGCAAAAATCAATGAAAATGTGGATGAGGAGAGAAAAAAACTTTTAGTTTTTTTTTCTAAAAAAATGAAAATTTTGTTAAATAAATCGATTTTTTTTTCGCAAACACCCACGTTCAATGAATAAAATGAATCTGGATCTTTTCTTTTTTTTTCTCTTTGGTTTGTTTGCCTGTCAAATGTGTGTTAAATGTGTTGTTGTTTAGTACCAATCGCATAAACAAACAAACAAACAAACACAAAAAAATGGATCCTGGATCGATTCACACATACACACACAGAATATTCCGAAAAAAATCAAATTCAAAGGAATGAATGAATGGAAAAAAATTTAAATTCACAACAACAACAACAAAAAAAAAAAACTTTGATGACACATATACACAGAGAGAGAGAGAAAGAACAATGAATGAATGATAAAATGGTGGCTATAAATGCAAAATGCAAAATGAAAAAAAATAATCATCATTATTGGTCATATATTGATCGATGGATTGATTTTTGAAAATCCAAATTCAAACAACAACAACAAAATCCGTTTAGATAAACACAGCAGAAAAATAATAATGATGATTATTATTAATCAACAAAACACAGCAACAAACAAAATGTCAATGGACGAAAAAAAAAAAATTTTTGTTTTGTTTTGTTTTGTGGTGAATTATAAATTGCAACAAATTTGAGATTTATTTATTTATTCAAATCAATAATAAATCACAAACTATAAAAAGACAAAAAAAAAGATTTAAAGTGATTTCCGCTGTTTACATACATATTGGATAAATGCAAATTGAAATTCCATCGAAATCTACACTACTACTGCAACAACAACAACAACAACAACAATTGAAAAACAGAAACGACTACAAAATCCATGGTATAGTCGCCGTCGTTGTTGTTGTTGTCGATGCTGTAAATCCAGAAATTGAATTTAAAAATCCGAAAATAAAATAAAATTAAATTTGGCATGATTGATTGATTGATTGATTCATTTCTGGTATATTAATCAATAACAACAACAACAACGAAAAAAAAATTTGTCAAAAATCAAATTCTAAAAAAAAATCACCACATGACCAAGAGATACGGAAATGATATTTCCGTGAGAATAAAAAAAAACAATCAAATTTTTGAATGTCACATGATTGTTGTTGCTGCTGCTGTTTTTGTCTGAAATAAAAATTTTCTCGGAAAAAAATATTGCCATCCATTTGGCCATGAATATCGATGATCATGACTATCATGATGATGAGATTCCATCTTTTTTTTACACTTATAATCGATTATTCTGGACCAAAAAAAAAAAAAAAACAGAACGATAAGCCTTAATCGATTCAATAAATCTATCGAAAATGGTGATCATCATGATGATGATGATGATGATGATGATCGATTGAATATAAAGACGGGTTTATACACTTACATTGTGTTTGTAAATCCATTATTGCACGATGATATGAATGATTCATCGCCTTATTTGAATGATCAATGATGAACCAGACAAACAAACAAACAAAAAAAAAAAAAAGATTCATATCATTGTGGAAATGTTCTCCAAAATAATGATGATCTTTACCAAAAAGTAATCATTTTGATTGAAAATTTTTATTTATTCATCATCATCAACTCTTTTATTACACAGCGAATTGTAAATATATTTTTGTGTTTCTCTGCGTGTGTGTGTGTGGAATGTGAAAATTTACACATCAATTTGCATGTGGTTTTTTTAAAAATGAAAAATTTACTTGTTGCAAATCAAATCAACCAATCGTTTTACTGTTTTATTTATTTATATTCATTCAAATATAGATATAACAATTATAATGAATTATATGACCACATTTAACAAATGTATATAGATCATCAATCATGATATATATAGGCAATAAGATGGATTGTTGACCAAAAAAAAAATTTCTGAATAAATTTTTCAACGACAAAAAAAACTGAAATGAAATAAACAAAACATCAACAGTATTCTAGTCATGTAAATTTTCAATAATTTAAAACAAATTTTAGGTCCATGTGTGTGTGTGTGTTTGATGCATGCTGAATCAATAAATAATGGTGCGATGAATGATATTAATAATTGATATATATTGAAAGATTTATATTCAATGGAAAAATGAAATGAAATTGACGATGATTTTTTTTTAAATCTACAGATATTCAGCCAATTTGCGTGCGTGTGTGTGTATTTAACAGCAAGAGAGAGAGAGAGAAAGAGAGTGAGAGAGTGACAAAACAGATAAAATAACCATTAATCATTGTCAACAATATTTATATATTGATTGATTGATTTAGCCTCTAGGTTTAACATGAAATTTTCTTGTTCAACACACATTCATTCATTTTATTGATCAGATTAATGTTTTTGTTGTTGTTTTTTTTGTGTGTGTGTGTTTTTTTTTTTTTTTGATTCACACAGACAAACAATTTACAAAGTTTTTCAATTTTTCATAACAATTCAGAAAAAGAAAGAAAGATTACACTATACATTTTGTATGCGAATTTTGGTTGTTTTTTTTCTTCTGGTTTAATGTTTGTTTTGTTTGTCTGTAATGATCGTCTCTACACACACACATTTAATTCATTGAGACAAAACCATCATCAAATCACATTCATCAATAATCTGATGATAATGATAATGATGATGATGATGATGATGATGATGAATCTCATTCTAATTTGATGATAAACAACAACAACAACAACAACAATGACAATGACAATGAATGGCTGATAATAATATATTATGAATGAAAATTGGAAATAATAATCGATTTGATTACATCTGCAGTGATAATAATGATGATTGAATGTATATATTAGACAAAATTTGGACCACTATTAGTATTGTAACGATAATTTCCACCAAGACCACCACCGCCACCACCACCACTGCTCATAATACCAGATTGTTGATTACCGATACCACCACCAATATATGAACGTTGATGTTGTAATTGTTGTTGTTGTTGTTGTTGATGAATAGGATTATTAGCCGGATAAAGATAACCATTATTATTATAATCATTTGTTAATGTTGTTTCAATTGTATGGGAATTTGTTGCACACGATAAAATTGTTGCAATTTGATGTCTAGTACGACGTGATGTAAAATAAACACCAATAATCCATAATAGATCACCTAATGCACCAATTAATAATAGCATACAAGTTTGTTCCAATAATGTTGCTAGCTCTTCACTTTGATCACCACTTAAGCTTACTAAAAATCTTATTACAGCAATTAATATAATCAAAACTAATAATATGAACAATGTAATTAATAAACATTTAATATTTGGCCTCGGTATGAGAAAGTCACAACATAATAATAATGAATCCTGTTCATGATCACCATACATTTGTCCACCACCACCACCATAATAATTATTCATCATCATCATTGCTGTTGGATCATTACCATAAATACCACCGGTAATAGCTGAATTACCTCCATATCTTCCGCCTGCTGCTGTTGAAGCATATGAACGTCCTAACATTTGATTGGCCATTGAATCGGGCATCACATTTGGCAATAGATTTGTTGTACCGGTATCACCACCGGGTGGTGTTGCATCTTTCATATATTCACCGGTAATTGGATCATATGGATAATATAATTTACGATAATAATCAACATATGGATTTGTTGCATCAATTCCATATGGTCCTGTTTGTCCATAAGGATTTTTTGCTGTCGTTGGTTTCGGTGGTTTTAAATTTAAACTTGGTGGATATGATGGTTTCATTGGAGGTGGTGGTGGTGGTTGCGGTGGTGCTGGCTGTGCCTGTAGCTGTGGCTGTTGTTGTGGCAGTGGTGGTGGCGGTAGTTGTTGTTGTTGTTGTGGCTGTTGATATGAACGATCTTGATACGATGAAGATGATAAATATGGTTGTGGATTATTACTATAATCATATTGTTGACGACCACCACCACCTGGTGGATAACCATTTTGATACGAATGATCATATTGTTGATGTTGTATTGATGGTTCGGTATTTTGTCGATAATGTTGTTGTGAATAATATGGTGGATGATTGTGCTGAGCTGATGTTTGTTGTTGTTGTTGATGATAATAATCACTATAATGTGTTGGTTGTAATTGTTGTTGTTGTTGCGGTGGCTGTGGTGGTGGATAATTTGAATATCCACTATAACCACCACCACCACCACCACTAACAACGCCACCATATTCCGGTGGATAAGATGAATATAAATTTCTTTGTTGCATTATAATAAACGATATATAAATATAAATTTTATTTATCAATAATTGATTGATTGATTATTGAAAATCACACACACACACACACACACACACAAAAAACAAACATTGAAGAATGAAGCTCACAAATCGACACACCCACACATGCACAAAGAGAGGTAAAGAGAAAATTTCAGAAAATTAAATTTTTCACATTGAAAAAACAAACAAACAAACAAATTAGATTAGAACCATAGTTGTGGTCATTTGTTTCTTTTTATTCACCAAAAAATTGATCACATTTTTTTCTGTTTATCATTTGATTGTGAGCATCAATGATCTCAATTTTTAAGATTTGTCAAAAGAAAGAAAAAAAAACGGCTTCAAACGGCTTTAAATAATCATCATGTGTATTACATGTGTGTGTGTGTGTGAAGCTGTGAAATTCAATTAAATAATTCATATATTCATTGTAGCAGTGTGTGAAAATTACACCATCCATCCATCTATCCACCCGCACACAAACACACACACACACACAATGAAATTGGTGAATAAACAAATAAACAAAAAAAAATTTTTTCATGTAAAAAAAAGTTTTGTTTTTTTCTCTCTCTCTCTCTCTTTCAAATCATAAATTCTGTGTTTAATTTATTTGCTGTTGTTGTTGTTGTTGTTGTTGTTGTTGTGAAATCATTGAAAACAAAAAAAAAATTTGTCCCACCGAAAAAAAAAAACCAAAAACCAAAAACAAGAATTTCGTCATTCAAATGAAAGAGGCAAAAGTGGAAAAAAAAGAGTGAAAAAAAAATGTTGAATGAAATTAAAAAATCAACCCAAAACAACAACAGAGATCCAAATAAAAAAAAGATGAATTTAGAGTAGATCAGCAAGAGAACGAGAGAGAGAGAGAGAGAGAAGAGGAGTTATTGAGATGATGATGATTGTTGTTGGAACCACAACAGAATAAAAAAAAACCTACTACCACCACCACCGCCAATACCTAGTAGAATGATATTAACAACCAGCTATAGCCGTTGCTGCCGCTTTTTTTTTACTTTTTCGTTGTTTTCACTTTCACTTTTTTTTCTTGTTATCATCATCATCATCATCGTGATGTGAAGAGGATCATATCATCATTGAGTGTATGTAACAACGAAAATTAAAGTGACGGAAAAATTATATTGAATGATTATATGGCCCCCTTTTTGGTTCTAGAATAATATAACTATGTAATACACACACACACACACAAACAAGAGAGAAAAAAAATTCTACAAACACCACACACATACACTAAGAGAATTCTGGTTTAATGGATAGCGTGTATATAGAATATACAGAATTTTTTTTTAGATTTTTTTTTCATTGCCGTTGAAGAGACAGTTTATATGTTTGTGTGATCCAGAAATCTAGGGAAAACAATTTTTCTACTAATATATAGAATTTTCGACACACACACACACACACACGTACAGAATTTATGGTTGTCCTTTGTTGTTGTTGTTGTTGTTATCAATGGCAATAGATTCGAATGAGAATTTTCTGGTTCTCACATACAACAACAACGGTGGAATTTTCGTTTTTCGTTTTCTGTCCTATTTTTCTCTATCACTCTAGATTGGTTGAATTTTTTTTTTTTTTTGACACAAACAAAGTTTCAATTTTTATTTCATTTTTTTCCACTCCGTTTCATGTTTGTTTAACACCAACACACACACACGACAATGTTTCTTTTTTTTCGTTGATGTTGAAAAAAGGTGTCTGATTTCTTTTTTTTATGGTTCCAGGATCATTAAAAATTTTTTTTTTTTGGCGCATAATTATATTTATGATTGAATTTTATATTTTAGCGATAACGGAATGGCATAAAAAATTGGATTGAACATCAAAAATCGATTGATTATGATGAGATAGTGAACATTTTTTGAATAAATTAAAAAATTCTGGCCGCTACTGGTTTATTATCACATGAACTGGGCATTTAATCATTCAATCATTATTTGTATTTGATTTTTATTTAATTAAAAAAATTTTTTTCAGAATTTTAATGAAATTTTGAATTTGAAATGATGTGGGAAAAAATGCTATTGAAACATAGCTAGTACTACTGGCTGTGAAAATAGCTTGTTTTTTTTCAATATAGACCACGTGTGTATGTGAGTGATTGAGTGTTGTGAGTTTTTCAATTCAAAATAAATCTGTGAAAAAAAAATGTTCAACATAGAAAAATTTAATGTTGAAGATGTTATCACTGATAAACAACCAGATTTCAGTGATAACGATGATGATGATAATGTTGTGAATGATGAAAAAAATCGCCATGAATTATTGGTGAAAGAAGTGGTGAAAAAATTCGGCAAGAAAAATGATTATGATCGTCATCCACAATGGAAATCTGATCGTATTGAAGTACTATCCAATATCGATGAACATGGTATAACAAAAAATCAGAAATCTAAACTTAATGTAGAAGAATTATTGACCACCGCTGATGATGATCGACAATCAAAGAAATCGAAAGAAAAATTGTTACGAAATTTTCGAAAGAAAAAATCTTTATTACAATCAGTACACAAACCGATTGCTGACCGTATATTACGTCAAATTAATTTCAAAGATTTACAAGAATCAATAACAAAATATGATGAAATAGTAAAACAGATACGAAATGCTGATCAATTAGTTTTTCCGGCTGAAGATCGTCGATTGGCCATCAATACATCAGCACAGCGAAAATTGTTACAACCAGAAAATTCATTGGAATCCGATGTTGGCGATAAAACTAAATCAACGATGAGCAGTGTTGAGAAAGAAATTGTTGAAAATCTTGTTGATAATGATGATACAACACAACAATCATTACATTCGGTAAATCTAAAAGTTTTTGTTTCTGATTCATAAATTCTAATTTCAATTTTCCTCCTTTGTTTGTTGAATTTGTAGTTTTTAAACGAAAATGAATTACAATTATTACGATCATTGAATATGGAAGAGGCACGTAAACTACATAAAGAAATGCAACGATTACGTGTGCTTATCAGTTATCAGGAGGCCAAATATCGACGTATACGTAAAATAAAATCCAAAAAATATCATCGTATCATGAGAAAAGATAAATTGAAAAAAGCTGTTGATGAATTTGATGATCTTGTTGCTGGAAATCATGAAAAAGCTGCAGAAAAATTGGATGAATTAGATCGATTACGTGCACTAGAACGTGCTAGCCTTAAACATATGAATACCGGTAAATGGGCTAAACATCATCGTATTCGTGCTAAATATAATGAACAATCACGAAATGATCTAAATGAACAGCTAAAAATTAGTAAAGAAATGATGCAAAAACGAACAGCAACAACATTAATCGATGATGATGGTGATGATGATTCAGAAGAATCGATTGCTATTGATGAACAATCAAACGAAAACGAATCGAACAAAATCTCATTGGAAATGATAACACAACAGCCATATAATTATTGTCCATGGTCATCGAAATTATTACAAAAACAAAAAAATTCCACTTTTATTGAACAGCAGCAGCTTGTTGATGATGATAATGATGATGATGTGATTGAAAATGAACAACAACAGCAACAACAACAATCATCCGTAACCAATAATCATAAAGTGGAACGTTTAATAGCAACTTTACCAAAAGATGTGGATAAAAAAATTAATCTACAAAATTCTATCGATAATAATAACCGAACATTAGATAATATTGAAAACGATATTGATGATGAAAATGAATTCAATGATAATATTGATTTGGCTAAATTTGAACAACAATCCAAACAATTACAACAGGTATTCGGTGATGATGATGATATAGTTGAACAATTTTTTCGTGAGAAAAAACAACGTGAAGAAGAAGAAGAAAAAAGATCCACACAAAGTACCCGATCAAATTATCTACCTGGTTGGGGTTCAAATAAATGGTCCGGTTATGGTATACGTGAAACACAAAAATGGAAAAATAAACAAACCAAACAAATAAGAAAAATTGAACGTAAACGTGAGGAAAAAATATGTCGAGCAATATTTCTTGATCATGAACAACAATCACAAACGGCAGCCAAATATAAAGGCTATTTGACCGCTAAGCAAAGTTTACATTTGAATCGACCAAATGGAACCAATTGGAATCCAGAAACAATCAGTAAAACATTACGTGAACCACGTATTATAACACGACAAGGACAGATAATTGAACCAATGCAGCCAGAATCAATTCGTACGATCAGTAATAATCATGGTGGCGTTGGCGCTGGTGTTGATATGAATTTATCATCAGGAAAAAAAACATCAAACAAAATTCAACAAAAACGGCGACCATTATCAAAAATTTGAAATTTTCTTTTTTTTGTTTGTTTTTGAATTCAATTATTTTATATTAAATTTATATCATCAAATCAATCAATGATTTTTGAAATAAAGTATTGAATGAGTTGATTCACAATCAATTTTTAGAATGTTCATGTATGTATCGAGATCTCAGATGGCTCGATTTTTTTTTCTCTGTTTCTCTGTTTTTTTTTGTACCGATCCATTTAGCATCCCGTCGATTTTTGTGTGTGTGTGTATGTTTGAACGGAATTTATATATTTATTTATCGGGTATTATCGGGTATCACAAAAATTTGATTTTTAAAATGGAAAAAAACAGAAAAAAAATTCTGGAAAATGAAATAAAATTTGAGAAAAAAAAATGAATATTGTATCCGTGTGTGTGTGTGTGTGTGTCACATTTGTCTTTTTTTTCATTTTTATTTTGGTTCTTTGCACAATTATTGTCGGTGTGTGTGTGGGTGTGTATGTGGGTGTGTATGTAGTGTTTGTAAACCATTCAGAATGGCATCAGTGTGTGTGTTTGTGAAATGTGGATGTGAAAGCATAATAATCACGATTTAAGTAATAATCACTTTTGGTTGTTGGCTTGTTTTTTTTTTGATGGACACGGCATATACAAACATTGAATTTTGCTCATCATCGTCATCATCAATTTTTTTTTTCTATGAATTTAAATTCATAATAGTCTGTTTTGTTTGTTTTGTTAACTGATCGATAATAAACTATTTGAAAATGAATTGACGTGTGTGTGTTTGCTGTTCAATAATGATTGATGATTTGATTTGATGATGATGATGATGATGATGATGGTGATGGTATCGTGTTTACTTTTTTTTTGGGTTGTTGATGAATTTTTTAATTCATGGCATTCCAAAAAAAAAATTTTTAGTTTAACCCTGGACCACTAAACTTAAAGAATCAAGAATCAGTTTTTTCCACCACAGGACCAAACAATTTTCCAAGATGGTCCAGCAATTTGTTTTGTATTTGTATTTGTTTTTTGTTTTAGCTAATTATTTTTTCTCGTATTTTCGATTTCATCGAAATAATAAACGAGTTTAACATCTAGATACAGAGATACAGAGCACACACACACACACATGTACAGAATTTTTTTTTTTTTTGTTTCACATAACCATATTCTGTCATTGCAACATTACAAATTCTTTTCGGTCCAGAAAATTAATGTGAAAAAAAAGAAAACAACACAAAAACCGCAAAAGCAGCAATGGTTGAATTGAAAACTTGATGAAAGAAAAAAAAATCATAATAATAAAGAAAGAGTTTTGGGTCTGCTTATACAAAACGACGACTAGTTTTTTTTCATATATATAAAGAATTTTCATCTGTTTTTGATCAATCAATCAATCAATCAATCGATCGATTTTCTGTGTGTTTGTGTTTTTTTTTCAAACCCTTAAATTGATGATGATGACGATGTTATTTCAATTGCATGTTGCAATCACAGAGATTTTTGTTTTGTTTTGTTTTAAAAATTTTTTTCTGCTGCTGCTGCTGAAACATATATTACGAATAATGAAAGCGTAATGAGAAAAAAATTTTTTTTCAATGGCACTAAAAGATACAGTTGTGTTAATTGAATGAATGAATGAATAATTGATTGATTGGTTGATCGATGAGCTGAATGTTTTGTTTTGTTTTATCGTTGAAAATTAAATATTGATCATTGAATTAATTTTTGGAACAACGATAGCCGCTGTCGTTGTTGATTGATCTTTGGTCAAATTGATCGGTACAATTGTTGTTGTTGACGATGATGATGATGATGATGATGATGATGATAATGATAACGATGACAGCGGAGGCGGTGTTAATAATTTTGTTGCTGTCGTTGTTATCATCGGCAGAGTTGTTTTTGTCAATAAAGAATCATTAATAGATGATGATTGCAATTTTCGATGACTATTTTTAACATTATTTGTACCGGAAATCATTGATGATGATGATGATGATGATGATGATGATGATGATGTGTAGATGGTGGCCATTCATAACGATTATGAAATTTATCGATAGCCATTCTAGCTGACGATGATTGTGATAATGGATATGAACCAATAATTTCAATATTTGAATCCAATTTTAATGGATTTTGTGTTTTTTGTATTATTGATCGTGATGATGATATTTGACTATCACCACCAAAACCACCACCACCACCACCGCTGCTGCTACTATTACTACAACTATTGTTACCATGTTGTACAGCAGCAGCAGCAGCGGCTGCAGCCAATTGTTGAGACCATAATGTTGAATAATATGATGACAATTGATGATGTTGTTGTTGTGTTGCTGATAATGATATTGATGATGATGATGGTAATGAATTAGAATGAGATGATGTTTGTTGTGATGAATGAATTGAATTGATTTGACCACCAGTAAAATATGGACCAATTATTGATGGTGGCGGTGGTGTTGTATGATTAGTGGTTAGAGCCAAAGGAACAACAGATGATGATGATGATGATGATCCATTGATACCAGAAAGAAATGATGATGAACCAGTGTTAGTAGTAAAATTGAAATTATTTTGCATCAATAATGGATCTAATGAATTTATTGTCGATTTAATCGATTGATGATTATTATGCTCATTATTTTTGGCCATAGTAGTAGTAGCTGCCATTGTCGTCGTCGTCGTTGTTGTTGTTTTTTATCATCAATGGGAATATTTGTTGAATAATAATGATGATTATTAATTAATTTACGATTACAAATTTCTGAATTTACAAATGATTGTTGACGTTGTTGTTGTTGTTGTTGTTGTCGTTGTTGAATTGATTTTGAAATCATTAATGAATCATTAATAATTGATTGATGATCAACTGTATTAGTAGCGTTTGTTGTCGATAATGATGATGATGATGATGATGAGGCTAACATCATCATTAATTGTGTTGCTGCCTGTGTAACATCTTCTTTTGATCGTGTTTTAATTAATGGATTATCATCACCGGAATTATTATTATTCCAATAAATTGTACGTTGAAGTTGTTCTGGTTTTATGGGAATGTTGTTTTTCATTGGTTTAATAGAATCATTCATTGTTGTCGTTGATGTTTTACATGTTAAATCAATACAATCATCATTAATCATCAACGATTGGTTTGATCGATTTCGATTCTGCATTAATGATGGGGATAAATTTGAACTTTTTTGTTGTTGTTGTTGTTGTAGTTGTCGTCGTTGTTGTTGTTGTTGTTGGTCATGTAAATTTTTTTGTATTAAATCACGAATTGATTTGAGCAATGATACAATTGTTATTGTACGATTAAATGGAAAATTTACAGTTATATTTATTGGATATAATAATGGCTGCAACTGTGTCATTAATGTTTCATTTTCATCCGATAATGCTGATTGTTGTTGTTGTTGTTTTATTATTGATGATGATTTTGTTGATTCCAATTCATCCATTGAATTATCCCATCGTGATCTTTTATTATTATTATTATTATTATTAAATGTCATCATCATTTTTGATTCTATCCCCATATCATTACCATTCATCATTGGTTCATTTACAATTTTTGTAACATCATTCAATTGACGTTTGTATGTCATTGATGATGGCGGTGAATTGGATTGATGATTATCATCAATTGTGGTGGTCGTTTTTATTGGTGGCTGTAATTTTGTAGACATATTCGTCATTGTTTTTGTCATCATTGTCATCATCAATTTGTGTGGAAAATCATCAAAACCCAATATGGATGATTCAATATGCATAGGAACATAATAATGACCAGATGGATGTAAGGCAAATACTGGTACAAAATTTGTATTGGTTTCTGATGATGTTAATGATGATGATAATAATGATGATAATAATATCTGATCACTAATATCACATTGTTGATGATGATGATGGTCATCATCATCATTTTTATCATTATTTTCAATCATCAATTCTTTATTTTGATCCATAACTTTTTGAAAACGTTCTTTAAATTCTTTTTTAAAATGATAACTTTCATTTGTCGATATTGTTGCTGCTGCTGTTGCTGATGTTGTTGATTGATTTTTATTAGTTTTATTTGTTACCAATATTTCCATATCGATCGGTTCTAATTTAGTTAATATCGGTATCGATGATGATGATGAAGAAATGGAACTCAATGATGATGCTGATGTTGGTGGCGATGTTGTTGATGATGATGATGATGAAAGATCATTTTCAAGACTAGATGATGTTTGATTATCATGATTTGATTTAATTGATAATTTCATTGTTTTCGGCGGTGGTGGCGGTGGTGGTGGTGGTAATAGTATTAATTGTGGTGATGATGACGATGATGATGATGATGACGATGCTGAAGATTGTTGTTGTTGTTGTTGATTATCATGATTATCGTCATCATTATCCCCGGCAGCAGCAGCAGCAGCAGAAGCAGAATTCTTTTTATTCATCATATATTTTGATATGACCGCTTTTTATTGTGAAATTAAAATTAAAACAAAAATTGTCAATTTTCAAGAATAAAAACAAAAACAAAACTTACCAATGGTTAAATTATCAAATTCTTTCTGTAAATGGGCAATAAATTTAGAATATGATGACGATGATTCTGTTTCTGTTTGCATGATTTGTTGTTGTTTCAAATCATCAAGACAATGTTTAAAACCTAATCGATAATAATCGAAACGATTTTTTATCAATTCTGTTCCCATACAATTTGATTGTTGTAAACAATAACGAAATAATTTATCATCATCATCATCATTCACATCATCATTCGCATTATTTGTCATCATTATTGACGATATTTTATTCGTCATCATTGTCGATGTTTTGATTGTTGATGATGATTCATTGTTGTTGTTATTATTATTATCATTACGATCATTATCATCATCATCTTTATAATCATTATTATTATTATTATTATTGATGAATGGCCGACAAATATCTAATAAATATTTCATATATTTAATGGCCATTTCAATGATTTCAGTTTTTTCTATACGTCCACGATTTTGTAATGATGATGATTGCTAAAATTGAAAATGAAAAACAAAACAAAAAAAAAATTTTTAACAACAATTCACACTTGGAATCCAAATTGATTTTACCTTTTTAATGAAAGAATTTGGTATTAATCGGCTGAGATCAGTAAGACAATTATTCATACGATCACGTCGTCTTTTTTCAATCATACGATGTGAATATGGATCCTGCCGACAGATAGATATAGATATATATTATTTTTTACTCTTGATAATTTAATTTTTCAATTTAAAAAATTTTACCCTTGTCGATTGTTTTTTACGCGCCGGTTGTTGATTAGTAATTTGTCCCTGATTTGTTGTTGTCGTCATCATTGATTGGATTGGTTGCCGTTGTTGTTGTTGTTGTTGATGTGAATGATGGTGATGATGATGATGATGTAATTGATGATGCTGATGTGATTGCTGTTGATAATAATTATTAGAATCAACCATATGAATAGCGGAAACAGTTGATGATGATAATGATGGTGAAGAATGATCAGTAGTGGTGGCTGGTGTACACATCATTTTGAATGCAGCCGATGATGTTGTTGTTGTTGTTGTTGTTACCGTTGAATTATTGTTATTAGCCAATACCGATATTGATCCATTTGATGATGATGATGATTTATCACTTACACTTGTTACTGCTGTTGTTGTTGTTGTTGCTGTTGTTGTTGTAGCCATCATTATTGTTGTTGATCCTAAAAATTGTTGCTGTAGCTGATTAATAATCGGATTATTTGTTATTGATTGATGTGGTTGAAATTGTTGCTGTTGTTGATGATGATAATGTATCAACATTTCTGGCATAATATCCAAACTTTTCAATGAATAAAATGAATGTTTTTACTGTATTGGCACTAACCAATGTTGTGTTGTTGTTGTTGTTATTGTTGTAATCATCATTTTTTTAATTTCATTGTCATTGTCATCATCATCATCGTCGTCATGATCAATAAACAATTTATACTGTTGTCGTTGTTGTTGTTGTTGTTGCTATGTGTATGTATTATTTCCATAATTGTTTATTTGTTACATTGATTCAAATTAATTCAATTCATTGATTCATTGATTGATTGGGGGAGGCTAAAATGAGGATGTGATTTTGATCAGCTTGCTGTTGTCGAGCGTTGATGATTATTAATAATATCGATACAATTGATTTGATTATTGATTGAATATACAGATTTTATTTCTACCATCACCAATTGATTCGGCCAATGGCATTCTATATATGAAAACAAGAGAACAACAAAAAAAAACAGTATTTAGAAAGAAAACGAAAATTTTTCATTATGAAAATCAATGGTTTTTTACCACTTTTGTTCACTATTTCAAATAATGTTGTTGGCGGTGGTGGAAAATGTTTCAAACAACAACAACAATGATGATGATGATGATCCATGATTGTGAAATGTCAACACTTTTGTTGTTGTTGTAGTTGTCGCAGTTGTTCATAAAGGTCAATCCATTATTTAAACCATGAAAAAAAATGTTAAAGAAAAACTATCGATTTTTTTTCGATAGATTGAATGTCGTTACATCATCATTTCCTGGAAAAGAAAAAAAAAAAAGAAAAAACGGAAGTGAAAAAATTAAAATTTTTAGCGATTAAAAGAGAGAGAGAGAATAATCCACAATGAAACACATGTAACACACGCACACATTGCTTTTACATCATCAAATGGAAGAAATTTTTTTCATTTTGTCTTTTGCAATTGAAATGGGAAAATGTGGAAAAATCCTGTTTCCAAGAAGAAAGAAATAAAACGAAAGATAACGAAAAATTCAGGTGAATTGAAATTTTTTTATCTTGCTATGCGGAAAAGAAATAAAAGTTTACAAATGTTCATCGTTCAATTTTATATTATATAGAATTTAAAGTGTTTAAAGAAAATTAATTTAAAAGCTGCATAATCACCATCATCATCATCATCATCATCCATTGATTGAAATTTAAAGAAAATCAAAAATCAATCCCTTCGATTGATTGATTGAATGAATGATCCATAAATTGTTGCGTTGTTCAAAGAAAACAAAAAAATTTTACACTGAATTTGTGATCTTATCATCATCATAATCATCATCATAAGTAATAAAATAATAATCATCATCATGTGACATTTGATTTATTCAAAAATAGTGAACGTGTGTGTGCAAAAAAAAAAAAAAAAAACAAAAACAAAAAACCTTATATTCTGTATATATATACAACATATAATGTCAAGGTCAATCGTTAATTTCAAAATTTCAAAATGAATTTAAATGGTGTTTGCCGCCATAATATCCACATCATCATCATCATCATCATCATCATCATACCCATATAATCAGAAATATCATGCAACGAAACAGAAACACACACATATATATGCATTATTATGATAATCATTGATTTGTATCGATCGATTGAAATAAAAATTTTTGTCACAATCATCATAGTGTACACGTGTTTATCAAAAAAAATGCATCCATCACATTCAAAAAAAAAAAAAAAAATACGTTACTTACACAACATATATATATTTGTGATGATGAGAATGGAAAAGTTCAGATGCATGTGCAAAAAAAAAAATTCACAGATTGGACAACAAAAAATTGGAAAAATTTCAAAGAAAAACAATGAAAATAAATGGCAAAAATCCAGTTCACACACACACACACACGATGAATGACAGACGAATTTGAATGAATTTTCGTTTTCTATACTGTTTTTTTTTGGTTTTCTTTTCTTTTGTTGATTTGTAAAAGATACAAATCAAAAAATTAGTAGCATTGTTGTTGTTGTTGTTGTTGATTTTTTTTTCTGGTGTACGCGGCCAAAAACACAAACAAACAAACAAACAAACACACACAGTCACAGACACAAACAGACTAAAATAATAAGCACTTTGATTTTAACACTTTTTTTTTCTTTTTTTTTCTAAGATGAATGAATTGGTTGATGATGATGATTTTTGTTTTTGTTTTTTGTTTTTTTTTTGTTGTCAGAGAATAAATGTCTTCTGTTGTACAAGTGTTGGTGTGTGTGTGTGTGTCTGTTATATGAAAGACGACAAAAAAGCAAATGATTTTGTTGGTTGGTTGGTTGGTTGGTTGGTTGGTTGGTTGGTTAGCTGGTTGAATGTATTGAGATCTTTTTCCATCAAAAAAAATTTTTGTTTTCGTTTTATAAAATTGAACTAAACTGAACCGTCGTCATCGAAAGTCGGTCGTCGGTCTGCTGGCTATTTTGATATTGTCTGTGTGTGTGTGTGTGTGTGCGTGTGTGTTTGTGCAATGCTCGGGAATCATTCCATATCCGTACAAAACACACACACACACACACACAAACATCAACATGTACAATGCATATAAATCAGACAACAACATAGACATATAGCTGCTTCTTCTTGCTTGCTTGATGATGATGAAAAAAAACCAGGCAGCCACGATATATAATGACGCCAGTACACAAATTTATCCAAAGAGAATAAGAGTGTGGTTGATTGGTGGCTGTATATGAGTGTGTTTGTGTCTATGTCTGTGTGTGTGTGTGTGTGTGTGTTTAAAACATCTCTAAAAATCCAAAACCATGATGATGATCCATAGTTCATTATCTAGGATTTTTTTTTTCATTCATTCATTCATTAATTCCGGTTGGTAAATTTAAAAAATCCATACATATATAGTAAAGTGATTGAACGAAAAAAAAATGAACGATTCTTTTTCTTTCGATTTTTGATAGAATTTTTTTGTTGTTTTTTAAAAGTTGCAGAATAATTATATGCATTTATTATTTTGATCCATTTTGAAAATAGAAATGTCTACTAATTGTCTATCTGTCTGTTTGTCTAGTTTAAGAATTATTTATTTTTTTTCCATACACACACACACACATATACATTTTTTTTTGCACCAAATATCCACGTGACCACTAGTAGTATCATTATTATTATATATTACTACTACTACTACTACTGCAAATACTGCAATAACAAAAGGATTTCAATAATCGTGTGATATTGATAATGATGATGATGATGATGATGATGATTGTAATAAGATTGTGAGATGGCGCCCAGAAACAAGAGGCGGCACTTCTATAGCCTAGCTGGCCGGCGTTATAACAAGAAAAAGAGAAAGAGAGAGAGAGAAAATACCCAGAGAGCAATAGAGAGATAGATAAAATAATACTAGCTAATATTGTATATGAAATATTAAAAAAAAATAAACGAAAAGGAAATAGAAACGAATGTATTAAACACATTTATTATATACAGAAGTGTATAAACACAGAAAGCATGGAGCCTAAGAGATATAGAGAGGATGCTGATGACGCCATCATCATCATCATTATGAGTAGCACCAGAGTTTTTTTTTCATAAGTATACAAACAAAATATATTACAAATACACACACGGACACATGATTAATTTTTTTTTTGGTGTATTTTCCACAATTTGATTTTTTTTTTTTGAATAATGATGATTTAGACATGATGATGATGATGATGATGATGGTGATGTAGAACAAACAAACAAACGACAAGAATGATTAATTTTATCATCTATGAACAAATAATATCGATGGATCCAAACATAGGGTTAGTGTGAATATATTAGTATGTCTGATTGGACGTGTACACTGCTGCTAATAATCAGAATCATGGTGTATGTATATTATTCCTAAATATTTGAATTCTTGCATCCAAAATACCAAACGGAACAAAATAATCAAGAAGAAATAATTGCATCTCACATGATACTTAGTACAGAAAATGGAAAAAAATCTCTCTGTATCTGGTTCAGAAGAACAAAAAAAAACAATATAAATACACGGCTGGCTGGCTGGCTGGCTGGCGGCTGTATACAAGGCCAAGTTTGTTTTTTTTTTCATTTTTCAGCTACTTGGCCAGCTTGTTGGCTGGTCGATGGCCATCATCATCAGCATCGAGAAATCATTTTGATCATTCGACCTTAATAGTATGGTACACAACAAAAAAGAACATGCATCCATCCATCCATACATACAACAACAAAAATAACTGTGCAACCAAAAAAAAAAAAAAAACTGGATACTGTGTTGCCAATTTCTTTCTATTTTTCGCAAGTAATTCTTCTTGTTATATAACAACAACAACAAAAAAAAAAAATTTTTACCATTAAATTCGTATTGTATTACGACAGATCTATTGTTTGTCGCTGTTGTCATCGTCGTCGTAAGATTTGACCGGTTATTTATTTATTTATTTATTTACTTGAATATACAGACCGAACAAACAAACAAACGATATTCTCTCTCTTCATCATCATCCACTTGATGATGATAAAAAAAAACTTGATTAAATCATCGTTGCACAATCATGCATGCAAGCAAGTGTGAAGGCAAGGGTGAAAAAAAAGCTTAGGTTTTTTTTATCTCTCTTTTCCCACACTACCCGTCTGATCTGAGGAGACCAAAAAAAAAACCGGGTACACACACTATTCTAAGGAAAAAATGGTGGTTTTTTCCCTTCTCCATCATCATCATCATCATCATCACCATCACCATCATCGTCGAGGTTTTTTCTAAAGTTGACTAATAATAAAAATCGTTTACTGTTGTTGT